ACCCCTAGCTATCCCCAATCCAAAACCTCAAGCCAGGAGAACCCAATACAAGACCACACCGAGACCCCAACGAGAGACACACCCGCGCCCTAGAAGCACTACGACCTTAGAAGTAATATTAACCCCCCTGTCCCAAGGCCTGGGCCTCAGGAGCGAACGAACAGTAAGGGCCACCCAAGGAACCGGGGGATTTGACACCTCAGTCGGGTCGGGGAAAGCCTTCCCGCAGCGTCGCGGATGCACGAAACACGAAACCCGGACGGTCGCCAGGAGGGAGCCGAAACCCAGTATTGAGGTAGGTTTCAAGCATGCCTTGCAGCCTGCAGCCGGGGTTCGCGGGAGCTTAGGTGTTTGGGCTCGGGTGTTTCAGTTTCTTTGTCCACTGTCTTGGGATGGGGCTATTGGCCAATATTGGAAGTATGTTTTGCAAGATGCTGCCGCGGGGGTGATCATTGAGATCCTTTGGGAAGGGATCTGTTCTAGGTCTGTGGATTGGGGAGATCGAATTGTGCGATCGTGAACGATTATTTTGGATTGTGGTTGAGGCTCTTCAAGGAGTTTGTTCTATCGAGGGAGTTGGGATGGATGTTCTGGATTGTTGTTCCATTGCCCCTATGTAGGAACCAGTGCTCGATAGATGAATGGGCTGTGTTGCACTCGAGAACAAATCTATTCAAAACTCTATGGGTCTGCACTCAACATCCAACGGGGAAAGAATGTGACCGGGAGGACCGGAGGCGAGGGTTTCAGCAACGCTGCGTCCGCGGTGAGCTAATCGCTCAGAGATCGCGCACAGTGCATGAACTGGGCGATGGAGAGCTATTGGGCCTGCAGATCAGGGGTAGTACTGGGGGATGCGCTGATACTTATACATCGGCGGGATGGCTGCACTTCGGCTGTAGTACAGCGGGATGCATGCAAGTCAGACTTTTCGATGGAATGTGGGGTTTATTGGCTTAGCTGAGGATATGTCTCTACTAGGTAGTTTGTTTTATTTTGGGCTGCTTTAGGGCTTGCAGATTTGCCACAATGCAGAATATAGCGATTTCGGTTGTACACAATATGGGACTGAAGACATATGAGATGGAGCGAAATCTGGAGTTGGATACGGCGAACACCTCGGTCGAAGTGAATTTGTATGCCAGGTCAGAAGATGATAAAAAAGAGTTCCTCGATGAACCAATGGCAGCACAATGTCAGAGTTACAGACGCACAACATTTGTGATTTGTCAACTGTCAGGGTATAACTCAGCGCCTTGGGTGTCCGACCACTTCTAGGAAAGTTAGGATGGCTCATCCGACTAAATTCAATCGAGGCATCTAAGAATTAAGGCAAAACTAGGGAGATACTAGGAGAAATAGGAAACTAGGAACACAAGGGAGCCAAGTAGTATAGCTCCTTTCACTCCTGCAAAGTGCATCCTTGATATTACTAAGATAGAAACAGCATTAACTAAAGATAACTATCTAGCCCGCCGCCAGAGGAAAAACAGAAATAAATAAGCCCATGACGTACGTGATAGGAGGACAATTTCCGATATGGAACGTTGCGATATCGAATTGTGAGGCTCGAATTTTAACGTTAGGAAGATGAGGAATGCCCACACAGTGTTAAGCCCTAACAGTGCCAAAGTACTCCTAAACCACAGCTAAAGTACTTTTCATCCAAAGTACAAAGTGACAGAGAAACATAAACCATATAGATCACGGCGATCGGCGTTAGTGGCTGATCCCGGGAACTCCGCACCAAATTGGAGGTGATATCTCACATTTTCGGTCCCAGCCCTCTTTCTGCACAGTATTTTTGGAGACTGCAGAGAGCATTATTTCTTTCGACTTTCGCTTCTGACAGGCTGAGGACGATTTCAAATATTAAAAATGAGATCTGGTGGTACGAATACCTCGTGTCACTTCCTTGGCTTCCATAATCCGTATCACAGATCACAGACACGCAGGCAACAACGAACACAGCACAGCGACACAGACACGTACAATCCACATTGTATTCTTCGGGATGTTTCTCGGTGCAGGCGTACGGATCAAGTTCCGCGCGCCCTTGCTGGGGGACCCAATCGAAGGGTCCTTGCTGCAACCCCATCCCTACGGAAGGGGACCATGCAAGGTCAGATAGGTCATGATCGTCTGTGCTTCTGTTGTTTACATTGTGCATTGGCATGCATCTGCGTTTCGAGCTAGCCACCGGGTCATTATTCTAAGGCTCTAGGTCCTCGGGGTTATTTTTGGTATAAACATATCCCCTTCACCCTGGCCTCCACTTCGGTCATTTCATTCCTCATTCCATCTCTTTCTCTCGTCCTGTGGCAATTCTGCTCTCTAGACCTGTCGTACTGTGCCTAGATCCTAGAGATCTTGCTCACTCGTGTTACTTCTCCTTCATATTACTCGAGCTCACAGTCCCATGGATCACAGAGGTCTTTATTGTCCAGGCGAGTTGGACGTGTTGTATCAAGATCGGAACAGATCAGAGACTACAATTTGTGTCCCGTCGCCCTCACCTGCAAAGCGAGGATCATCTTACTACCCCACAGCCGGCCCAAAGGTCCTGGAAGAGTCGAATCTTGATCCTTTCTACCTCGAAGAATCATTGGCCGCTACGCCGTCTTGGAATCATTATACATCGGACATGCGCAATGATAGTTTTGACGAAAGCCAATACTATCCCCTTTCCTTGAACCACAACAAGGATATCCGGAACCCATTACAATACCCCGGACCAGATCGCTCCACACTTGCACAGGTGGAGTTAGAGAACAGCTTGCGATTCCATCGATACACTCCATCGACAGAGGAGCACAGTCCGCTGCACAGTAGCCAGCTGTCATTCAGCTCCGTGCAAACAGATAGCACCACTCCCGACTTGACACCGAGCAGCTCCTTCTCTTCTTCCTACGATTCACCTAACTGCCCCGACGCCGTCTTGGAGGCGACCCAGCAGCTATACAAGCACGCGAACCAGGTTCAGATCGAGCCTCGTCGCCGCCGCTTCTATCTGCCTGCATCTACACCACCAACATACTCTCTTCCCCCGCCACCTCCCCCGCCGGTGGCTCCTATCAACCAAGATACTTTCCAGCACTCAAACGATTCAACTACTACCATCACCATGGTCTACGAAGACGTAACAGGATCCTGCTCATCGCGGTCCCGCCGCAGGAAGCAGCCTCCCGCCGTTCTCGATCTGTCGCGTACAACCAGTTCCCCAACCAGATCTCGCCGGAAGCAATCCAGCCCTGGAACTCGCCCTCCTCTGGATACTTCTATGATCTCCCCTCCATGCTTGATCAACCCAATTACCATGGAGCCTCACATGACCCACTTTGATCACCCTCTCTTCATTCCTGCCAACGACGGCCCTAGCCCCGTTCCTAGTCCTGTGGCTAGCTCCCCACCAATCTCCCGCCAGTGGACCGCAACCTCGATGGAGCGGCCCTCAATCTCCACTATCGACATGTTCTGTGAGCAGTCCGTATGGGAGTCTGACTCCGATTCCGAGTCTGCTGGTCGTAAATCCATGTCCCGTCGGCCAATAGACACCCTGCGCAAGGTTCGCAGTCGTGCCAAGCTCCGTGCCGCTAAGTCGCAGCCGAGACTTAACCAGACTATGCCTGATGGCAATGTCTTTGAGCAGTTTCCATGTATGCCAGAGGATATCTTGGGAGAGCCTATCCCTGAAGCTTTCCGTCCTAGCATGGACCGCCCCAGCACTAGCAAAGAAGCTGTGCGGACACCCATCGGGCTGCAGACATTGCGCCTCGTTGACCCTTCCTCCACCTCTCTCACTCGCCCTCCCCGCTCCCGCAAGAACAGCAGTCTCAACAGCTCCGACGTTGACCGCTCCGCAGCTGCCGCTTTCCAAGCCCAGTTTCGCCGTCGCCAGCGTTCCGAGTCCACTGAATACACCAACTCTGACAAGAGTGACAAGGAGAAATTGACCTCGTTTTGCTACGATCACTTCTCCTCAGCCCCCATCAACGGATCTCGCGAACAGCGCCCCCTCTTCCAACGTTTCATGAACTCCCTGCGTTCGTTGAACTGCCAGAAGCCCCAAAAGTCTAAGAAGACCAATGTTACCACCATCTGATGCATTTACACTCGGAGTTCCGGTTCTCTGGGTTCAATTTTAACGGACCAAACTATGATACAACATACCGACTTGACCAACGATCCCTCCAACGATTTCATATCATTGTCTTCATGCTTCCAATGTGTCTCGATTATCACGAACACGTCCATTCTCTCACGCTATATCTGATTCTGCTTCCCGCGCACAATGAAAATAATGAATCTCCAGACCCGACTGTGGATGGACATAGACGCGCTCAACCACGTTCTTTACATGCGCTATCTCGCGCCACGAAACGAACATCACGCCTGGTCCTACGGACCATGACTACCGACTTATGACTCGATACCCTCGAGCTAACTATCTTTAATTTTCCTACCTGTCATTTGCACTCCTTTTCTTTCCTGTCTTGACTGCGCCTCATGCGTGCTGTATTATCATCGCTCTGTCTAATTACGAAGTTACTATTTCGAACGGTCTTCATTTTTACCATGTCTGACTGAATTATGTCTCGCCATTGCTGCTACGACAACCAATTTTTTTATTCACCTTGTGATCTATAATTACAAACTAGCGGAACACGCCTTTTAGGTCCGTGTTTCTATGACCAAAAATTGCATTCTCTGCACTCTTGCATTCATCAAAAGTCGTTCCACTACCTCATACTCTATGAATAGACAAAAATAGAGACCATCACATTTTACCTCAATCATGAATGATCCTTTGTTACTTCGTTGCCTAGGGGACGAGGCCGTTTTCTGGAATGCCAGATTGCGAATCTCAGACGATCCCCAAAGGTATCTCGAATACTACAGAGTACCGCAACCTAACCTCCTTAGACAACATCCATCCGACCGAGTAATGACGACCAACAAGATCTCATCTGCCTAGATAGACACGCCTCATAGCCCACACCATGCACGGGGACCCAATCACACCCGCAAACCCCGGACCACCAAGGGCGAAGGGAGCCACTAACCTTGCCCTAGACCAGGACGAAAGCTGGCAGATTTTGACTTGTGCCTCCGAACGACTGGCTCATTGCACGGACTTGGATAGCCCGACGCGCCACGTATGTACTGCGTTGCGTCATGGTCATTCCTAATCTAGAACAATCCGCAGATTCTCTTTCGGCTGTTTCAGAACACTAATATACTATATAGCGTATCCAGAATTCCGGGTCTGGTCTGCCAGCGTGGGGACACTAATGCTATCCTGCTTACCTGTCGAATTCTCGATGCAGCTATTCGTATGTTTCCCCACAGCGGCTGCACCGGGGAACCGCGGCGGGGATCTACTGGCTGCGGAGGTGGGATGCTCTTGGATCGACATGTCGAGGCGCGTTCGGATTTGGGTACTTAGGGCTTGGATGCCAACTGACGACTACCGACCGACACTCGCGCCTCATGTACATGCACAAGGCCCAACTCATATCGAATTCCTCTCATTCAAACACAAAACCTTCTAACTAGTGCATTCACAAAATAAGTGTCTCCTACGCACAAAACCCAAAGAGGATAAGACACATACATCCCTTGCATGCGCCCCTCAACGGCCGCCAAGCATCCGAGACCTCGAATCTCACCTCGGCTGAAAAGACTCAACGGATACTTCCACCTACGGACTACTTTGCTCCCTTTACTTTGTGATAGAAGCTTAAATCAAGCCTAACAATCTGACCCGCCAGACAAAGCTAAGCAACCCGTCCTCCTTCCCGTCTCCCCCTCAACCCTCGATCTGATATCACAAGTGCATTCTCTCCTCTCCAATACTGCTCCGTACTCCAACACGACCGATCTTCAAATCCCCACTTGACAGGTAGCGCTAGACAGGGATCATTCGAGCCGGGCCAAATATAGATATCTCCATCCCCTGGGCCGGGGCTCTTCTGTGGCCACCTCACACGCAAGGTCGCCGATCCACCGGCTGTGGGCCCTTTGCATCCCCGAGACCCGCCAGCTTGGGCGGGTTTCAGATCTATCGGACTTTGGGCTGTGGGGCTAGAGGGCTCGATTTGGTATCGCGTCTAGACCTTCGTGCTGTTTTGTTTTGTTGGAGGTGCTTTTGTTTTGTGCGATTACACGCTACAAGATGTGACATGTGACTCGTCATTTCTGCCTCGTGTTTGACAGGCGCGATTTGCAGGTTGCTTTTTTTGCTCTGACGAATTGTGGTCTATTGTAGACTACATCGATAATTGCGCTGGTGGCTATCGTTAAAAATTCGGCGAAATGTCGCTGAATTCGCAGAATAAAGTCGGATATCTAATCCGACACGAACACCACCATGGCAACAGCCGTGCATACAGTAGTGGGCAGAGCCCCAGCGTCAGTGTGTCTTAGAGAAGCACGATCATTATCCCAAGCAACCGAGAACAGTAGGTCGGACCGGCCTTCCGCCTAGCCCGTCCGCCGCATCAACCTTGCAGTGGCAGCGGAGACTGTTCCAAGGCTCTGGATACTCGCATCACCGCCGCAGGGGTGATCCTGCGGCGGGGAACGAGCAGCGGAGACCCCGAGAGACAGTGGACCGCACTCTGCAGGAACTCAATCCTGCATTTGCACCTGCAAGACGAGAGGAGACCTTTTCCCTCCTGCGTCCCTGTACCTGGAGGGGCATTGTTATGTAGATCGCCAGTCAAGCACAGCCAGCCCTGTGTCGTATCCATGACAAAGACATAGTGCAAGCCGTGAGAATATCTGCACAAATCCAAGACAACTTCAACTGTGCTCCACAGCCTGGCCCTCGCCCTTGCCCTTGGCCTTGGCCTCCTCTTCTTCCTCCTTCTTCTCCTTCTCCTTCATCTCCAAAGCCTCCATATTCTCCTCCCACCTCGGAACCTCAACCCTCCCCTCCCACCTAGCAACAACAACATCCCCCTTCCGCCCAAGTTGGGTCTCCGCCCGTTCCTCCTCCCCACCCTCCGCTCTCGGCGCAATCTCCGGAGCGCCATCCGCCCCAGCAAAAACAGCCTGCACATCCAGCTCCTTCAGCGCAGCTTCATACAGCACCCGGATCTGCTCCCTTTTCTGTCGCCTCAATTCCCCAATTTCAGTATTGCCATCCTTATCCGTCCCCGTAGATGAAGCGGCAGAATGTCCCGTCCGCACAGCCGGCTTCCTCACAACACCCGGTCCACTCCGCTCTTCGAACCCGCGTAGTAGTCCTTCCATAATTCCGAGTACCGTACCGGCACGCATACCCAGTTGCGCACCGACGGGGAAGCCTCCGTCGAAGCCTTCTTGCACGTGCGCGCCCTTGGAGGCGGACGTGCCGTCGCGGTAGCCTGCTGTGACGTGTTGGCGGCGGAGGCTGGGGAGATCGGAGGGTTCGGTGGATTGGGGGAGTGGGCTTGTGGCTGATGGGTGTGGTGCGTTGAGGGTGCTTTCGTATGGTGGAGAGGAGCCGAAGATGTCGTCGAGGGAGTTGTCGTCCACTGCGGGGTTGTCTTGGGTTGACATTGTTGTTGCTGGGGAGGGTGGGGTGGAGTGGGCAGATGATGAGTCTGTGTGGGCTGTCATTGCCCAGGTAGTATGGGGTTTGACTTCGGTTATGACTTGCGACTGTAGAGGTGTCGTGGGTTGATCTGAGTTTGTGAGGTCTGAGTTGAAAAAAAAAAGATAGCGGGTCGGCGGGGCGATCCGTTGATCCACGGAAGTATGTATATGGAGTTTATTTTGGAGTGTTTATGACCTCATTCAACAAGTTTACATCATATATATCTAGGTTATATAGATATGGATACTTATGTGAACAGTAGGACTAATATGGTGGAATGTACAGGTGAGTTATTCACTTCGACCGGGAATGCCTTCCGCCTGATCTAAGTGAAGAGATTTCTTTGCTGAATAGTCTCTCCCTATTGATCAGATGAAAGTTAGCAATTGCTGCGTGGAAATGAGGCTCTTCAGAATAGGGCAAAAAAGGTGGTCACGTACAGTTCTGAAGCTTTTGAGCGATAACCTTTCTTGCAGGCTTCCAAAATAACTCCAAATCTGCACCTGGGCGAGGTTTAGAGAAACCAACCTCGACGACTTGAAACACATCCTTGCTAGAACCTTCGATTTTATCAACATCTTTGTTGGACTGGGTATTATTAAATGCAATGAATTCCCTGGTTCCGACCCGAACAGCATTCAGCCATTCGAGTTGTTGCTCATTGCCATAAAAGGCTTTTGACATAATTTCCCAATGAAAAACCAGAAAGGACAATGCTTGTTGAAGTCGTAAGGGGTTCCAGGGATGGACTGCATGATTGAGTCCAGTCTCTTGTCAGAAAGTCTTATACAAGATGAGATTGTTAGGAAGAGAGAATACCTGTAGGGAGATGTTGCTTACTGAACAACAACATGAGTGATATCTGGTAGCAGTTTTGAATTTGTCCTCGACAATTATCTTGGCTGAAGGAACTGGGACTGTTATGGCATTATTATCCGGCAGTCTTTCATCCATTGTTTCCGTACTCTGTACATGCCTGTCAAATCGTTGTCTGTTACTCCGTGCTTACTCTTGAGTGTTACGAGGATACCTACACGTGACCAATATTATGCCTTGTTCTCAATTTCGGTTGGCATAAGGAATAAATCAGTGTATCTACTGTCACTAGGTCAAAATTCTCTCGAACGCAACTCGGCATTCTTCAGATGGGTTTCTTTTCTACCTCGAACCGTGCCGATTCCTTCATTGCAGCCGGTACAACCTCAACAATATATGCCGTTGACGAAAACTTTGTCATCAAACTCCGTCCCTCATTAGGGGATTTTCAGCGCCAAGCTTACGACACTGAAGTTCGCTCTTACAAGCGACTTGGGCACCATGGACACATCGCATCTTGCGAAGTAAACGAGGAAGGTCTCCTACTGGAACGCGGGATTTGTCTTCGGACCATACTTCAGAGTGCTGGAAGCACTTCCGATGGACCGTCGAAAGCCAGGGAGTCTCCGATCTCTTTAGCTACGAAACTTCAATGGGCGCAGGAAGCCGCGGATGGTCTTGCATATATTCATAGCAAGGGTATTGTCCATGCAGATATTGGTTGTCACAATATGACTGTGGACAACTCCAACCACGTCAAGTTCATTGACTTCGCTGGTTCCGGCATCGACAGTGAAGCCCCGTTAGTCTGCTACGAGTGGTTCAGCTTCCAACCTGGTAAGGAAATCGGTGTATGCACGGATATATTTGCTTTCGGGTCAATGCTGTTCGAACTTGAAACAGGGCGTGTCCCTTATAGCGAGCTGGAAGGGACTATGGAGATGGGGAACCTAATTACAGTTGTTGAGAACTTGTTCGCACAGCGGCAGTTTCCATCTGTGGAGACTTTGGCCCTCGGGTCTGTCATTTCTGCTTGCTGGAATGGCAAATACAATTCAATGGAGGAAGTCCATCGAGATATTGCGTGTCAAAGTAAGAATTATTCAGAGAAAAGCCTGTAAGGTTCGGCTGTTGTGGGTTGGTCTAAGCGGGTCGGGGCGATCAATGACCAATGCTATGTTGGGCCATCTTTTGAGACTTTGGCCCCCAAGCGCATCAGATGATGTGCCCAAAGCAGTTAGCAACCACAAGCCTCATGTTCTCCATTTCGATTTACATGAAGTCTCCTAAGTGACAAATTCACAGCCATGTCCAGACGCACCCTCCGTCTCCTAGGCTACACCACCGCCGTCACTGGCATAACCGGCTACAGCATCCACCGAGGACTAAGCCACCTGGAAGAAAAATACCCAGCACTTCCCCCCGCAGCAGGCAGCAGAGCCCTCCGCACACCGGAGCACCCAAATACACAACGCTGCGCATATACCGACATCTACGCCGCCCAAATACCGCTACAAGCCCTCGAAGCACGCATCCCAAGCGCCAAGACATCATCAAAAACAGAGCTCGAGTATGCCTGGGCTCGATCCGTGCTCGGGAGCAAGCTCCTACGAGCTGAGGGCTCTATCCTCGGACTACTCACGAGCTTCCGCTTCACGCCATGCGATACAGGCAGCTCGACAGGAGGATTCTCGCCGGATGAAACCACCGGTGCGCCTCGCGTTCTGCTGAACGGTTTATTTCAAGTACAGCGCCTTCCGGCCGCTGACGCGGATAGCAATGGACTGCTGGTCTCGTCGGAATTGCCCGACAAGCCCCGCGTGTTCTTTGAGATGATTGCGCGGTGGGGGTATCCTTGGCGCTTGATGTCGCGTGTGAAGCATGAGATGAGTGTTTCTGAGCCGTTCTGGAAGAATGGTCAGGGGATGTTTGTTGAGGTGCGGTTTGCAAGTGCGCATGATTATGAGATTGTGGATGTAGAAGGTGAGCTTGGGAAACAGAAGATTATTCCGGATTGGACTTTGAGACTGCATCGTGGATATGCTAGGTTAATTCTTGATTCTGCTGTTCGAGAACTGCAACGGGATGTTGAGAAATAGTCTCGCTTTCGTATTGGGCTCTCTTTTATACCCTTCGCCTTCCACCTTGGAGAGCTGAATTAGCTGTGGGTATACCTCAGGCCTGCTAACGTCGGACACTTTGGTTTATGCCGTAATTTGGTCATCAGAAGATCTATTGTACACTCCCAGGGAGCAATGAGACAGCCATACCTTGGACTTGCGATGACATTCATCTCGTACTTAGCTCTTCAACAAGCACTATATCCAAACTTATACACATTTATCTGATACACCATATTTACCACGCGGTATCAACATATCTCCAATGATCAAATTCTACTCTATTCCTCGCCTTCATCGTCACCCGCATCCGAAACACAAGCACTCCCATTTGGAACAACGGTCCACGACTCGAACCCATTGTACAAATAACACACATCCCAGCCGCTGGTAATGCTCCCTAGCAGACTATCCGCCCCACCGGAGCAATCAGACGAGCTGAACATGCAAAGATCATACCGGTTCACGTCGGAGGGGCTCTTCCATGAGAGACTTTTGACATTCGTTGAGTTGTAGTAGGTAGTATCTAACCCCTGACAGTCGAGCGCCCTCGCGCCGGAGTAGTGGAGAATAGAGTATTGGATATTGTTCACGGAGCTGTTGCAGGCCGGGGGTGCTACGCTGAGGAAACGGAAATCCCACTGTGAACCATTAGCAGGTTTGATTTAGCATACTTGTCGGAATCCGGCGTGTTTGACATACGGCTCTGTAGGCAAGAACTGTGAGATCTTCCGGGTTGGGTAGTGCGTTGACGGTCCAGGGAGCGACGCTAATGAGCGTCAAGCATGTAAGGAATTTCATTATTTTGGCAGAAATAAGACTAAAAAGCAGGGCTTGGGATTATGCAGATATAAAGTACAAGCTGGAGGGAAATGTTTATTTGAGATATCCAGGACATAATTGCTTCTTATTATACGGAGTACCACCACTCGCCATCCCATTCAGACTATTTTAATCTCAAACACCTCTGCACCTGCAGAAGCGGAGCCTGTACCTCCAATCACAGCCATCGACGGCCAGGAGAGACTCGATCGGCTCGATGGCCACTCCTTTCAGCTGCAGCCAGAGAGCAGCTGAAAGAACATGGCCAAGGAGAAGCCAGGACGGAGTAACTACGGGGTACTCCACAGAGGGGTCTCGGGTGAGTTTTCTCTTGGCGGGGGAAAGGCACGATGCTGTTGGGCTCTCATTGGGCGCGATATTGGCGAGACCCTGGTTCCTGTGTTCCTGGAGGGTCCGATCGGATATCCTGCGGCTCACCTGATCTCGGGGGAATAGGATGAGGTATATTGAGGTTGTTGGATACTCAGTACATATTGGTTGTCTCGCCGATTTAGAAGGATGAGCGTTAACTTGGCTCAGGGACGACTGGACGGGATTTCGTTTTACGTGCAGCCTACGGTGTTGACCTCGGGGACGTCGGGAGATGACTCCATCTGGTTATATAGTTAATGATTGTGTGCCCAGACATTTATCGAGACACCGAGCTGAGGAACGGCGAGGAAAGGAAGTACAAAAACCGCGAAAACCTTCAAATTGGACAAAAGAAGCTTTTTTTTTTTAATATACTATCTTTCCGGAGTAACCTACGGAGCATACAATAATGCATCATGCATTGTGCTTCGTGACAAAAACCATACGTTGGTCCTTCAGGACACTGTAATAACACCCAAAGCTGGTGAGAAAGACGCCTCGTCTAAATTATTCATCTATTCAATCTATAGAATATCCCAGACAGATGGTATACAAAGACATTATAGGCCGTCACGACACACCAAATCACGGAGAAATGTCTCACCCGCGCTGGGGATTAGACGTCAACCGCCAAGCCCGGAGAGGCAAGTCCTGTAGCTTCTGCGCAGCCGGCTTGATAAACATAATGAACGTGAGCGTGCCAATGAGCACACAGAGTATGTTGGTCATATAGTACCCATCACGGTCGATGTGGCAGGTACCGCCGCCGTTCACGCAGCGGTTCTTTTCTGGCTCAAGGGCGCAGGAGAATGCCGTCGTGATAAGAGTGTCTTTGAGAGAATCGGCGGGTGGGGCGATGGTTGGGGGAAGACATGTTGCTTGGGTGAACATGTCGACGAGTTTGAGGACGAAGATTCGGGGGAATGTTCCACCCAGGTTGCAGACGCTGAGATGAGATGTTAGTAATGTGTGCATGTTGGGGGGAAAGGGGAGTAGGACTTACGTTGCGAGGAGGGTCATGTACGTCCCGCCAATGGCTGGGTCGGCGATTCGCGCGTGGAAGGCCGAGATGGCCACGAACATGACCGTGTTCATAAAGGTTGAGAGAACATGCTCGCCAATTACCGTGAGCATGTACCACATTGGCATCTCCGAGGCTGTGGGATAGATCATGACCGTGAATTGAGCGAGCACGGCGGCTGCTAGTCGTCCGATAAAAGCCCAGCCCCAGAGGCGCATTGCTCCGTAATTGGTTGACCACTGGCCGGCATAGTAGCCCAGCATGATTTCAAATGGGAAGTCGATCAACACGACCAGGGCCATGTTGTCTTGGCCAAAGCCCTTGTCGAGGAGCTTGAGACTAGTGACTCCGTCATTGGCCTGGAAGCCGATCTTGGCAATGAGGTGAATCAGGATAATGGTCTGGATGTTCTTCAACTTCAGAACGCTCCACATGCTTTTATACACATCCATAATGCTGTCGCGTTCTTTGCTGCGTTCTTCCTTCTTGAGGAAGGCCAGACCACACGTCACGATCAGATACGCCCAGCCCCAGAAGTTGAGATAAGTGCCGAGAGATAGCAGACCTTCCTCGCCGGGGATAGTGCGGAACCATCTGTTCGCAAAGTCCTTGGAGTTGAACGCCAAGAAGACAGTGTAGGACAGGAAATGGCCCGCCGTCAACCCGACCGTTTGGGCGGTCGAGGCGTAGGAAATGTTCGGTGGGGACATCAAAGTGATCGCCCATCCATCTACAGCGATATCCTGGGTGGCACAGAAAAGCACTAGCATAAACCACCAGTATGTGAATTTCCAGACGCCCGCGCCATTATCCGCGCCGGCCTCGATCATCATATTCTCTATATGGCTACCCATATAGATCATAGCTAGTCCGGCGATCACCTGCACGGGGGTGATCCAGCTCTTGCGCCGCCCAAAGCGCGTACTCCACACGGCATCGACAATAGGACTCCAGAATAACTTGAGCGAGTATGGGTATGAGGCGAGCGAGAAGATTCCGATCTGGCCGTATGAGAGGTACGGCTTGAGCAGGAAGGGTACGGAGCCGGTGGCTAGGCCCATGGGGATTCCTTGGAGGAAGTATAGTAGGACCAGCAGCAGAAAATTGCGGCGATCACTGCGCGGTAGATTGTGGAACGTTGTGTTTGTCTGGATTGGGGTTTGCGGCACCAGGTCGTTGTCGAGGGAGAAGCTCGGTCGCGACATAAGTTGGGCTGTTCTATCGGCTGAGGTCTCTGCGGAGGGCGTATCCCTCCTGCGCATTTCGATATTGTTATTCATCTTGCCATTCGCACGTCCGTTTGACCCGGTAGAGACTGTCAGGTTCGCTTTGGAACGCCGCTTCGAGAGGGTCGCGTGCTTGCGTGTCATTGAATGCTGTGTTATGGTAGGGAGCGATCGCCTTTGTCAGCTTCGGCAACTTCGTCCTGATTGGATCGAGGACTGAAGTTGGGTATTATGTATTGAATGGTGAAAGGGATGGATCGAGGGTTCGGCTTCGAAGGGGCTGCGGGTTTAGATGCTCAGGGTGTGCTGTATGTTAAATTCCACTGAGAATGAAGGAGTGAATGAGGAATATAAAAGAAAGAAACTTCAGCGAATCTTTAGTGGGGGATCGTTGAACCGTAGGATGACAAAAAACATGAGGCAAGCTGGCCTCTTGGCTGGCTGCAGATCCGGGGACCCGAGGGGTTCTATTTTAATCTGCCTGGATGGAAAATGGTCGATGGGAATGGACACAATCTGAGTCTGAGTCTGATATTGATGTTTTTGATATGTATATTCTCTCTTGTAACACAAATAGCACGTTCCCTATGAGGTCACCACATCAACACGGTAGGACTGCAGGGGTCAGATCTATAAACCCAAACTCCAATTTAAACACCTTTGAGGCTTAGTCTCAGGATTTCTTCAGATCTTGCATAAGAAAAGAACAAACTGATGATCTCAGCCCACTCCGCCCACTCCGTAAGCCCAAGCTTCTGCAGAATCGCGTCAGATGTTGATGAGATCACGTGTCAAAATAAACTATGACAACATAAGGATCAGAATCACCGCGCGAACCTCACCAGCTCCCCAACCAATATCCAAAATGACATCTCGCGTTCCCACATCACCAGAGCCAGAAGAAGTGGAGCTAGACACAGAAATCGCCTCAATCCGCGCAGAAAGTAAGCATCCCAATCCCAATCCCAATCCCAATCCAAGCTAAATCAACAAAGTCCAAACCCTCCGAAAACGCAAGCGCATCCTCACATCCAGCCTCATAACAACCGACACAGTTCAAAACCTCCTCAAGAAACCTCAACCCCCAACCACCAAAACAACCCCAACAGACCCCCTCACCACAATCTCCCCGCTCGTCCACGCCGCCGGCGCCCACACCTCCTCAAACCACCACCGCATCGCCTTCGGCGCAACCGCCTTCCCATTCAAAGACCCATCCGCAACAGCCAGCGCGAAACCCCTCCTCGGCGTGCGTATCGACGTATGCACGCGCAATGGCCGCTTCGCGAAACCATACTACATCCTCCTCAAACAGGAGCGGGGTCGCGCAGGGCCCGAGTCGGGTCCCAAGATGTTGAAAGTGCATCGGCATACAGTGCCGGGGTTTATATCGATGTCGAAGCTAGAGGGTGTGTATCTACCGCGGCCTGGTGTGATGCGCGACAATGGAGATGCGGATGGAGGTTCATCTGGCGGGGATGAGGATGAGGACGCTGAACCTGTGAAGCTGGGGAAGAAGAGCGGCCGGAGGCAGGATCTTCGCGGGTTTGTGCGCGAGCTTCGGAGGGAGCTTGTTGCGTGGCATATGCGTGTTGATGCTGTTGAGTTCCTGCGCCAGAAATTGGGCCTTGTTGGTGAAGACGGCGGGTCCTTGCCGTTTGATGTTTCGCCGGATCGCGATACGGGCATTGTGTCTTTGGCTGCTGTTGCAGTTGAGGCGCGGTATGTGCGTGTTGAGTGGGTTGATGGGCGGGTTGGGCGGTTCAAGTTGTCTAATGCTGGAGTCGTGGAGCGGGCGGTTGTTATTGGTGATGAGGGTCGGGATAAGAAGGTCGAGGATGCGATGACTGGTGGTGGTGGGCGGGTTGAGACGGTTTTGGATAGGTTGAGGGTTGATGTGTTGTCTGGAGCACCGGCGCTATGAGATGTTGTTTTACTTTGTTTTTCAGCAAGAGATACCCCAATGTCAATTTTGAATGTTCGAAGCAAATTAACTTGAATTCCAGAGCAGCTAAATTATAAACAGGTTGGTATATCTATTCAATGGTCTCCACCAAATGCTACGCAATCATGAGACCCAGAAGCCGTCGTGATGCGTGAATGTGTACTCCGTACGTGACTGTCAATTCAAAAGCAGAAAGTTTATTACAAGGGCAAGGGGCAACATGGACAGAAGAATGGGGTATTATAAGGGTATATAGAGTAGATGTCGTGTCGTCGTCTCCAATTAGAGAGGCACACAATCCTTGGGATGGATTGTATCGGGGGTTGAATCGGGGGTTGAAGTTTCTAGTGGTGAGCGTTCCTTAACAGAAATGGGGGTATTGGGGGTAGTGAAAGCGACAAGCGGCAAAGGACCATATGACTGGCCATGTCGCACCTCGAGATGCCGACGTAGCACAGCCTCTTCCAAATACCAACGGTGCCGTAGAGTCGTCTTCTTCGTTTCCAGAGCTTGCATGAGAGAGTTTACTTCTCGTTGGTGCTCGAGCTGCAAGGCCGCAGCATCTTTGATGTGTCGTTTACACATTTCATCCAGTTCTTTTTCCATACGCGCGGTGGCTTCCTGGAGCTTGAGCTCTTGGCGGTCACGGAGGACTTTGATGCGGGCGTGATGGAGCTGGTCCATGGTCTTGTGGGAGTGGTATTGTTGTTCTAGCTGCTCCATGTGTCGGCGCGTGAGCACACGAGCTGGCGCGGTAGAGTCGGATTCCGAGAGAGATTCCGATGACCGTTCGGATCGTTCGGATCGTTCGGCTCTGATCAGTGTTCCGGCGGGAGATGGCGGCGGGCTGGCATTGCGGAGATATCCTTCCATATGCTTGATGCGGGTGCGCGAGTTCATTTTGGCGCGATCGAACTCGCGTTGCTGTTCGATTTCTACCGCCAGCTGTCGCTCTTCGATTTGGGCTATAGCTTGGATATTCTGCACAAGCGCTTGTTAGTAAAAATAAATTAAGATCCCAATGTCGTAAAGCGAACCTTTTCGCGTTTCTCATCCTCCTGGCGCTGATTGTCAGACTGTTGCTCCGAGACAGCGGTCTGGTGCCGACGCCGGAGGGTACTTAGAGCGGCGTGTTGGAAAGCGAGATGTCGGTTCCTTTCCATCTGATGCCGCTCATGCATCTCGCTTAAATCCGGATCCTCCAGACTTCTTTGTAGTTCTTCTTTGCTGAACCGAGGTATTTCCAACCGGGGAAGTGTTACCTCATTGCTCGCGTGGGGTATAACATTTTCATGGGCAGCAATGACAGGTTCCGGCTTGGGTTCGAAGAAAACATGTTCAAGGTCTTTGTCGCTCGTGGATACAGTTATGCGATCTTCCGAAGGCAAGAAAATGGCCGAGGACGTGCGTTTCTTGCGGAAATTAATCCTCCCGATAGCAGACTTGAAGCTGCTCCGTCGCCTCCCCTTCTTGTCGTCCGACGCGACGCTGAGAATTGAATGCCGATGCAAGTTGGCAAACGGATCATTATACCCCGGCGCTAAAAGGCCTGTTCTCCCCTCACTGGAGCAAAACGAAGTCGGGCGCGTAGACAGCGAAGCCAGCGATCGCGTACTGCCAGTCTTGATGCGATCCGAGGAAAGCGCGACATCCGACAGCGAGGAGACAATATCATCGAGCACGGATGGCACGGGGGAGGACGGCTCGTGGGACGGGGTGACGGAGCCGCACACAGAATTCCGATCGGTCGACGATCCAGAAGACAGGACTGGCGAGGAAAGATCGACCATTCCTGAGGCGATCGAGGCGGCCAGTGGCGCAGAAGCTGCGATCTCTGGCACTTTCAGACCCAGTTGTTGAGCCTCCTCGGCTAGGTGCTGCGCCTGCGCTGCCTCGGATTCCGGGGAGGGGTGGTGGAGGACATCGGTGCGATATTGGGCCTCATCGAAGATGGGCCCGGTGTGTGACTCCATTGTATGTACAATTATAGGAGGTATGTGGCGCCTAACCAGCGGGCGCACATGAAATTCCAGGTCCGGGAGAGAGCTAAGAATAATACCGGTTCCACATGGATGCGTTCTATGACGGCATCCAGGGAATCTAAGGATGAGGGGTTGTAAGGACAGTATTAAGAGTTGAAGGGTGGAGGTCAGAGGTCCAAGCTAAAAGGTTCGGGGCCGAAAAGGGTAGAAAGGGGAAAACAAAGCGCAGACGACGGTTATGGCCGTTTCCTTGTTTCCTCATGTTTGGTCGTTTTAGGCAATTTTGGGAAAAAAAGGAAAATAATCACCTCCGACCCACGGGTGGTCCTGACGCCATCCATGGTTCTACGCCGGGGATCGCAGTGAAACGGGCAATTGCATGAGAGATCGATCTAGCTCTAACGGTTATATCGGCTTTATGCTTTATTTACACATCCCTGCACCTGCATTCCCAAGGTATACGCTTCTATACGCTGGATCCCGGGCATCCCTACGGATAGATAACGCCCCTCGATCCAGGCCATATGAAGAAGGTAGGGCTTAGGGCTACTTAAATTGCCTCGGTCCCATGGAAAGGACGGATCAGCCCATAGATCAGGCCATTTAGAGACCTCCTATCTAGGTAGTTCAATACAACATATGTATGTAGCCAAGGAATAACCCTACTCGTTCAACATGTCGCATGCCAGTTGATAGGCCCGCTCTTTAGCTTGGTATTGCGGAGTCCCCGCCCTCGTCTTTTTATCCTTATCCCATCCATGACTACAACCCCGCATGCGCTCACTGACCACATGCCGGCCTGGCAACGTCTTGATCCTCTCAGCCAATTCCTCGCCCTCGGGTGCGAGAGTATCACCATCGGCGGTGATCATAAGAACACGTCGTGGGAATCGATCCGCCGGAGCATAAGTCGGTGAAATGCGTGGGTCCCGCTTGTCGAAGGATGGGGGTACGTAGCAGCGGTCGAAGAGGCGCATGAGAGCAAGAGGAATGACGAAATCTGCACGGGCCGGGGCGATCTTTGCTCCAGGATCAGAGCCTATGTCGGTCACAGGATAGAATGCTAGCAGGGAGCGGAAGGTCTCGGGAGGGAAGAGGTTTGACGCAGTCGCCAGCGCGAGGTTGGCCCCAGCACTAAATCCAGACATGGATACTCGGGTGAGGTCGAATTCATCCGGACGCGTGAGCACGTATTTGACAGCGTCTTCCACGTCGTTCAGTGCGGCGGGGAACGGGTGTTCGGGGGCCAGACGATAGGAGACGTCTAAGACAGTGTACTTCGTTTCCTGGCTGATTCGTCGACAAAATCCATCGTCGCCGCCATGGAGCGGTACCAAGAAGCCACCCTCGTGGAAGTTGAGGAGGACGGGTGACGGGCCTGAGTCAGAGGACTGATACAGATGAATCTTGATGGTTCGGCCAGCATCCCGGGATTTGATATGGCGGACTTCATCTGGACTGGCCGATACCTTCATGGTAAGACGCACCATTGTGCGAACGAGAAACACAAAGCATTTGTTATAGTAGTACATGAGAATATCCATGGTTGGCGTGAGATGCTGTATGGCGTGAGACGATGTAGTAGTTATGTTGAAGCTGAATCTCACCGGAGGCCGGGATTTGAAAGGCCACTGCTGACCTCCCCCCTCTTCTAGTCTATTCTAATTTCTGACATCTTACAGCCCGTAGATATCCAATTAGAAATGATTAACATGTACTTTTTCTTATTTCTACCTAATATATCCCACCCAATTATAAGGCATATTCAGGCCAGAATCTCAAGGCACCCCTGCATTACACAGTGTAACTTTATCCGGATAATCTGATACCTTCATCCCATTGTTTGCAAATAATCTACTTGTATAATCTCCGTGATGTGAACCATAGCTGTTCTAGTGCGTTGGTATATCTCACCGCTCGTGGCGGTATTGAGCCCCTTATCAATTAGCTCTCAATTCCCCGCATTAGGACAATTCCACGCAGAGCCTCATTGGCTTCCACGCACCCGTCTACCAATCAGAATGACCGGCTTCTGTCGTCACGCTCATCTCCAACACCCATCGCCATCGCATCTATTGTTCCCCTTTTAGAGACCCAAGTTGTCTGAGAAACAACCATCCTAGTTTCCAAGCCCACGACTTTTGAGTTTCATTAACCAAACAAAGACTACTTACTGAGCTTGGACAGGAGTCCTGAGAGACCTCGCTTTCAACATCATATCATCTACACGCGATTTTAGGATGCCCGTCAACACTAATTTCACAGTCTTCATACGCTTACCATTTCCAAGAGGCGACTTTGTCGATCCGCCACCTGCAAGTCTCCCCACAAAGACCCCTGGAGCATCCACTGACATAAACAGGTGGAATGGAATGCATCCAAAGATCAAGCATTATGGGATATCCTTTCTCGGCCATCTAAAGGTGACATAGACTGTATGTATTGGTGTTGCTTTGAGACCTTGCTTTGATATCGCTGACATCATCACAGGGAAAGCTCTGTAACTGCACTCTGCCCCTGACACTTTAGCTTGGAGCTGCTAACACGCTTGTTTAGGGCAGAGAACTTCGATGTCACCTTGCAGTTCCTCCTTCAGCAGGCAGCATGGCTCTATGATCGCCAGCTGTCGCAGGTTCGGGCTCAAATGCGCAAGGTCGGCACTACACAGTCGAACTCCCCTTCCCCGGCTCCAGGATCTGTGTCTGGTAGTACAGCATTGGGTGGACAGTCACAGAGAGAAACACCAGCACCAGGTATATCCTAGCTTGCTTTATATTCTTTCTTGTCTATGGTCTGAGACTGATGACCAGCAGGTTCTCGGGCGCCATCCCGGCAAGTATCTCATCCGAAAGATATCCCTCTACGAGGTATGGACCGAAACCCTACCCGTCTTCGCACAGGCCATTTGGTACCGCCGGTGGATCGATCACGTTTAACATTGACTGCAGCCCCTGAGAACCGACGTACCAGCTTTACATCAACTACGCCTACTAACCTCACCCGCGGACCTCGGGACCCTACACGCACCGCCACGCCGACAATCGATGACAAAGAATCACGCTGGGATTCTTTGGCTCACCGGCCTTCGGCTGTGAGACGAGAACAACCACCGGTCGCGTCTTTGCCCAGATCTTCGCCACTCGAGGAAGAGTCTCTGTCCTCGAGCTCATCGGAAGAATCAGCATCCGACGACGATAACACAAACAGACGTGCACCCCTGTTCAAACGGTTTGGCAAATTTTCTACTCATCGTCTACGGGATGATGAGGACGACGAAGAAGATACTCCAGCCTTCCTGCCCCTATCCCGCGAACATGGGCGTATCCATCGGGACCGGTCAGGCCAGGAACTCAGCGCCACACTCCGTTTAGATGCCGAGCGAGCAGCGGCGCAACGGCGACACCCCGAGCAGCGGCCTAATCCTAGGGTACCGGCACCAACGGACTCATCTACAAGCTCAATCAGCTCCGGTGGACGTAGCAGCCTACCCGGTGGACCCAGGCGGACCAGCCAGGGGGGATCGATGCTGAGCCCTGCCGAACGCCAGAATTCGCGCAAGTCCACCGCCTCCGGTCGCGAAGCTAGCGATGGTACTCCCAGCATGGGAAGCAGCTTCAGTGACCTCGACGGTATGTGTCCCAACCCCCAGGATTCTGGATTTCAACTGATCGACTGGTCAGATGCAAGTGTTACCCAGTCAGCCCTGGAGGAGGCCCTTCTAAGCAACATGCAGCATGGTGGAATGGCGAGTCGGATGAGCACTATCAGTCAAGCCTTGCGCAGCCGGTATCTGCAGTGAAATGCATCTTACATAGGAATATCTATTTTGACAGGTTGCACTACAACGTAGTATGTGTACAACATATGATGTAGCTCATGTGGGGTGCCTGACTGTGTTCCCGCATATGGCCTCCACGTGACCGAGTGGCGCCTCGGCATCTCGGTGGTACGTTCCAGTGACATAGTGGCATTATGGATATCTTCACTTTGTCCGGAGTTCCCTATACTCAGATATTCCAGGTATTCACTGTCACGCATCGGTCAGACGGGAGCGCTAGTGCCGGATCAGGTCGTTCAGTCTCAACGCCCAGAGGAGACATATGATGGAGGGGTAGCTCAACCTAGCTACCTAGTTACGTTTAAAACGTTGAATGTTCAACATAAAGAACTGTTGGATATTGTGAATAACGAGATTCTTGGCCGATCCTGAAAAGCTGACCGGCATCAAAGAACACCGACTACAACCCCACCAAGGTTAGGACGCCGAGCGGCATCCTCGGCATCTCGTCGACTACACTCACCGGCAGTTCTTCGATTCACAATTGTCCAACCCCTTTTCCCCGTTGCAAAGCGTCTATACCATCATTCAAAACAATGGCACCCCCATTAGTGGGCGACATGCCCCCAGCGGAGGCAGAGTCGGTCTATTTCAATGAATACCCCCCACCAAAGGCACTGCCACGCCATGAAGCGCTCGCGCGCGCATTCATTGACCTGCACGTGGAGGCACACCGGCGTGTAGTACTCGTCACATCCGGAGGAACAACGGTACCACTTGAAGCGCAAACCGTACGATTCATCGACAACTTCTCCGCCGGCACTCGTGGCGCCACATCGGCCGAGTACTTCCTCGAGCAGGGGTACGCAGTGATCTTCCTACACCGACAATACAGTCTGCTACCGTACTCGCGGCACTACAGCCACTCGACCAATTGCTTCCTAGACTTCATGGATGAGAAGCCGGCGTCGGCGGACTCCTCCAACCCTGGCCATGGACCCATCATGGTGCGCGACGAGTACCAAGACGAGATGCGCAGCGTGCTGCGGAAATACCGGTATGCGAAGCAGAACAACCTCTTGCTGCTGCTGCCGTTCACGACAGTCTCGGAATACATGTTCGAGCTGCGGGCAATTGCGAAGCTGATGCGGCCGCTTGGCTCGAATGCGCTCTTTTACCTCGCGGCTGCCGTCAGCGATTTCTTCATTCCTCGCAGTCGCATGGCAGAGCACAAGATCCAGTCTGGGGAGTTGCCTCCGCACATGCAGGGCAGTGCAATCTCATCGGATGAAATCTATACGGGTGAGAATGAAGAAAATCCTTCGCATAGCCGGAAGCTCGTCGTCAACCTCGACCCCGTGCCCAAGTTCCTGCACCAGTTGGTAGATGGCTGGGCTCCCGAGGGGAGTATGGTTGTTTCGTTTAAGTTGGAGACGGATCCGTCGCTGCTTGTGTACAAGGCGCGCGCTGCGCTGCAGCGCTACTCCCACCACTTGGTGATTGGCAATTTGCTTTCCACACGCAAGTGGGAGGTGGTTTTCATTACCCCCGATGAGCCGTATGAGCGCTGGCTTCGGGTTCCGAAGTCCAAACGCAGCAAGAGTATCTCTGGGGTTGAGGATCAGGTTGGGTTGGCGGAAGCTAATAAGGCGGATTCGTCGACGGTGGAGCAGACGGAGGCTAAACAGATTGATGAGAACAGTCGGGATGGAATTGAGATTGAGAGTCTCATTATCCCGGAGTTGGTTAAGCTGCATACTAAAATGATCGAGAAGAACAAGCAACCTGCGCAGTGATATTTCTTGGATGTACAATTCAATGTGAATAAATAATGAGTCTTCTCGGGTCTTTTAGTTGAATTAATTAATACTGACATGGGTTCGATGTAGTACTATGTATGTCTATGACTTTATATATCATTCTTACAGCTAGATCGTTGCATGCACTCATTTTTGAGATATTCAACCCGCTATCAGTGTTACTCACACACTATGAACTATTTTCCTTTTTGTGATGTCTTCTATACTGCTTTTGAAGGATTGTATCACCATCATTGAAAGACTGTATACGACTAAATCGTGTACACTTAGGTACTTTCTGTATATGTATATGTGACTACTCTCAACTCTTGAATGCTTCAGATTCGACTACTCAACACGTCATGATATCTCCGTGCTGATCCTGGTGGACCCTGACATCGTGCGGGACCCCGGAGCTCTTCACCCCTGAAGTGAAGCCTTGGAATATCTCTCATTTATAGCAAGGGATCACCATATCTCAAACAACATATATTGGATTCAAGGGGCAGCTATTTAAAACCTCCAAATTCCATCTGGGCTACGCGTCCCGATGTGTCAGCGGCAAACTTCGGCGGCGATCTTCCTTAGCTCCGACCTTTCCCCAGTAATTTGCTCTTTTGGTTAACAGGAGAGGGGGGAAAAGATCTATTTTCAAGCACTGTTCTGGAGAAAAGATGATCAATTGATCTATTCTCTGTTTGGTGTACTCAATTTTCTCAGGATGGTGTCCCGCCGGTTCAGCCGTCGCCTGATTGTAGTTGCAACCGTCGTTGCGCTCATCTTCCTCTACAATATCGGCTTCCTCTCCAGTCACAATCGCCAATGGCGCCCTCACTTCACACCTACGCCGGAAATCACCCCGGCCCTCGATGAGAATGGTGAACCAACCACATACTGCCCACCCCTACCCGGCGTCGAAGATGTGCTCGTGGTAATGAAGACCGGAGTGACCGAATCGCGCGAGAAAGTCCCCATCCACTTCCGAACAACCCTACGATGCATCCCCCACTTTGTAATCTACTCCGACTTCGCCGAAGAAATCGAGGGCGTCCAGATCCACGATGTCCTCGGCAACATGGACAGCGCCGCAAAGAAAAACCCGGACTTTGACTTCTACCACCGCATCGTGAAATACGGCCGCAAGGGTCTGGAGCAACACGATTTCTCCGACGAAGCCAACTCCGCCATCGGAAAACCCAACAATCCAGGCTGGAAGCTTGACAAATGGAAATTCCTCCCGATGGCCCAGGAAGCGCTCCGCTACAAGCCGGACGCGAAATGGTTCATCTTCGTCGAAGCGGACACGTACATCTCATGGCCAACAGTCCTAACCTGGCTGGCCCGGTTCGACCACACCAAGCCACACTATCTCGGCACGGAGACTCAGATCGCGGACGTCATCTTCGCCCACGGTGGCTCGGGCTTCATGCTCTCCAATCCCGCCCTACAGCGCGCCTCCGACGAGTACACCGCCCGCGAGGTCGAGCTGAACGAATATACAGACCAGCACTGGGCCGGCGACTGCGTGCTGGGTAAGGTCCTCAGCGACGCAGGCGTCAATCTACACTTTACATGGCCGATCCTTCAAAACTCCAACCTCGGCGAACTGGACGAGTTCACCACGGACTTCTACCGAAGACCATGGTGTTTCATCGCCGCAACCCTGCACCACCTCTCCCCAACCGAGATCGAGAGCCTCTGGAAATTCGAACAAAAGCGCTGGCGTGATGTGAGTGAACCCAATCCATTCTACCACTCCATAACATTGAAAAAAATTCCTAACCAATAACCCATTATAGAAAAATAAACGCATCCTCCTGCACAGCGACCTCTTCCGCGAATACATAGCCCCGCAAATAGAAGCACAACCCGCACGTACGAACTGGAACAACATGGCAGACGAAGAACAGCCCTTCGCGCACACACCCGACGACTGTCGCTTGATCTGCGAGACGCAGACCACTTGCGTGCAATTTGCCTTCCGCGAAGATAAATGCTTCACGAGTCTCAACCCGCGTCTCGGACATGCCGTTCCGGGCGGTGTTGCGACGTCCGGCTGGAATACTAGTCGGATCCGCGATATGACGGCGAAGAAGGGAGTTTGTCGGAAGCCTGATTTCGGGGATTGAGGTGATTTGACCGTACCGTGCTGAGATATTTTTGGGGGTTTTTTTGGTTTCCCGGGGTGCGTGTTATTATATGTTGGTTTTTTGCCATGTACGTGGTTTTCTTATTTGGGTTTATATTGCTTTGCATCGAGAGCGAGAAATGGGCACGATTTGGCGATTGCTTGGGCTTGGAGCCCGGTCTGATATTTGGCATACGGGGTGATTTGGGTCGGTTGGAACCTGCATTTTTTTTTCTCCTCTGTGTATGTACTACCATCTTCTGGGACCTGTGGCTGATGATGAGCTTGAATAGACAAGCTGTGTTAGTGGCGTTGGTGCTTGGTTGAACCCTTCTTATATACTTGATCGCTCAATACACATCTTGATCAAATTACACAGAGACCCATCTTGTTCCTGTGGAATCACAACTTTGCTTCGTCATTGATCTACTGTTCAACAAGGTAACTGGAAAATAGCAAGAAACGAATAAGAATAGCATTGCTCGGGCGATGTCAACCACCAATTAGGAGAGAGTACACTAAAAATATTTACAGGACAAGTCCTGCTGTGCGTCTGCACAGATTTCACGGCGTTATCCATTTACAACGGTGGAGCGGACGCATCCTCCATACACTGGTCGATTCGCATGATGTGGTATCCGGCTCTTTTGACATGCCGAATGAACTCCGGTAGATACCCAATGGTAGTCGGATTCAGGTAGTGCATGACGGCAAGATTCCCGCCCTTGCCAACACTGCGGACGAAGGCTTCAAGCTGCTTCTCTGGGGTAGTTGTGTTTGCCCATAGCCAGTCTTCGACGTCCACACTCCAGTTCACAATGTACGGGTTTGGTATGTGTCGGGCTAGCTCCTGGCGCATCCGGGCAGCTACTGTACCGAATGGTGGGCGGAAGTATGAAGCTACAAATATTCACTGTCAGATGATTCTCGGGGATGCATCAGGGGCAAACATACACTTGATGTCCAGCCGGTCCCTAAAGATTTGCATGGACTGGATGATCTCGTCATCAATCTGGCTGAGAGTTGGCAATGCTTCCATCCTTGAATCACCATGTCAGCCCTCTTCACATGAAACCGAATATTTGGAATAGACTTACTTTGGGTGGGTGTTCGAATGGAGCGCCACTTGGTGACCCTTCCTCAACATTTCCCTATAAAACTCCGTGAAATTGGTCGTCCGATCCCTGAGCCCAGCACCAACAACGAAGAAAGTGACCCGCACATCTTCGTCGTCAAGGATACGCATGACCTGCTGAGAGTACTGCGGCTGTCCATCATCGATACCAAATGCAAATGAATTCGGACGCGAACAACGGAGAACCAATCCCCCACTAGGCAGCTTCCCAGGCACCCGATAATGACTATTCTCCTGCGATGGCGCTGGAACATTAGGCACGATCTCCACATGATGCAGAGTCAGAGGTTCCTTAGTATAGAAGCCATGGAACGAAATCGACACCACGCGATTGAAATCGATATTGAAATGAGACAGAGGTATATAGAGCTCACGACGGCCTGCTGGAATGTGGGCATTGCCATGGGGGGGCTTGCGTCGACCGCCCTTGGGTTTTCTATGCTTGTGCTTGTTCCTCCCAGCATCGGCCTTAACATCGTCATCGTCATCCGAGTCATCGTCACCATCTTCGTCCCAATCATCATCCGAGTCATAGGCTTCAGAGGCAGGGTGAACCACATACCGCTCTGCCTGGACGGAGTCTGCAATTCCGGGGAAGGGACTGCGTTGAGAACTACATTCGTCGTTGTGTTGGTTAAAAGAGAGGCTGTATTTATCCGTGCCTTCGAATATGACATGCAAGTACTCGTTGTGCCAGGGAACCAGGCTGTAGCAGGCGTTGGAATCGAACTGGGTATGGAAGTTCTCGTCCGGGTCTGTTGGGAACAGACGAATGAAGCCCGGTCCATATTCCACAGGTAAATTCTCGCCGGAACCGTGCCAGAATCCCAGATCGTTGCGAGTTGGGTTTTTGAAAGTGTCGATGACAAAAGGGGTGCTCGACTTCTTTATCTGCGAGGCATTGAACGAATCTCTGTGGGTGAGCCCTCGGAGTTCATTCCAGTGGCCATGGTCAACATTTCCGTGAAATACAGCTGAGGTTGGGAAGGATAGCGAAAGAGCGGCACAACCTATAAATAACCAATGCATGATAAAAAACTGCTTTGAAAAAAAGATTGAATGTGCTTTGAAGAGGTCAAGGTGGAAGTTGTAAAATGCATCGTTTATGTACTCGGCGCAGTCTGCCTGGGCAAAAAGTCAAGAACGATTGACTACAAATCTAAATAGGCAGGAGCTAAATGTCCCAAGTCTGTACATCTCTACATCTCTACTCTCTACAATTTACCAGGGAATTGAAAAATGAAACTAGATAGTTGCATAAAACCCATGAAATCCGTAAAGCGGCACATCTGTCTGACCTTGCCATCCATATCACTGCATTGGCACTCACGCTAAAACCGATCCTGATCCAAGATCAAGGAGGAAAGGTCTTATGTTCCACAGATCCAGGTTGCATATCGTCAAGAGATCAAGCCCTCAAAACTTCTTCGGGGTGTGAGATCTGATCCTGGTCATCCAGGGTAAAATTTCGAACTTGGTAAAAATCATCCTCTCCACCTTGGACTTCTTTCGTTTCCATTTTTTTGTTGAATTTTCTGTTTTTTTCCTTGTCATTGTCGTTTGTGTTTGTTGAGAAAGGTCCTCTAGGCCCAGAATTCGTCATCTTCCTTGGGAGCAGGGGCCTTGGGGGCCCAGTGAGAACCGGCCAGACCAGCCTTGTCCTTGCGCTTGGCTTTCTCATCCTGCTTCTTGTGTTCGCGAACGGGAAGGTTCAAGGCAGAAGCCTCCTCTTCCTCGGACTTAACAGTGGGCTTGGGGACGGTGTGCTTGGCAGCAGTGCCTTTGGCAACAGTGGGCTTGGCAATAGCGGGTTCGGTAAAAGCGGGATCGTCGTTGTAAACAAAATCGTCATCATTGACAGGCTCGTTATTGGCCTCTTCAGCATCGCTTGCAGCCCCGTTAGCACTCTCCTCAACCTCGTCAGGTTCAGCGAAAGAAGTTTCTTCCTCAGCTTCAGCATCAGCGTCAGCATTGGATTCAGCATCAGCGTTGGATTCAGCGTCAGTGTTCGATTCAGCTTCACCATCAGCGTCAGAACCAGCGTTAGATCCGTCTTCAAAGAATTCCTTATCAGAGTCATCGTCAAACTCCAGAACATCGTCCTGAGGGCGGTATGATTCGAGGAACTCCGGGACGACTTGATTGCATTCGACCAGGATCTTCACAAGATCCTCAGCAATATCCTCATCGCGTTCATTGTAGAAAGAGGTGGCGATGCCTTCGTTTCCAATGCGAGCAGTACGACCTGTGGGTGGCAAAGAAAAGATTAGTGGCAAGTTCATCAGGAGTATCGCGGAAAAGCAATATCTGGAGTAACACATACCAATACGGTGAATGTATTCAGTGATACCTCCGTGCGCCGCGCTGGGGAGATCGTAGTTCACGACGTGGAGCACGTTGATCACATCGAGTCCACGAGCAGAGACGCCAGTAGCGATCATGACGGGACACTTCGCAGATCGGAAGGCACGCCTAATTCGGTGGGTCAGCAAAGCAAAATAAGAGAGGGCAGGGAACAAATACTCACATCGCATCCTCACGCTCACGCTGAGTCCGTCCACCATGAATCGAGGTGGTGGGCATTCCAGAGTTGTAAAGGTAATCATCGACAAAGTCAACCTGATCCTTGCTGTTGACAAAAATCAAGGTGCGAACAGGAGGCATGCTGATCAGAAGGTCATAGACGGCGCGCATCTTCTTGTCCTTGTCAACCCAGACGATCTTCAAGTTTCACTAAGCGTTAGCTCGAATTCCACAAGGTTTCTCCCAATCTCAGTGGTTCACGTACATCCTGCACAACATTGTGGTGCGAACTGCCGGCTCGGCCAACGCGAAGGCGCACATGGTCCTGGCTAAGGTATTGCTTTGCAAGTTTCCGGAAGTCCTTGTTGAAGGTAGCGGAGAACATCAAGTAGCGGTGATCATCATCCTCGTTGATATCTTCTTCGAGTTAGCAACACTGAAACGCATAAAGGTGGGGTCGAGAGAGCGCCATAGCAAACACTTACCTCCTCCAGACATGATCTTCTTGAACTCGTCCTCCCAGTCGGATTCGAGCATCTCATCCGCCTCGTCAATGACGGTGTATCTGAAACCTCATTAGTATCCAATGACTATGGATGCATATCAAGTGAGTTGCAATCATACCTAACGCGGCGCAGAGAAAGAACATGAGTCTGTGCCATGAAATCGAGAAGACGGCCGGGAGTGGCAATCAGAATGTCGCATCCTTTCTGAAGCTCCTCACGCTGGACACGAGTAGGGGCACCGCCATAAACGACACACGGACGCAGCATGGAGCGATAGCACAAACGACGCGCTTCATCAAATATCTGAGTTGCCAACTCTCGAGTGGGGCAGACGATCAGAACCAGCGGCTCTGCTCGAACAGCATCCTCCCGGAGGCTAAAGTTCGCCGTCGTGTTAGGACGAGGAGCAGCCAGCTTTCTCGCCTTGCCCATCAACTTGGAAATAATCGGAATGAGGAAGGCCCCCGTCTTTCCAGAGCCTATGAAAATTCCGTTAGGACCAACTTTTGTCAAACATCAGACTGCGCAACACATACCAGTTTGAGCGACTGCAATAAGATCAAGATTGGCTAGAACAGCCGGGATTGCATAAGACTGCACTGCAGTAGGTTGGTCATAGCCGCAGAGACGAATGTTGTCGAGCATGACCGGATGCAAGCCAAAGTTTGCCCACTATAGATCGTTAGACTGGAACATTGTCGCTAACTCATCTCGCAGACTGACCTCGGTAACTGCCTTGATCTCGTTAGGACTTTCAATGTTGACCTTGTATCTGTTCAACCTGGAGAAGAAGTCCTGTTAGATATCAAGTTGATGTCCCATCGGATATGTCACTTACTCGTCGAGCTTGGCGCCAGCTCGAGTAATCAGCTCGCCATGGAAAAGCTGGTCCTCCAATTCAGGGACGGCTGGGCCGACATCGCCGTAGTCATCCTGCCATTCGTAACGGGCAGCAACTCCAGCCCAGTCACGATGATCCTTGCTGTTAGCAAGCTCGGCATACTCGAAAGGAACTGGATCAGTCCAGCCCTTGTCACGAGCGACCTTTTGAGCAGCCTCAGGGTTGGGACCGACACCAGAAAGAACGCCGGCAGGCGCCTCTTCAGCGGCGGAACCATGAACAGAAGCAACATCAGCGTCCAAGACGGAGCCAGCTGAGCCAATGGCTGAGCCAGCAACTGAGCCGGCAACCGACACAGCATCAGGCTCGTCGTAAGATGAATCCATTGTCCACGAAAGTGTCTCAGATGATTGGGTTCAAGAGAGGCGATGAGGTAGAGAACAGGGTGGTGGGGAGAAGAGGAAAGGAAAGGGAAATGGGCGACCGTGGGGTTTTATGTCCGTACAAGAGCAAACGCAGAAACGCGTGTAGGGCTTAAACAAGTGAATATGGCGCGCAATTGCTTTGTCGGTCGCCGACTCAGCGAGTACTCGTTTGGTGACTGCGATATTGCGGGAAGTCCGAAGTATAGGGAAGTGAACCGGATGTACCTTTCCCGACTAGGAAGGAGCGATCCAGGTATACTTCTATCCTCATACAATTCACTACTGGTATGGATGTACATGGTCTAACCTTTGCTACTACTGTGCTAACCATTGAGCTTAGCACTTTGATATGTGCAGAGTAGTTTGCTTTAACATTCAATATCAAGCCGTCTTTCATCTACTTTTGTCTTTCTATACATTCACTCAAGATATGCACCTATACTTATGCTATATCGGCTTTAAGTACTTCATTCTCAATTCTGATGCGACAAATGAGACCTTATAAAAGAAAGCGGACTCCTTCTTAGCAGCATATATATACTTGCTAATCATTCAGCGTAGTACTTTGATGTAACTATACAGAGTGGTTTGCCTCAATCAATATCACGCCGTTTTTCACCTCCTTTGTCTTTCAGCTGCATATTCTACTGATATATTCACCTATTACTATGTCCGGTTTAAGTACTCATTCTCAATTCTGAATGTGACCTTATGAAAGAAAGTAGACTCCCTCTTAGCATGTGTATACTTCCCCAGGCTATCCATTAGGGCACGATCGACAAACCTCGGGACGTTAGCTCCTCGGCTTCCCAGGGTGAGAAAGTGGACCCTCCCGTAGCCCGTTTCGGGTAGAAGGAGATATACGCAGTAAGCCTGGGAACGGGTATCCTCTTCATCTCCAGTGATTCCACCTAGATAACCCCTGCACAACACTCACCATGGCCTCCGAACGAATGGAGGTCGATACCAATGCTCGCCGCAAGCGTCCGAACCGCTTGGAAGCTGCCATCACCAATCCCGGCGCTGTCAAAATCAACGTCACGGGCGCATTCATTGTCGACGACGAACCCCGATCCAAGAGTCCCGTCGAAGCAGAGGGCGTACACTATGAGAACAAGGACATCCGACTTCCGCATCATACAGGCGTCGTGAGCCATGTGGCTGTCGATGTGAGTTGCCCGGAATTTATTTTCTCTCGTGCCCCGCACTGCGACCGGTTCCCCCGCAATCTAGCGGCCTGCAGATAATTTGTTCACGATGCTAGAAGAAGGCATGGCTAATACAGCATTGGGACCTGGTAGATTGGCGGAACACTTGCGAAGCTTGTTTATTTCACTCGAGAGCTAGAGACCGCGGATAACGGTGGCCGACTCAATTTCCTCAACTTCGAAACCCACCGGATCGATCTGTGCATCAACTTCATTAGACATCTTAAGGAGGAACACGAGAAGCGCAATGGCTCAACACGGGAGGGACTATGTGTGGTAGCTACTGGGGGTGGTGCATACAAATACTACGATCGGCTGAAAGAAGAATTAAACGTTAATATTCTACGGGAGGAGGAGATGGAATGTCTGATCATTGGTAAGTCGTGGAACCTGCACAAGCATAGAGCATACTATCTAACATCTCCAAAAGGACTGGACTTTTTCATTACCGAAATTCCCAACGAAGTCTTCACTTACAGCGACACCGATGCTGAGCCACTGCAATATGCCGAAGCTCGGCCCGATGTCTATCCTTACCTCCTCGTCAATATAGGATCAGGTGTGTCGATGATAAAAGTCTCCGGTCCGAGGCAATTCGAGCGTGTCGGTGGAACACATCTCGGTGGTGGAACGTTCTGGGGCATTATGTCGTTGTTGACCGGCTCCCGGACCTTCGACGACATGCTAGCAATGGCCGACCGCGGAGACAACAGTGCAGTGGACATGCTTGTTGGAGATATCTACGGCATGGACTACACCAAGATTGGTTTGAAGAGCACAGCTATTGCCAGTACTTTTGGGAAGGTGCTGCGGTTGAAAAACGATGCCGAACAAGTGGCCGAGGACGGCGAGGGCTTGATTCGCGACGACCCCAGTGAAGCTAGCGAGTCCAACCATGGAATCAAGCCCAAACCGGAAGATATGAGCAGGAGTCTCCTCTATGCCATCAGGTATGTTTCATTATTTCCATTCCTATTTCCATTCTCCGACGGTCTCCGAACTAACCCGGATTAGTAATAATATTGGTCAGATCGCATATCTGCAGTCAGAAAAACACTCAGTCAAACATATTTACTTCGGAGGCTCATTCATTCGGGGCCACCGGCAAACGATGAACACCCTCTCCTACGCCATCCGCTTCTGGTCCAAGGGCGAGAAGCATGCGTATTTCCTGCGCCACGAGGGCTACCTAGGCGCCGTTGGTGCCTTCATCCAACGACAGCCGCAAAACTGGGGCCGCAGAAACAGTGTTGACGACGTTGTCGCACCGCAGGCGGTCCGGAACATCGTTCAAAATAGCCATGTCCTTCAGCAACATGGCAGGTCGTCCAGTGATCTATAAAATTTGTGCCAGACTAAACCATTGTGACCCTACCCTCTCTTTGCTTTGAGTCCTGATACCCCTTGCAAGCAATCTTTGAACTACCAATATTGTGCCGAGTTCTTTTGTGCACCCAAAGTGGCTGCTTTAATTGGCCACCTGTGAAAAACCAACGTGGCGATTCCGGGCATTTGTGCATGTTGTACACTTAGATCTATCTGAAGCTTTCTAGCTTCCTGTTTGAATCCAAACATGTTCGGTTATCATGTTAGAGAAATAAATCTAATATTTCATTCCTTTTCCGGGCGTGTGCCTTGACATCCGCCTACGCGAGATTATCCAATTCCGTGAGAAGATCGAGTTCGATAAAAACGGTGGCTTTGTTACGCCACCGCTTGGAGTTGCTCTATCGAATGCCCTGGTTTTCCTGGCTATCGCCTACATCGTGCCCATTCGCCAGCGCAAGGCAAAGTGGCCGGCTGACTTCAGTACCGACGGGGATCTTTACCCGGAGAGGTGGCCGAGGGGATGTATCATTGTGCTTTGGGCTTTTGGGTTGCCGTTTATCCAGAGTTACTGGAACTCGGAACAGATATCTCCTATCAGTCCTTCCTGGCGGGGGTAGCTCTCTCTTCGAAAGTTGCCACAGTGGTACCTTATCTCCTGGTTGATCCAAGATTTCACGCGAAAAGTCGGCTTCTGTCTTCAGGTTCGGGGCGTTCCCTTAGATGACGAAGAAGCGAAGCTGTGCCAGCCGAATATCGACGTCAAGCGAGGCTTATCTGCACTTGGTAGGTGTGATCGATCCCTTCTGGCACTCCTGGAACAAAGATTGGCTTGCGCGGTAGATCTTGAGGTTTTGCTATCAGATTTGATTTGGTTTCATAGGCTTGATCATCTCCTTATCTAGCTATAACGCTGAAATGTAGGAAAAGATATTAAACAAAGACGTCTCTTATAAAAAGACATTTTGAAAGACATTTAACACGACATATTGAATAATCATTCTTGGTCTACAATGTAAAACATCACGTTAGAGAGACAATGATCTCGCCTTAGTTCTCTCAGTTTGCATCTGATAATGGATTGCTTGTGTTTGCAATGCATGTGATGTTGTCGAGGGGACGCCCATTTTTACTTTCCTGGTATTGTTTGTTCCTGTCTGCTGTCACCTAAGTCTCACCTTCACATTCATTTGTGTGTCTCACATTCACTCTTATTACTGTGGCTTCTCGTGTATTTCCCCGCGCGTCTTTCTACCTTTTACTTGACTATTCTATCCTTATCTATTCTATCCTTATTCTTACAAATACGGAGGACTTCTCTCAACTTAAAAGCCTCATGGCGCAATCTCCGGCTGCTCAGGATGCATCTCGTCTGTCGCCTTTCCAGGTTGAGGTGACCGAGTATGCTTGTCCGGACTCTGTTCTCGAAGCACCGGAAGAAACCCACGAACGACTACGAACCTCAACGCCATCCTATCTCACTGAGATGGACGAGTCGATGCTGGAAGATCCGTCGGATACTGCCACGGTATCACAGTCAGTCTCGACCGAGAGTCATTTCATCAGTTCTACAGCCCCGCGTGTCAGCTATGAGGTCACCGCGTCTGGCGAACTCATGATAACGGAAGGAATCCAAACTTCCAACCCAACGACGCCTGCGCGTGGGCCCCGGCCTGGTCCTCCACCTGCACTTGTGTCCTTTGATAGGATTGCCCAGGGATTACCGCCAAAGCCGGCATCTTCATCTACCACAGCAACAACTCACCCTCCATCCCTGTCAGTGGAGCGCCTCATCGGCCCAAAGCAGCCGATCCCCGCGCGAATCCTCGATCTTCTCGAGCAATGGCATGAGGCTGAACCCAACACCGAGCATCCCGCTGCTCTGACTGGCCGTGCTCCATCAACATGGAAGAACTTCAGGGCTTTCAGTGATGATGCCGACGAGTGCGAGCTATCGGTCTTCCAGATATTGCTCAAATGTCAAAACCGGCGCATCCTCTCGTATCGCATTATGATACTTCATTCCCAGAATGGACCAGAGGAGCTCGTCGTCTTCGGCCAACCCCGGCCGAAGTTCAAGGGACCCTGGAATAAGGGTGTCAAGGGGCTGTACCTACTGGACTGGTCGGAAATCGAGAAGAAAGGAGAGGTTCGGGCGTGCGGTATCAAACTGTGGAGAACCGATGACAAGAATATTGCGTTCAGTGCCTACATGTTTGACGATGGACGAAAGTGCACCCGCTTCCTCGATCACAATGCTGGAAATAAGCAAGCCTCATCTTCTACTCCCAAGAAACAGTCTGACGGAAATGAGCATGTTGAGGACACCCAGTCCATCTCATCCGAGCCACCGTTTTCCCCCTCGAGATCTGGACACCAAATTCCCAGCAGTCTTTCCAGAGCTGAGAATGAAACTGAAGACAGAACCCCACGTGCCTCACGGTGGGATCACCCTTCCCCCATGTGGGCTAAGTCCATCTCACCCGTCCCCACTCCCAATAATTACGATGGATTCCGTTCTCTTGCGAGCCCTTGGAAGCCTCAAAAGAGGCGCCGTAGCTCATGGAGCTCCAATGACCAAGACTCCGATCCTATTCGCTTCAAGTTGATGTCGGACGTGTCTGATCAAGTCCGCGTTTTCAAGACACTTGACGCGAAGGTGTTGTTTGAAAAGGCCTGGGATTTCTACAAGGGCGTGGATAACCGCACTGGACTGTTGTGTACCATTGCTGGTCTCGACGGAGTCCGATACGTGGGAGATGGGTGTGTGGATGAATTTGATATCCTTCAGGAGGATATTATGAAGTCTTCTTGTGGCGATGAAGATCGCGTGGTTGAGGTGAAGCCCGCAATGGGCTTCTAGATGGCCAAAATGGGCTTGTGGGATTGTGTGTGGCGGTAACTTTGGCCAATCTCTGCTTCTCGTCTTTCTTGATGTTGTTGGCCTGGTGTGGTGGTTGGCCTAGTGGCCATTGTGGTGATTTCGGCCAGTTTATTCTGCACCGGAAAGCTTCATCCAAATCTTTTGTATCTCGCCTGCGCGTGTATGTATCTGTACCTAATTCAAATAAATGCAAAAAAAAAAAGAAATATTACATTTGTCAGATTATCCCATGACCCATGTAATCAACTAACAACATCCCTCTCTAAATTATGCTGTTATTCTTTGGCATAGTCCCCATTGATGTCAATTATATATATTTGAAGTGAACAAGTTGTATATAAGCTAGGATGAGCTATGAATATTTGACCTCGCTATACCGGGATACACAAGCTAAATACAGTCTACACCTTTAAAATTGAAAGCGTCCGAGGCCTTCTATCCCATAAGAAACGAATCCCAGCGACTCATCCAACCAGAAGAAAGGGCTGACATGGTCACGTGTAGATATAGCTCACTGCTGAATCAGCATCTAGATGCACGCGGGTTGCGCCCTCGTTGACAACAGCCGTCACATCTACCTTACACATCGGGCTTAATTTCTTCTCACACCATGCCGCGACGCTAGTTCTACCTTTGCCCGATGACGTCTCCTCCTTCGCTAGACTCCTTCGCTCCCCCGATCCCCGTCGAAACCCATTCAAACCGCACCCCGGAGTCTCCTGAGCTCGAACGGTCCCTGCCCGACCCCAATCGATTAGCGCCCGAGGATGCGTACTTCGCAAACCCACTCTTGCGCGCCCGATCGGCGCCCAGCAACTACCAGGAAAACTTACGATCGTTGAACGGCGATAGCAGTGTGCATATTGGGTCTGCTGCGGCGTTGCGCAAGAAGTTGGGCGGTGCTGGACGGCGTCGGAAGCGGAAGGGTGCTTGGAAGAAGTTGTTATGGGTTAAGCAATCATGTATGTATGCGTGTGGGTCGAGACCTTGTACAGGGCTTGAGCTTGGTGTTGCGCTGTTGCTGACGGCCGATTCATAGATCCCGATAACTATACCGACACGGAAACGTTTCTAGATCACCTTCAGCGCAATCCTCGAGTGCGGCCGTATGACTTCTGGCCTCTGGTGGCTGATTCGACTGTGATTGTGCAGCATGTGTGCTCGGTGGTTATCTTCGTTTGCTGCTTCGTTGGCATTGTCCAAGATCGAGTGAGCCCTGTCTCGATTGTCTGCTGGGGTAGTGTTGGTACGGCTATGGGCTGGATTCTGTGGGATAATTGGATCTGGAACGAGCATCAGGAATCCGTGCAAAGTGCAGATGGAATTACTGGAGGTGATGATGGATCCAGTTCGACTTCATTTGCTAGCCCCATCGATACACCCTCCAATGACACACAATCCGATGATCCGAAGACGAATGCCATTCATGGCCTGGGGCTGTCTATTTCCGGGAATGAATCGAAAGAGCAACTAGCCCGTCGCAGTGCGGATTTCAGCGAAAGCATCGACGCTGTGGCTCATTTGACAGCGCAAAGTGCTGTGCCGCCTGGCCCGGGCAGCTCCATCATTGGCACTACGGACCCGTCGATATCGCAATATACCCACCGCGTTTCGATGCTATCACCGCGCAACCGCCAGCGCTTGACTACAGTCAAGTCGGCCTTCCTTATTTACTTCGCCCTCTTGGGCCTCAGTCCCATCTTGAAATCTCTTACCAAGTCCACCGCCAGCGACTCTATCTGGGCGATGAGCTGCTGGCTTTTAATTATGAATATATTCTCTTTCGACTACGGGAGCGGGGAAGGCGCTGGCGCCACCACGAAATTCCCTGCTTCTTTGTCCACGAACGCAGCCGTGATGGCATCGACTGTGCTCGCGTCCCGGCTGCCGTCTACGACACACGTGTTCAGTCTCATGCTGTTCTCGATGGAAGTATTCGGGCTATTCCCCATCTTCCGGCGCCAACTGCGACAGAAATCCTGGACTGGCCATGTGCTCCTGACACTGACCCTTGTGATCGTTGCCGGTGGTGCTGTTGGTGTCACGCTGAGTGGCGGATGGGCAGCAGCCATAATTGGATCAGTCCTGGGAAGCATCTTGACTGCATTTGTCATGGGCGGGTGCAGTTGGTGGCTTATCAGCTTGCAAAAGTACAAGAACGTCGTGATCGGTCCCTGGGACCCTGCTCGGCCGATCATTCGGCGTCACTGGAACTAAGCCCATATGTGATGTCTTTTAGCGCCATTGTAATATAGTTTGTCGGCGTTTGGTTCGATCTTCTTGTTGCTTATACCCCTTGATCAGTCTATCCATTTGAAACATCGTGGAGGTTTCAACTGCCTTCTTTCCGTGTATCAGTTTTGCCACGGCTCAAGCCGGTGCTCGTAGAGTCAGGTCCTGACGTGATTCATATTCTTCAAGGAATACTTCCAGAAATCCTGGGCATCAAATCCGGTTTTCATTTCAATGATCATTAGGTTCAAATAAGGGGGGAATGCGGGTTCAAGAGGAATGCAAGACACATCTGGCATACTAACCTTGTACATTGTCCACCGTTGAACTTGCCGCCATATACCTGCGAAGGAAAAGCGTTTGATATTTGAAACGTTTCAATCAGGGTCATGGACCCTTAGTCTATTTTTGTCTATTCTCATTGGGGGCAGTATCTCGTTCGAACAGCCTCAAGGGACTTGGCATTCCGCAGCCACTCATTTAGCGCCTAGAACCCTTTTTTCCCCCAGGGGGCTTTCTGACTCCATTGATTGACCAGACAGCTGGCCACTGATACGACATTCCCAAACGGAATGGTCCACATGCCCCGCATGCACAGAGACACATGTTCGACGGCCTGAGACGATTATCCTGGCATGTCTTTGTGCAGAACAGGAATATAAACCTGACCTTCTTCTGTTCCTGATGTCTGTCTCTATTCTTCCTTCTGCTTACTTTGTTCGCGGCTTGAAGCTGCTTCTCGACTCTCAACGACAGGCTGGATATCTGTTTATACATTCTTTCCTGATCCCTGGATCTACCTTACGACCTGATAAACATATCGTAACGACCGTCATCTAATTGATTCCATCATGTTAAAACGACTCGCACTTGGCCTGCTGGCCGCTCAGTCCGTGGCTGCCACGCGCTTTGCCATGTACATCGACGAGTTAGTACAAACTTGCGGAATTGATCTACATACCCTGAACCCACAGCTAATACTTGCCCAAGATACCATGTAACCGCTCTGCCGGGCCAGAACCAGACCGAGGGTATCGACTATGCAATTATGAGCTTCGCTGCCTCGAAGCTATTCAACTCAGACTCGCCCGCAGCATACAAGCCATTTGAGTCGCCCGAGACCATGCGCAAGCGCTTCAGCTCCGGTACCAAGCTAATGGTCGCTATTGGCGGCTGGGGCGACACCGCTGGCTTCTCTGAGGGAGCAAAGGATGCGGCTTCGCGCACGCGATATGCCAAGAATGTCGCTTCCATGCTCGACGCAAATGGATTCGACGGTGTCGGTAAGATATCCCAACAATGCGTTCTGGATATAAAAGAAGAAGCAAGGTACTAACCTATATGAACAGACATTGACTGGGAATACCCTGGCGGTAACGGCCAAGACTACAAAGACGTGCCCAACTCGAAGAAAGTGGACGAAATCGAAACCTACCCTCTTTTCCTCGAAGCTGTCCGCAAAGCAATCGGCAACAAGACCCTCTCTATTGCAGTGCCCGGCCGTAAGCAGGACTTCATTGCCTTCACTAAGGAGCAGGGTCCTAAGATCTTCAAGTCTGTCGATATGGTCAATGTCATGTCCTATGATCTGATTAACCGCCGTGATAACGTTACCGGCCACGCTAGCGGTGTCCAGGGATCCTTGGATACCATTAACGAGTATATCGCCATCGGGGCTGATCCTGCAAAGCTCAACCTTGGCTTCGCGTACTACGCGAAGTGGTTTACCACCGACCCCAATTCCGATTGTGATGAGAACCCTCTCGGCTGCCATCTTGCCAAGCTCGAAAACGACGATGGAACAGACAATGGCAAGTCTGGTGCTATGACTTTCGAAGCTAGTACTGCTGCCGCTGCGCCTAAGGATCTGAAGCAAAGCACCGATGGATTGTGCGGATTTGGAGCGAAGGCCAAGTGCCCATCGGGACAGTGCTGCAGTTCTTCCGGCTACTGGTATGCATAACATCATTTAATTCTGATCAGTATCTAGACTAACCCCTTACAGCGGTACTGGCGATGATTTCTGTCAGGCTGGGTGTCTCTCAGACTACGGTACCTGCAAGGGCATCTCCATCACCGACTCATGGCGCAAAGCCCAGAAGGACGGCAAGACCGACGAGAAGGGTGGTGGTCAGTACTACTTTGACAGCGATAATAATCTCTTCTGGACCTGGGATACACCCGAGTTGATTGCCCGCAAGTTCAAGGAAATTGTCGCGGAGAAGAAGCTTGGTGGTGTCATGGCTTGGAGCTTGGGCGAGGATACCTACAAGTTCGAGCACTTGGAGGCTATGCAGAAGGGTCTCAAGTCTCACTCTCCCAAAGTCGCGGAGCCCCCCCAATGACCGACAGAGACTGTGCCTAGTAGCTAGATGCAGTTATCATTGATGGTGAGTCGGAGTTGGAGCTCAGCTTGTGAAATATACCAAACTGCTTTTACTGTCTATTCGATTCCCCTTTTTGCTTCATTTCATCTCTACATCTCTTCTATTGCCCATGTCTACACTATCAATGTCCTCATAGTCATCTTAATATCTTTCTTCGGTTGAATGCCGGGGTAAAATTCAAATCACCATCATATTCCCTATTCGCTATTCATTCGGTAGTCCACCGACCCATCCATGACTCAATGTACCTCTGCACCAAGCCACCAGCAACGGGATCCTCAACACAAGCAAGATATGGGCAGTCCTGAACCGTCCGCTCGGTTTCGAAAGTAAGACCAGCGTCTTCAATACCGCTTGGTCCTGTCTCTGACAGGCCATGACTTGCATACTTAGCCGTCCAGAAATCGATGAGCTTCATACTCGGATTTTTCTCCGGGTCCTGGTCACTACTCGCCAATCTCCTCAGCCACTCCTGCGGAGATACAACCTCAAACTCCGGCAAGATAGATCCATCCCTCAGAGCAGGAAGCAAATCCTCCTTCCAGCTAAATGTCCGCGGATTAACCAAATGGTACACCATATTGGCTTCGGAAGATTCAGCAACATTCATGGCGATATCCGAAATAGCCCGAGCACACTGATCAACAGGCAGCCAACTCAGCCGCTCATTCAGCTCTGGCAATGCACCAGTCGTCAATGCACTTCGGAACATAAGCGAAACAGCTTCCGTTTCATTCCATTGCGCGCTAACCGTATCGCCACCAAGCTGACCGATTCTCAGAACGCGAGCTTGCATGCCCGTCTGCCGCATAGCGTTACGGGTGATGTGTTCTGTAACCAGCTTTGACCTGCCATATCCCATTTTCTGTGCGTGCTCCAAGTTCTCCAGTATCGTCTCCGGAATCGATGCCGGTTTGGGTGTGTTGCTTGCAGCGCTTACACTGGAGCAGAAGAAGAAGCGCGCAGGGGACGGTAGGAGGGAGCGTAGGCAGAGATTGATGAGGTTGTGTGTTCCGCGTATATGCTGTTGCTCGAAGGACCGTACGCCTAGGTTGAAGTTCACCGCCCAGGCACTGTGGATGACGCATGTCAAGGATGACAGTAAGTGTTGCAAATCGTGGTCTTTCAGACCGAGGTTCGACTGTGACAAGTCACCGGGGATGGCGTGAAGCTTTGCGGCTTCGGCATCAGTGAGAGTGATGTTGCGGTCAGCTAGTGATTTGTAGAGACGAGCTCCTGCCGCTGCTTGTCCTGGTGCGCGCACGATTGCCCAGACTTCGGAGACTGTTGGTCGCCTTAGTAATTCCGAGACGATGAAGGCTCCCAGGTTGCCGGTTGCGCCGGTGACCACCACAACCTCTGTTTCTGGGCTTTGGGTGATGGTTGGGAAGTGTTGAGTGAAGTGGGAGTACTTTTCGATCATTTCGCGCATGGAATCAAGCTCATCTTCCTTCTCGGATTCTTCACCAGTTCGCAGCTGATAGAGGTGCTTTGCAAGCGCCTTGACAGTGCCTTTTTCGAACACAATGTTCTGGGAAAGCTGATCTCCTCGCTCGGCGATATCAATATCGCGCATGATGAACCTCCAGATTTGTGTGGTCTGCAAGCTGTCCACTCCTGCCGAGAAGATGTCGGCTTCGGCATCGGGTATTGGTACGCCCAAGTCTTCCCTGAATCTTGAAAGCAGCCAATCCTCCAGTTCTGAGACATTGAGAGAGAGGGAACCTCCTTTCTGGCCACTCCCCTCGAACTTGGCATATACCTGCTTGATATCCTCCTCAAATTGCTGATAAACCTGACCTCGTATACAGGTTCCTTTATCAGTTCTGGGGTATACAACATCAGCACCCTTAATTATGACCAACTCCTTTGGGATACGGGAGAATGTCTCGGCGCGAGAATTTGCTACTTCAACCGCTGGCCAGATAGCTTCCAAAAATTCCTCGTCGCTCAAGTGAGGCACCTTGCCAGGAGCACGGAAAATTAATGCACCAGGCACCGTCCGCTGGAAGCCGAACACAACGCAATCACTCACGATAGGCTCTTCTCTAACGCGACCCTCGATAGGAATAGGAAGCACCTTTTCACCGTTGACCAGCGTGATTCGATCATCCAGCCGACTCAAATACTTGTAATAATTGCTCTTCGCTGGATCCGGGTGTCTGGTGAACAAATCGGCTGTTCTGAAAGAGTTTTCTGGGTTCTTCGCGCTATACGGTGGCTTTGAATTTGACGGGCCCTTGCTCGGCAGGCCGTCCAATGCGACACATTCAAAAACCCCAGGCGAGATCTCATCCATTAGAGTGAGGTCGGCAATGGGACGATGCAGTCGTGTATACTGCCACTCTTTATCTTCCGGAGCTCGGAAAGAAGTCATGATTTGTCCTGTCTCCGTTGCTCCATAGTTGGCAACTAGATTCACGCCCTGTGCCACAAGACGGTCACCAAGGTCGTCTGGGCAGCTGGAGCCACCATATAGCACAAGCTGCGGTCTGGCTAGTGCTTGGATACCTTCTTGCTTCTCTGCCAGTAGTTTGATGACATATGGCACGGCACTGATTTGCTGTGGATGGGCCATCTGGAGCGCATCGAAAAGATTTTGGTATGTGACTGGAAGAGAATGGTTTCCCAGGTACGCTGTCGCTCTTGTAAAGAATGCCCGTCCAAACTCCATCAGAGCATGGGAGTGGAAGAGTGGGCTGATAGTGAAGAGGCGTAGGCCGAAGCTCTTGCGGAAATTGGCTAGAGTTTGAAGGTTGGTAAGGAAAATCGGCTTCGGGAAACCGGTACTCCCAGAGGAATGTAGGATCCAAGCGATCTTCTTGCCTTCTCGTGATGGATCCGCACCCTGGCGTTCAAATAGAGGCGTGCTAACAGGTCGATTGAACCAGTCCTCTCTTTGTAGTAGAGAGAAGCTACCGCAACCAGGACGCTCGGTACAAATTTCAGTTACAACTTGCTGAAATTGCCTCGTGTTGATAATCTGGTTGCAATTTGCCATCTCCATTAGCCGGGCATAAGCCGGGGCTGTAAGACGTGTAGACAAGAAAAGCACAGCATAGCCAAGACGATTCAGCGCGAAGAAAGTCACCACGACCTCGAAGCTAGATCCAGCTAGCATAGCAATAACAGGCGCCTGCTCGAGCCTCGGGTCCTAGGGGATAATTAGTCTAGTTTGACACAAGAAACTGGCTTTCTTCTTACCGCGGGTAGGAGACCTTGCTTCATGTAAAAGCGAACAGCGATATCAGTATACCGATTGATGTCACCGGCTGTATGTTCTTCGAAATCAGCCGCTTCACGAACCGGATAGCATATCAAAGGCCTTTGTGCTTCATCTTGCTGAGCGGCATGGGATTTTAATAGACCATCGATGGTGGCGAACTGTTCAAACGCCGGCCACTGGGAATGAAGCGTCCCGTTTAACAGGCGAGTCGCGATATCTTTTGTCTGGAGTGGCTCCACGCCCCCTTGGGTAGTCGTGATGGTTACTGTAGTCATGATTGTTGTGTAAAATACCATTAACAGTCCATTGACTCGAGATCGCTTTATACCTGGCGGAAAAGCCTCACGTTGGGGTAATCCCACGCATCGCGGGTGCTTTTCCGGGTTTCCGCGTGGATGCCCCGGAAAACACTTAACCCCAGATTTGGATCCCCGCACTATTTCCAGGTTTCAATCGAGGATTCTCATGTAAATGTTGGTGAAATTGGCCATATTGTAATGATAGGTGCAGATAACTTCGCCGTATGAGATGAGACGAGGTGTTGATTACGTTGATGGCTCGGATATCCGAGATGGCAATGCATATCAGGCCAAAATAAGACATCAAATTCAGGCATCGAATTCAGGCATGAATATTGTGATGACATAATCACAGGCTACTAACTAGCCTGAGGCCACACGCCAAGAGTTCACATATTACCTCCCTACAACTTGCAAGCGAGAAGATTCACAGATATATTAAACAAGGAAACCAAAAAAACGAACGCATAAGAGATAAAAAGTAGTCAACATGTTGTAAGGATCTTTTTTTGGCTGGCGCAAACAGGATAGTTCTTCCAAAGCTGCCTGAAGCCCTATATTGACTACTCAAGGCTAGGAAAAGACAGAGACATCACATTTGCCATCACTCCACTTCACAGCCTGTTCCTTGGTAGGATACACATGGACAAATGCCAAGTACGGTGATTTATCCGAGCCTTTCTGATCACTGCACGCCTGCTGGAAGCGGGCGGTCAAATCCTCCTCCTTTGATGCTGGAGTTGTCAAAAAGCAAGCGCGTTCGCAAAGTTTTCCTTTCATCTTGTCGCAAACAGCCTTTCGCTTTTCGGCGACCGTGTCTGGTAAGTCAACACCAGTACAACGGGCTTCAACATAACGAGTCGAATCAAGAGTGCTAGGATCGCAAACCATCCGCACACCACCTGCCTCCATCACGACGCTCCATTTGCCTCCCAGACAATTATCATCGCAACCTTTGTTGGTGCGGCAGTCTTGACCAGGGGTGTATTTTGCAGTAGCTGACGCAGCAAAGAGCGTGGTGATGGCGAGAAACAGCTTCATGATGCCTTTTGGTTGCACGAAGGTAGGGCCTGTAATTTAGTTAGTGAAATGCATGGACGCAGTCAACGAGGCTTCAGAAGCTTACTATGGGGCGGAGGATGGATAAATTATGATGCAAGTCAGGAAATGGGGTAGAGGATTCGTTGTATGGGGGAAAAAGAAGCTATGAGAGGAGGGAGCGAGACCTCCTTATTTATGATAAGAAAGAGCGTTCCATGTTGAAGAAAGCGAGTGAGTTGCTTTTTCCTATACCTAGTTTGTTCAATGCCTCGCATTTCTCATCCAGCTGAAATGTGGGACTAATCCTAGTTAGGTACCTGAATAATGCAGGGCAAAAGCTTGAGTATCATGCCGGTAACTGTAAGGGAGAGGTCCGGCCAAATCGTGAATACTCTACAATAGGAAGACAGGTCCCACGACGTCGGCTACCTGCCTCCTATGTATTGTCGATCATTGTCGATCGTATATCTCAATCTACAGAACATGGAATTCTGGCAGGAATACTTGCAGATCATTCAACCTTGCATGATCAGCGGGAAACTACTCAAAAACCATCAATAGTCGAACCTTAAGAGCATAATTGGAAAGCTAATATGTATAGGCTACAGGAGATTCGAGTGAATTAGTCCGGCGACAACCATCTGGTCTCTCTCCTTGAAGACAAGCTCCAGTCTTCTGTTACAAAACATCTACCTCTTCAAGTCAATCAACATGAAATCCACTTTTCTTGTTTCTCTTATACCTTTCATACAGGGTGTTCTGGGCTCTGTAGAAGTCCTAGGTGGCTCACCTGTTACGATTGATGACCTTCCCTACCTGGCCAGCATTTCGAAATCAGGCGTCTATACCTGTGCTAGTGTTATTATCAGCAACGACCGTGTCGTTACTTCCGTGCAGTGCGTTTATGGCCTAGAGTCACAACCCACGAGCCTTTCCGTGAGAACAGGCTCAAGCAAAACGTCTTCTGGGGGATCTGCATGGACAGTATCAAAGATGATCGGAATGCTCGGTTTAACACTGACACCAATGATTTTGACTTTGCCGTGCTCGAACTATTTTCTCCTCTCGTACCCGGCCCGACTGTCAAGCCGATTGAATTTATTCAGTCTGGTCAGGAGCCAGAGGATGGGACTGAATGCGTAGCTTCCGGCTGGGGTGACTCGGGAGAACAATTACAATCGGTTACACTCCCTATCGTGAACCGAGAAGAATGTAATCAGACTTATGCCGGCCAAATCACCGACCTTATGATCTGTGCTGGCTCAGAAGCTGGGAAAGGTACCTGTCCAGGGGACCGTGGTGGCCCGGTTACTTAGGTGGTAAATTTGCTGGAATCATCTCTCAAACTAATAGATGCCAACTACTTGGTCGTCTAGACGTTTTCACCGATGTTGCCAACTCTTCTATTCAATCTTGGATACAGGATCAGTAATGACAACTCGCAGCAGGTATTTGCCCACTGAGGTTCTGCGCCAAAAGACAGAACATGGTAGATGAATACTGTAGAGTTTCAAGGACCGTCACAATTTCAATGTTGAATTTAGCGAACAGCGTTTATAAAAGCCCAAACTAGGAGCACCAAAGTGAGCATTGACTTGATTGAGCATCTATTTATTGAAGTCAGGGAATGTAACTCCCGCAAGTTCTCAATATAATTGCTTCGCTTCGCTCCGCAATAATAAATATTGTACGAAAAGTATCAATGTATAAAAAATGTGGCAAAACAGAACACTTGCTTACCAATCGAGCTCCTTTGTTATGTAGTTACATGGTTCAAGTCTATTAGTAAAAGATTCACTGTACACATCTAAATTCTAATATACATCTTGTCACTTTAAACACGGCACAAGCGACCATTCTGATCGGGAAGGCCATCAAGGCTCTTGACAACCCAATCCTCACTGCCAACAGCAGTAGGCGCATAGAACAAGCCAGTCGGGTCATACCGCTGCTTAATCTTATACAAGCGGCCGTAGTTGGTACCATAGAAAGCCTGCTCGAACTTCGGTTCGTTGATATCCGACTCGGACATGTATGCGCCAGAGTCAGGGCAAACAGCGCGCCACTTGCCAACGGCATCGGTGAGGCCCTCCATCTTGACTTTGATATCGGCATCGGAGGCGGTATCTGTCCAGGACGTCGACGTGATGGCGTGCATCACCGCCTGGCGGAAGGCTGGGTTTGCAGAATTGGGGGTGAAGCCCTCTTGCAGCTCGGCTTTCAGGTTGAATGCGAGCAATGCGAAGCCGTCAGTAAGAGTGGAGCGCAGGGCAGCGAAGGTAGCGTTGAATGAGGTGGGGGTGGCCCAATTGGCCCGTGGGAAGAGGCGAGAGCCGGTCATCATAGTTGGTGAGGCGACTGATTCGAGAGGGAATCCGGCCATCCAGGCGTCGTAGTAGTTGTCGTAGTAGGTCGTGTTTGGCTGGATTGCGATGCCTAGCTCTTGGAGGTCATCGTACCATGGCTTGACTAGGGTGTTGAACTGGTCCACGGTGTGGTTGACGGCGAAGAAGGGGTTCATTATGAAGGTGAAGGCGTCAGTGCCTGTGGGCAGCACCCAAAAGTAGGCGTAGGTGCCGGCGTCGGCGTGGGTGGGGAAGCGCTCCAAGTATGATCGGACGCCAGCAAAGAAGGTGTCCACAGAGATATTCTCGCCAGTTGAGAAGCTAAATGTCGAAAGAGTCACACCGACCTTAGGATAGACACGAGAGATAATAGAAGTGACGACTCCATAGGTTCCTGATGGGAATATGTTAGATGAAATTCGAGAAGAGAAAGCGAGAGAAAGTACACATACCGCCGCCACCGCCACGCAGAGCCCAGAATAGATCGGGATTACTTTCTTTGGTCACTGTGACGAAGCGTCCGTTGGCCAGCACGACCTCAAGGGCCAAGACTTGATCAGCAGCCAGGCCGTACACGCTAGACATGGGCGAATGACCGCCGCCGAGAACGTAGCCACCGGCAACACCGACAGTCTAATAAAGTCAGTTATCTCACCAAACGATGATCCTTTCGGACTGACCAACTCACCTTGCCTTCGCCACCAACAGCGGTGAATCCGAGTTCCTTACTCTTCTCATAGACTTCAAATGCCTGCACACCTGACCCCAGCTTGACAACGGGACCCTGGTAGCCGGAGCCGCTATAGTTTTCAATGTAGTCAATGTCCTTAAGGTGGTGAGTCCAGATACCCAAAGCACCAGCACCGGTTGATTTTCCATTGAAGTCATGCCCGGTGTTCTTAACCACTAGACGGATGTCCGCGTTGCGTGCAAAGTTGACAGCAAGCTGGATTTGAGCTACAGTGCTCACATTCACAGCATAGCTGCTGTAGCCACCGACAGTGCAAGATGCAGAGGCATTGGTAGTGGGAAGGCAGGTTCTTCCCTCAAACAGAGGCCACATTGCCGAGGCTGGGTCAGCAGCACTAATCGTAGAATCAGTATAGGTCCATGTTTGATAGTTACAGGAGTAGGGTGTGACTAACTGAAGATTAGAGTCGTTCCAATCCGAGGTAACTCTCTCGCATTCGGCGCTGTCATATTCGGGCCATGAAGAATAGCAAGACGCCGCTAGGGGGACCGTCTTGATCAGCGCGCCACCGAGGAGGTTGTCCAAGGTCGACCATGCAGACTGCGACGGCCAATAGCGGTCACCGGGGAAAACCTTGCATTGCCCTGAAGACAGCGTGGTCTTATCAGTGCCATTGCTATCGCCAAATTTAACCAGGGCTGACTGCTGTCGGTTGAGCTTCGCAATTTCGCGATCTGTCAATTGAACCTTCTCACTGTCAAACAGCGGTGCACCAGCCGAAGCCTGACCAGCGCGGGCATGTCCGGGGGTGACTAGTAGGAGAGCACCGAGCAAAACGCTCGTTATAGTCGAACAAGGAGACATGGTGAGCGTGTGAATGGGAAGAAGCTACACCGGGGATCGGCATGATTGGGAAAAAGTGGCCAATGGAGACCTTTTAAATCAATTCTCCGGCGCTCGCCAGCATAAAATGTGCATGGTACGATATACTAGTTAGCGCAACGTGGATAGTACTTTCGTCGCTATGAGGTTGGCATCCAAGAGGAAAAGGCGCTTGTTTACTTCGCCCCCACAGCAATTTAGAATGTCTCGCTCAAGCCCTCTCCCACTCCACCTCTCGTGTATCTCTTCCAACGAGAATCGAAATTTGCATGAAGCTAGAGCTAGAGATGGTCTTTTCTCCGGGCCTCCCCGTTCGGCAAAATAAATAAAGCCACACTCTACCTGTGACGCGCGGAACGAGTCCTTGCCGTGTTGTTGAGAATACAAGTCCAACCGAGACTGTCGCCATTAGCTTATTTCCATTCAGTGCGGAGTACTCCGGATAGCGTAAGCAACCGTGCCTATTCCCACTCTACTCCGTACCGGTCGGGATGATCAGGGTTTCGATCTTGTCTGGTTCTCTTGTTCTCTCGTTCTCTCCACGGCCGAGAGAGTGTTGCAAGGAACAACGCAAGCCAAGAACTACTCCGTACAAGATACGTGAACAACCGCTACTCCGTGTACGAACGGAGTTTTTCTTTTCGGCTTGACCCTACGGAGTAAACATGGTCTGGCCGGGCTCCATTCTCCATCCCCCGTCCGCGATGGTCCACTATGCTCCACCTAAGTACGGAGTACTAGATCCGATCTGCTTTCTGGGCAATGAGAACCTTGAGTGCAAGGGACTAGTAGGATGTTGCATTTCATCTAATTTTGCCAAGGGTCAGAACTAAAAAAACTAATGAAAACTTGTTAAATGACGCAGAACCGGGAATTTCGTCGTGGGGGCCAAATATATACGGAGTGTTGTGTCCGAGATATCGAGCTAGACCGATGCACTCATACACACTATCGCTGACGTTTGATCCTTGATGATCCACCATTGAGCACATTCCTGTACTCACTGAAATAGGCACTTGTCCAAATTCAATAACACCGGCATAAGTGTATAATTGGGGGAGTTCTCACTCCCGCCCTTTTCGTCCTCCTTATACAACATAAGGATGAGCTGCGGATGTAACGCTGCAAGAAACGATTAAGCTTTGACTAGTTAGCTTGCGAGAGGTGACTGCTCTCGGTATGCAAGTAGTATCCTGTACCTGCACTAGATGAGGAATCGCATATTACTTCCTGTTACGGACAATTCTTCAGAGCCTAGGGTTTCAATCCCACTTGAACACAATGAAACAATGCACTACTCAAGCAGCGAGGACCTGCTCTTCTGGTTTCTGTCTAGGAGTCAAACTAAGAAGGACTCCTCCAATCTAAAGGACGCGTGCATCCCTGCACGCCATGCATTATTGGCTCTCCCCTTGATTACCGGCATCATAGGTCAACGGAAATAGAGCCAATTGGGACACGAAGGCCGCGACTTAAATTAGATCAATCAATAAAGTGTTTATCTAGGTAGAAACCCTTGGAATGGCCCCCGAACTTCAAAAGCTAAAGCCAAATAAGTGGATCATCGTTGCCGATCCTAAGTCGCTGTGTTGGCCGCAGTACCAGCCTTGCATCTTAAGATCGAAGGTGCAGGCTGTTCGAGAACTATTACGTTCTTCCGGGTGTTTATACAATGGTTGACGACCATCAACATAAAACAGCCCTAGGGATTGTCGTCGCATTCACGGCCCTCGGTGGCATTGCTGTTCTACTTCGGCTCTGGAGCCGATGGCTATCACGATCGGCACTCACCAGTGGTATGGAACGAACGCTCAGATCGGCACTGGAATTGAACCATTAGAAGTGGTTGCTAACGAGACTCCCGACAGATGACTGCTTCATTGTTGTGGGATATGTAAGATCGTCAAATTCCAGATCCTTGAAGAGTGTATGCTAAATGGGTATTCTCTAGATCATCTCCATCTGCCAGTCTATTACCTCGTGGTACTGTAAGTGATGTGATTCATCTAAGAAACAGAAGTGAGCAACTGCTAATTAAATCAGACATCAAAACCAATTATGTCGGCTTTCATATTTGGGATATCCCCAAAGACTTCAATCCCAGACCTGGGATGAATGTAAGTCTACTACCCAGCGCCCGTAATAGCCAGAGGCTCACGGACAAAACAGTGGAACTTCGCAAATCAGATTCTCTACAATCCAGCCTTGACCGTGGTAAAGCTGTCAATATTGTTGTTCCTGCGCCGACTCGATTCGCGCTCACGGGTGGTCAAATACCTCACCTGGAGCTCGTTCGCCGTGGTAATCACTCTTTTTATGACCGTTCTCCTCGTCGACATTTTTCAATGCAATCCAGTAGCATACGTCTACGACACGACGATCCCGGGCGGAAAATGCATCAACCAAGGCGCATTCTACGTCTCAACCGCAGCGCTAAACCTCTTCACCGATATAATGGTCCTCTCAATCCCGGTCATAATCACTGCGCGCCTTCAAATGCCCCTCCGACGCAAGATTGCCGTGTGTATCATCCTATGCCTAGGCGGAGTGTAAGTAAACCCCCGAAATCCAACCCCAACCACCCATCATACACCGCACACAGCAATCTGACACATCCAACCAACAGAGCAACCGCCGTCGGAGTCTGGCGAATCGTAATGCTCGCCCAAGCATTTCTCTCCAACACCCCAAACCCAGACCCAACTTACGCAATCGGCTTCTGCAGCTCCGCAGTCGAAATAAACGTCGCAGTGGTATCAGCCTGCGGTCCGTCCCTGAAAGCCATCAGCAGCAGGATATTCCCCAAACTGCTCGGCAGCTCGCGAGGGAAATCCACCTACTACGGCGCCGGCACCGGCTCCGGCACCGGCGTGGGCTCACGCAGACTCCGCTCGAATGCGTTCAAGTCTACCTCACACGCCCAGCAATCAGTGTACTCCACCCGCGGCGCAGATTACGAGATGGCCGATCCGCTGGGCGGGCCGCGTGTTGATGTTGTTGGGGATTTTGAAATGCGCAAGTATAAGCGTGGGGGTAGTGATAGTGGTCTGAGTAGTGAGGATGGTAAGGGCATTATGAAGACGACTGATATCTCGGTCGGATATAGTATGGAGCCCCGGGTGGAGGATGGTCGGTCGCACGATGGTAGGCCGGCCAGTGTAGATAGTATAGTTTAATCACCTTATATACAACATAGATACGATTTACGAATTCAAATGGCCAATAGCCTACTTGAAGAAGAAGGATATCAAAATGGACCGAGGATCTACTCCAATTTCGGATATGAGGGGTTACTCTGCGTACATAAGGTATGGGGTTTCCCCTCTTATAACATCACTTACCTGGTCAATTCAGTAAATTTGACTTGTTTTCATATTCAACTCATTCTTGATTCATCGATATGGCGACTCAGTACCAGCTACCATTCAAGGTATGGCTTCTATCCCTCCCCGCGGGGTTCGGCGAGATGTCCGAAGTGTTGAGCTAACACGACTTTTTCCAGCTCGCGGATCCTAGTCTGCTGAAATTCGACTCCATTGTCGGCGACAAATGGGTCGGTGCAAAGAGCGGAAAGCGGTTTGAAGTACTCGGTAGGTGAAAGTGCATTATCCTCCAAGAGCTCACAACTAACATCTCCCACGCAGACCCCGGCACCGACAAAGCGTGGGCCAGCTGCCCCGCCAACGCAGCAGAAGATGTATCCGCCGCCGTGGAAAATTCCCACGCAGCCTTCGAGCAATTCCGCAAAGTCAACCCACGCCAACGCGCCAAGTGGCTCCTAGGATGGTACAACCTAACTGTCGCGGCCCGCGACGACCTCGCCCAGATCGTAACCTACGAAACCGGAAAGCCGCTGGCAGAAGCATACGGCGAGATTGACTACTCCCTGGGCTTCCTATGGTGGTTCGCCGGAGAAGCAGAGCGCATCCAGGGCAGCGTATCAACAGCCGCCGCACCAAACCGTCGTCTGTTCACCATCAAGCAGCCGATTGGCGTAGCAGCCGCTCTCGTCCCGTGGAACTTCCCCGTTGCCATGGTTCTACGGAAAGTCGGTGCCGCACTAGCGGCTGGCTGCACGATGGTCGTCAAACCCAGTCCCGAGACGCCGATTTCGGCGCTCGTGCTGGCAGAGCTGGCGCATCGCGCTGGAATCCCTGCTGGTGTGCTGAATGTGCTCACTACGGACTTGGAGAATACCCCGGCTCTGAGTGAGGCGTTATGTAAACACCCGCTTGTCAAGAAGGTGACGTTCACAGGCTCGACACGGATAGGTAAGTTGGTGGCTGCGCACTGTGCGCATGGTCTTAAGAAAGTGACTCTCGAGCTCGGCGGGAATTGTCCATTCCTTGTTTTCGACGATGCGAATCTCGATCAGGCCGTTGAGCAGCTGATGTCGCTGAAATGGCGCCATGCCGGCCAGGCTTGTATCACTGCCAATCGAATCTATGTGCAGGCTGGGGTTTATGATCGCTTCGCCGCTCTTCTGAAGGAGCGCACTGCTGCGATAGTTGTTGGTCATGGTGCCGCGGCTAACACCACGATGGGACCGTTGACGACACCTCGCAGTCTTGATAAGGCCTCTGCGCAAGTTGAAGATGCTCGTCGCCTCGGTGCTGATGTTATTTTGGGTGGTAATTCTCTGACCTCGAAGCCGGGTTATTTCTTCGAGCCTACAATCTTGTCAGGAATGACCGCGGACATGGCCATCTCGCATGAGGAATCGTTTGCGCCGATTGCTGCGCTGTATCGATTCGATACTGAGGATCAGGCTGTCAAGCTGGCTAATGATACCAGTATGGGTCTGGCCAGTTATGCTTTCACCAAGAATATCGATCGCATGTGGCGACTCTTGGAAAACTTGGAGGCGGGAATGATCGGAATGAATACAGGTGGGCTTCCTATGATCAAGTCCAATAATTCTAATCAATCTAACGAATTCGCACAGGCAACTCATCGGCTGCCGAGTCGCCTTTCGGTGGTCTTAAGGAGTCTGGTTATGGCAAAGAGAGTGGAAAAGACGTGGCTGTCAATGAGTACTTGGTCACCAAGACAGGTACCTTGACAATTGAGGGACAATATTGAGTACACAACATAGTACATATGCATTCTTTATAGATCATCTCGATCATCTTGAACTGAAATGAAATTCATGTATTTTCTTGGTTGTGATTGGTCAGCTGAATCCACTTCAAGCACTGATTGGCTACAATCCGGGGAGATCTTTTCAATATCAGATTTTCTTCACTACACCAACTATTCTTCTCATCATGGACCACCTTAGTCCGCTACGACGCCTGATTCAGTCTCACCCGCTTATTGACAGTCATTCCCACAACCTACTGAACCGCGAATCAGCCGCCGACTATGAAAATTACCCGTTGGAAGCCATCGCCTCCTCAGCAGACGGTCGGGCCTTAGAAAATGCACGCACCGCCCTCCCCTCGCTGAGGGCCATAACCCAGCTCTCCGAGCTGTACGACCTCCCATGCACAAACTGGAAAGACATACAAGCTGCCCATGATCTCTACGTCAGCGAAGACTACGAAAACTTAATCCGGAAATCTCTATCAGGCACACACGCACTGCTACTCGATGATGTTCTCAGCTACGACGAAGACATCGCATCATCTAGCTGGCACGATAAATTCACCATCTCCGGGACAAAACGGATCGTACATATCGAAGCCATGGCTGAGGCCACAATCCTGCAGGTATCGAACTCGCGCAAGAACGGCGAATCAGTTTGGAACAGTTTCCGACAGCGATTCCAGGACGCTCTCGGCGAGGCCCTGGACGATGCCAACATCGTTGGGTTTAAATCGGAAATCTGCTGTCGGACCGGATTGGACGTGGATGCGTATTCCTCTGATGATACCACTCTGGGCGGGTCATTGATTCGCATCCTCGATTCCGGCACAACAAGGTCTGGCTTCGCAGTCGATGATAAACATATATGTGACTGGATAGTCCAGCAGACGCTAAAAGCGATCTGCTTTAAAAAGAGAGCCGGTGTTGTGAAACCCTTGCTGTTCCATACCGGCTTGGGAGATAATCGGATTAATCTTTTGCGAGCTAACCCTGCATGTCTGCAGCCTTTGATCGCGCAGTACGCTGACGCGGACATCGTGTTGTTACATGCTGGATATCCTTACACACGCGAGGCGGGTTATCTGGCATCAGCTTATCCCAATGTCTATCTTGACCTTGGGAAGGTCTTTCCCTTGGTTAGCCGAGAGGCGCAGGTGAAAGTCCTGAGAGAGAGTCTGGAACTTGCGCCCACCAACCGTCTGCTCTGGGGTACCAGTGGCCGGTTTCACCCGGAGACGTTCTGGTTGGCTAATCGACAGTTCCGCCAGGCTCTTGAGACGGTTAGTTCCTGGACTGCCTCCTATTAATTACCTTTCCCTATGCTAATTTTCTTCTGTTTTGCAGGTTCTCGTGGAGTATGTTGAATCTGGCGACTTCACTGCGTCCCATGCCATGAAGATAGCAGCAGATGTTCTGTTCTATAACTCCAATCGGCTTTACGGCCTCGACTTGACTCCATCATACACACCTGGAGAGTAAACTGCTGACTATGCGAGGATGTAGAGCCCGAAGGTATGTCCATGTCTTTCATTTCTATTCCCCAGATGCATCCTGACAATTATCTCGTCAGTTGATGCTTCTACTCTCACGCTCTCCTAATGTACTTGGATATTGCAACCCCGCTGTCAAAATTGATTATCAATCTTTGAGATTCTCAGAATCTCTCGAAGGCGATACGGACCTGGAAGCACTGCTAGCGTCGGAGCATAGGAATAACTACGTTTCGTGAGGTAACTGAACCTCGCATCCACCCCGAATAAGGCTATACTGCTCCGTATTAAGACGAAATTTTGAACCAGTTCATACGATGACGTCATTGTAGTTGTAATGTTTACCTTAGCAATTTGCAACACACCCAACGTCAAAGTGTGTAAAGATAACCGTCTCGTCAACAACCCAAGAGATAGCGGCGGCTGCCGCTTTCGGCCGTTGAGATTTATATTACGCGAAGACATTACCGTGATGCTGGTGATCGTGCTGAAGAGTTGTTAGCCATTTAAAAAAGCCTGAACCAGATCGACATAGTGGATCATGTAGGACACGCCCGAGCTCACATTGCCTTTGTACGTTTGTCCCAATTACACATGATAAGTTGCGAAGATGGTCAAATTTCCTTGCATGGAAAAAATTCTACAATCTACCAGAAGGGGGCGTTTTCACGTGTTGCATCCCATCCCATATTACGCGGTTTCTATACATTAGACGTTCTCGGAAACGCAAATGGAAGCTTGGGAAGTTATAGAATCGTTTCATCTGACATTAAACTCCGAAGCTATGCGTTATGAGGCACTTGCTGGCAGTATGAGAAGATATTCATAACCCTCTGGGAGCTTGCCCAATGGCCAATCCCACTTCTTCTCGACCACCGCCAGCGCCTTCAATGGCTCTTCGTGGTCCACGAAGAACTTGGTATTCACGCCCGAAACAATCCCAGTCGTATCCTTGCCGTCGAATATGATTCCACACCGCTCAGCATCTCGAATGTAAGGCACCGGGGAGGTCGACATGGTTTCATTGGCGTTCTTAGCAATGAAATCAAGGTCTACCTTTTCGATAGTTCCTACTCAGGATAAGTATCACGCCTCCAGAGCTTTTTGTGTGGGACTTACTATCAAAAGCTTTGACGGCAGCTAGACAGGCAGCTGGATGTGAGCTCATCACGCCGTATATAGTATCATGGTCTGTCCTGAGTATTCGCAAAAGACTAGTCGCAAATCCTTTGCCACGGTGGTGCCGATCGACCACTAATTGAGTGATCCAGCAAACAGTCCCACCCTTGCAAGTCCAGCGGCAGCCGAATGCATGTCTGACAAGTTTTCCTTCGATAATCACCCTGCTATATGTAGAAACTCCCACCACTTTCGTCGGAGCTTGTGGGTAGGTATTGTTCGCGTAGTCTTCGCACATTTAACTTAACCGGCTTTCCTACTAAAAGTTAGATGTTTTGGAAAGAAAGCTTTTGACTTACTCACCGGGATTACTTGAAAACTCGCCCCATGTGCCATAGTTTTCGTTGAAGAGCTGAGTGGCTTTGATCAGTATGTCGTCCGTAACGTTCTCCGCAGGGATCGTCTCGTAGATTTGTGACGCCATGCTGAAGTGTCTTTGAACATTAGTGCTTTCAATGAGTTCAAAGTGAGTTGACTCCGCGGGAATAGGATGAGTTATGACGATGGTTTATGCAAGTCCCCGTTGGCGTACATGTGAGGGGGAGGGCTCGTTTATGTACCACAAAAATATGAATCTTTCCATGCAAAAGTTACCAGTATGTATATTGAATTCTCGTTTCTCATTAGAACGGAATGTGATCGTGATTTTTTTTTCCATGCCGTCCTTCCCTCGTCCCAAATCGTATACATATCGCAAGGTCAGCAGAACAATCCAGCGCCACCTGAAGTAACAGACATCTATGTGCGAATAAATTTCAATCATCGGATCAAATCCAAATATAAGACACGCGTATACCATCGCGAGGGTATATCGTTGCACGTCGTCCGATTTTGAGCGTCGTGGAAGAAGCGAAAGCAAAAATAAAAGGTATACCAACCCCAGCCGTCGCTTCCCGTGTATCCAGCGTTGGTCTGGTACAATGCAGTGTTAATCAATAAATAGCTCAAACAATAGCAGTTGTTGGAATGTGTGTGTGTGTGGGATATGGTGGGGGGAGAGAGAGAGACAGAGGAGGAGAAATCAAAATGTCCATTGTCTGATATGATAGTATTGATAATGTTATAACAACACAATCAACACCGATCACTTCTTCAGGTCAACGACAGATTGATATCATAGGGCTATGATGAGTACAAAAAAGAAAGAAAAGCCAAAAAAAAGCCAAAAACAGTGGTACATTTCGTGTGCGGTTTGGTAGGGTGTGAGAGTGAGAGAATGTGAGAGTGAGAGGATGAGAGGAAGAAGAAAGAAGTAGGGAGGTAGATGTATGCTCGAGACAAGAGATCCTAAGAGCCAAGGCCATCGGACACATCATCGCAAGCAAAAACAAAGGGGTAAAGGATGGAAACCAGCAAACAAAACGAGGATTTCAAAAAAAAAGCTCGCACGCCGAACCAAAATGGACAAAACAATGCTAGTTCAACATGCCATCTTCCGTTCTGTTACCATTTCATCCCTTTCCCACTCATCTAGTAGTCGTGCTACTTCTCTGAAAGATACCGGTTTTGTAAGGAATAGATCCACACCAGAAGCCATAGCATCCGACTCATCGCGAGAGCTGCTGAGTCCGGTCAAGGCAATGATGATAGCCGGCTTGCGGCCATCTATATCCCTCTCGAGAGAGCGAATAGCACGAGTAGCCTCGAACCCATTCATGACAGGCATCGACATGTCCATGAAGATGATATCATAACCACTCTGCATGCGCTCCACTGCCTCAACGGCCACCTTGCCATTATCGGCTGGGTCCAGCTCGGTCAGCTGGCGCTTTTTGAGGAACGTCATCATCAGGTTGAGGTTTATGCGATTATCGTCAACCACAAGCACCCGGGCTAGTCGTCGAGGGCGGATTTCACCCTCTATCAGTGGTGCTGGTAGAGGGGATTCTCCAATCTCCTCGGGCAATGTGCTGATTCTTGAGGGATGTTGCAGTGGTGATATCGTCATGGGGCGGACTCCGGGACAGTCTGCCAGTTCGGGGGCGCTATGGGCATCGGCAGGGGATATGAGAGGCGAATCGAGTGCGGATGGTAACGAGGACGTCCTAATCGGTAGACTCATTGGTTTCAGAGCGGAAGACGGCGTCGCAGATGTCGATTGGCCGTGGGTCAAACACCTCATGATGCTTCGGGCTAATTTGTGTGGCCCACAGGGACGCCGGATGATATTCACGGAGGAAGCAAGAGGCATCCACTCGGATTTTGCACCAGTATAATCCATTGACTTGTGGCATAGGACGAGAAGAGCAGGCAAGGTGGCTGTGGGTGCAATGGTGCGGAAGTTTGGTAAATCGTTTTCATCCATAAGCACAAGATCAACATCGGCTTCCGGTGTCCATGCGACGATCTGTATAGCATACCAGTCTAAAAGGTATCGAGCAATTTCAGACCAGTGAGAGTCGGCAGTCACGTCGGTTGGGTCGATGCCCCAGATGGAGGCTCGTCTACCAGGGTATGCTTCGCGTAGTAGAAGAGTTTGCGCCAAGGTTTCTCTTTGTTGGATAAGCTGACCAGATGGTTCGACGGGCGGGCTTTCCTTGCCAACAGGCCGCTCTAGGGGTAGAGATACATGTACAACAGTGCCCTCCCCAGGACGGCTACGAATTCGAATGCTTCCATTCAGAGCTTTGACCAAACTGCGAACAATTGAAAGTCCCAGTCCAGTACCGACAGCCAAGGCGTCTTCCTGAGCAAAAGGCGTGTAAAGCTTGCTGCGCAAAAATTCTTCCGATATACCTTTGCCCGTGTCAGTTACTGTCAACGTGACCAAGTCTTCGAGGCCTTGCCGCCGAGATCGTCCTTCAGATTGACTAGATGCTGACAAGGATAAAGTAACACGGCCAGAGTCTGTGTATTTCATGGCATTTCCAAAAACATTCATAATGATGCGTCGCAAAGCCCCCGGCTGTGTCCGGTAGACCCAATCCCGGAATGAGACATCGATTACAACTTCGACGTTGGACCGGTGATTCTGCGACTTTGTTTGATGTGGCATCAATACGGGCAGGTCCGCCGAGGCAGTAGAGCTCTGGCCGTACACATGGCCAAGGCAGATGCCTTCAACGACTTCCTCGGCAAGAATGGCCACATCGGTAGCCACGAGCGTATCCAGATGATGCGGCAACTTGTCGGATCCTTTGAAATCGAGCGGCGACTCTTTCTTGCGTCTCATTGTCCGCCAGGTCCTTTCCAAAGATACCACTTTGCTGAAGTCAAGTACCTGGTTCATTGTATCCAGTAATGTCCGGCCACAGGAATTGACAGTTTCAAGCAATGAGTTCTGGAATTCATTGAGATGGGTGCTGTTCAAAAATTCGGCAGCGGCCAAGATTCCATGTAGGGGACTACGGAGTTCATGCCTGGTGAAGGATAGTAATTAGTAACTGCGGTCGGACATGTCGATTATCTCCTAGAGACTAAGAAAACTTACGAAATACTCCCAATGAAATCACCTTTCTGGCGATCTGCGATGAGGGATTCAATGCGGCTATATTCAGCCATGATAGACGATGAAAACCCAAGCACTGAACTGAGCTCAACTGAGTTGGTGAACACCTGGGTCTCAATTGTGCTCCAGCAGAAACACCCTCCGAACCACTGCGAAGAAACAGCATTCCACAAAGGCACGAATATAATTTGCGCGGCATGTGGGAAATACTGATTGAGTACCGAGTTTTCCGCAGCTTTCCGTCGCTTTCGCGTGGCCTTTGAGAGCTGTGTAGCACTAGGTGGGGACCGGCTGGTGGTACTGGTGCCACGAAGGGCCTTGTCTTCGGATTCTTGGTCGTCATCATCTGAGGTCGAGAGGAGCCCATCGCGGTGAAAGGACCACAGCTTTCCTTTGGGATAGCGTCGAAGCAACAATTGCAGGAAAGATCGGTCTAAGTTGGCGGCAGGGCATGTGGCCATTGACCCTGCTTGGGGAGCAAACGGTTCTTCGTTTGTTGATGCTGACAGTACAGAGGCAGGTCCGCCTGTGTCGGAACAATCACTACCCATTTCGGTATCCATCAAAGGGCTATTGTTGGCTTCTAGAAAAATGACCCCACCGTCGCTACCCAGGTCAAGACTCTCGCGAAGTAAGTTGGCTGCTCTGCGGAAACACCAAGAGTTGCCTTGTGAATCATCTGGTGGTAGTTTATTTCGGCTGCTGCTTGTCAGCCATTCTGGCAGAGAGCTCTCTACTGTACCCGACTCTACTTTTGAACCGTTGTCCAATTTCGAACTGTTACCCAATTTCGAATCGGACGAGACAGAGCTGAAGGAACGCGCGTCGGTGCTGAGTGATCGATCGTTCGGTGGACTATTGGAGGGCGCTTGCGATGCGTTTTCTGAGGCATTTCCACGAGAGCCACCAGAGCCACTCATTCGATTGTAAGAAGATGCCGGAGTTGCTGACGAAGGGCCGATACTGTTGGTACGCGACGGGTCGATATTATCCACGAAACTAGAGCTTCCTTCAACGAAATAGCTGAGCCCGCGGGAAAGGCGGGCGGCCCGGCGTCCTTCAGAAGCCTGTCTGCAAATCTTCAAATAGTCCATCACAACCATCGATAAAGATCCCAGTGTATCCTTCTCCAGCGGTGTCAATCCATCTCGGGGTTTTGTGTCCAGCACGAAAAAACAACCCAAATTGATATTCTTCTCGGTTGTCAAGGGAGTTCCGGCGAAAAAGCGGAAGTTGGGGCCGTTTTCGACGAAGGAAAGGTGTTTGTAGCGCTCGTTTTCGGCCATATCATTCACGACTAGAAATTGATAGTTTGCATTCTCGCGGTCATTGGGGGGTAATGAAACAGTGTCCTGTCGAATGGCGTCAAAATCGGGAAGTTATAGGAATTAACAATGCGGTAGAGCTCGACAATGGCTCCGGGGCAGCCAGCTCGTAGAATGAGCAAAACTTACCTTGCACAAACTCCATGTCTTGCGGGTGTCGGGTGCCCCCAACCAGACATTGTCATTGTCGTCGTGAATTGTCGGATCGTTCAAATTGAGAGATTTTGTTGCTTCGGCAATGATGTGTTGCTTATCACGATCCAATACAGTTATAAACACCCGCTCCACGTTCAGGCGCAATGCCGCTAGCTGCGCAAACGATGTCATGGTACTATTCGAGGTACCTAGAATGAGAGCTTCTGTGCCAACTGCGGTCGCTGGTCGGAAAGTTGCACTGCTGTGTGAAGGTATTGAGCCTTCGGAGATCGGTGGAGTGATTGTACTTCCTGAAAGTGAAGAAAAAGGGAATCCATCATTCACCGGAAGCCAAGATGGAACCACCTCAGCTTGGGAACTAGGCTGGTAGTAACGGTATAGCTCCCTCGCCCTGCGATCTGCATTGTGTAGGCCACCATGGCGTGCTTTAGGAACAGTCATAGTTTGCCGCTAGCGTTAGAAGACTGAGGATACAGTGCTGCATCCTCGGACTCCAAGTCGAGATTGGATCACGCCGGTGACAATCGAGGCAGGGTGGTGAGGGTCGAGAGAAGTCGAATTGTACAAAGGAAGTGACTAAACAGGTAGGAAATTGTTGGAGGGATGAGTGTAACTATATTAGTAAGAGATTATCTGAGAATTGGGAGGAAAGTGGGATTTCTTGATTTAGATACGGCTCCCCACAATAGAACAGTAAGTCAGGTGAAGCGCAGATAGGCCAGGGAAGACTGGGTGGAAAATTCGGCATGCACAGCCAGGGACCCATCAATCAAGGTACAATAAGGACGGGCATTGGCAAAGTCCAGTGATCGGATAAATGTACAGAACATGATTAGTGGGAACGAGCGATCGGTACACATTGGGAGTTATTGTATGGGGTACACCTGCTCCACCGTTTCGTCGCCTCTCTCTTGGGACTCGTCTTGGAATTGACCGGCAACTTGAGATCGTCGCACCAAGATGGCGCAACTGTCGCTGGATCAGCATATTGACTGGAGCACGATGGAGTAGACCGGCCATTGGGCAGTACGGATGTGGACAAGATGTGGACAGGAGTAGGTTTCAATGGCTGTGGCGTGGTCCTGTGGCGTGTTGAGGCTGCATATCATTGGCTGACGGCCTCAGATCACATGATTTGCCAGGGTATTCCGATCCAAGCCAAGTGGGCCAATGAATCTTCACGATCGTTCTAGTAGAAGTCGCTAGTTGCAACTGGTTACTCCTTGCTTCATGCTTCCATGGCGTAGCATGTTATGTCCACAGTCTCGATACTGTCGACCAAGGCTTCCACATACATGCCAATGCCATGATCTGACACGGGCTGAAATTAGCGTCGCAAGCCCTATGACGACAGTGGCAAATTCTTGAAGCAGATTTATTATTCACTATGTATCTGAGGAAAGCGATCGTCTCTTCCGTCATGGGCCTGAACACCTAAGATGATCAAAGGCTCACAATCTTGTATTCGACAACCCCTCCAAACTTAATCCGCCTATGAATTATGACCGGTCACTGCACCCCAGATATACGCCACCCACGACCCGATTGTCAACAAAATCAGAGCACTGAAGCAAATTATGGAGACGGTCCGGGTGCGCCGGCGCTGGGTTACCAAGTTGCGTTCTCGAATCCGCTCGATGATAGCCGCACCCGATGTCAAACGTTTGTGCCGAGTCCACTGTAACGGCGCCAAGTTATCAGTCACAAACGAGCCAACAAGGATAGCTGCACCGACAACCATAGCACCGGCAGCAAGAACTAGGTAGACCTGCACCACTCGGCGGTATGAATCGTCATCTGCGTCCTGCAAAGCTCCCGTGATGATCCGAATTATGATGCTCATACTATTACGATTTCCAACGTCAATTTGTGCCTCGAACCACTTTTTTTGATGCAGGGATGTTGGATCAAGCTTACGCATTATTCATGGTGACCTTCAAAGCATACGCGGATCCAAAAACCGATTGGTGCCACAGCGTGGTGCGAATGCTATCGATGACCGACGTTGGTCCGAAGGATACGGCAATGGCGTAGATGCCGAACGCGGCCCCTGTTCCTGCCTGCGATGTTGCAAAATTGATGAGAACCATACTCAATAGCATACCAAGACCGCAGGTAAACACTAAATTGGTCAGCGTTGGACTTTTATCTGATCTTTGTGATCTTGGAGATATAACTCACAGACGGACGCCCGGTTGCCTAGAACATCAATGAACACGCCCAAGCAGGGAACGAGGAAGAAGCCTGGTTAATGTCAGCTATATCCAGCTATAATGAGCACGCATTCCACCAATATCATACCTGCGTACTGCGAAAGAGAACTATACCACCCGGCCTTGATGGAACCAACATTGAATCGTTTCTCGGCCAGCTCGGTAGCATTTTGGCTGAAGACTGTCGCAGCACTCGTTTGAAACACAGAGAAAGACATGACAGCCCAGAACATCCATGGGAGCTCGAACATCTTTTTGAATTCAAACTTTTTGTTCTTCTCTGTCAGTTGCTCCTTGGTAGCTCCATCGCGTCGTCCCTTGTAATGGCGATTACAATACTGGTTGAAGAACCAGAACGCTGCGCTGGCCGCATTCGTGAACAGATTCATGAACACCGAGGTCCAAAAAACCCACGCGAAGTTTCCAGTTTTCTATACCTTGTCAGCATTTTCTTACCAAGTTAATCGGAAAAGAGCAATCACTTTTGCAATGATGTTGGCCGTTGACGTGCCAATAAACCCGCCTATCTTGCCAACTGCGAGCTCAAATCCTAGAGTGGATGCAAATCCATTGCTAGGGGGGAACCAAGACGAGAACATCTTATATTGAGCGATTTGTGTGGCGATATCGCCGAGTGCGAGAATGACTCGGCCACCGATCATGAAGTTGAAAGAGCGCACGGTCGCGGCGGCAGCGACGAGGATGGAACCGATGGTATAGACGATATTTCCATAAACGATCATCTCTATTCGAAAGGACTTGTCAGGATATTCTTCGCTGATTTGACAGACTCGACAACATACCAGCTCCACCGACTCGGTCGGTGACCACACCACTTATCAAAAGCAGGACCGTTGCCATGAAATTCTCGCTGGCTTCCAAAAGCGAAAATTGAACATTGTCTATGTTCATTTGCTGCCAGACAAAACCCGTCAGTGAATCGTGCAAATGGACGTTTCCATAGCATTCTGTACCTTTTTGATCGTGCTCTTCATAGCACCCGTTACGCCAGAACTCCAATGCGAGCCAAAGCTAATGCACGATATCAGCGCGACCGCACACAACTTTGCTGCAAGCGGCGGTGGCTTCTTTCCATCAGAGTCATCGCCCGGTTCCTCCGGTACGCTGCGGATGTCTTCACGGACAGGCGCCGACACCACGTCGACCGACTTCGAGTCCGAAGTATCGACTCCCATTATCACAACTCGATGCTGGAATTATATAGCAAGCTTCTAGCTTGGGTTGTCAAGGGAAATAAAGTACTTTCACGCAAACTTAAAAAAAGACATTCATGCCATTATGTACTCCGTACTATTTAAGGATATCTGAGACTGGCAAATGTTCAAGACAAAGCGGAGCCCTGCCAGTCCGTGCTACAGCCTACGGTGAGCTGATATTGGTGCAGATCAGCTCGAACGTACGTAAAAGGGCAAAGAAGAACGTCCCCTAGGCGCTTGGCACATCAGATAAGATGGTTGAGATCGGGGCCTTGTCCCGAAAAGAGCCTAGCGCTGCGCATATACTCCAGTTCGGAGCAACGTCGGTGAATTTAACATTTTTTTAAGTCTCTTCAACGGCTTTAGGAAAGCCCTGTGCATGCCCGCAGTGGGACCCTGGGGTGCAAGGCTTTTCTCGGCTTCTCCGGGCTGTCGTCAGCTTGCAAATGCCGTTGTATTTTGCTCAAGTTTAGACCCGCTTGGAATCTTTAAACGGGTTACGCTGGGCAGATTCAGATTATTATTTCGTGCGCTCTCACCAGATATGTCTGTCTTCGTCGGGTCTCTTGAACTGTCCGAGGTACAATATACGAGGGTGATGCGAGCTGGTCCCGTCATCACCTTTGTCGACTGCTATAATTTGCGTAAAGACTGAGATATTGGAAATTTCAATTGAACAGCCTCCAGATGTGGCATATCAATAGGCTTCTAGAACAACCCCGGCAGTGGGCCTCTAGTCTAGAGATGTATGCAGTCATAGAGAAAAAGAAAAGAATCCAATACAAAATTCCACAAATATTCAACGAGAAAATCAAAACCGTTCCATGAGCCGCTTGCGCACAGTCCACATGCGAGCTCGTTTGCCGTAGATGTACATAGGAATGGACATGAGCATGAAGAAAAGCTGGATACCACCAATAGACAGGAACACGGTGCGTGAACCATCGGAATCGAGCCAATCCACGATAAAAAGGGAGAAAATAAGGCCGTGGAGAACATCTGCAAGAGAAAAAAGTGTTAGACCAGACAGACCTAACAAAAAATGAAGGATAGTTCAACATACTCTTGCTAAAGTTAAGTGTCACTAGCGCCTCGCCGGCATACTGGCGATAGCTATCTACACAAAAAGTGATAGCGGTCGTGCTGCCTAGACAGCAACCAAACGAGATCAAACCAAAGAAGATAGTCGGGACAATCCAAGAGTCACCGATCTCAGCACTCCACCCAAAAGCCATCAGGCCGATGACAGTAGACAACGCGATAGGAATTGTCATGACAAGACGGAATTCAGGCTCGTAGATGCCCCCATTGCGCCTGGTCATGAACCGGGCGATAATGTCGGATACTTTGCCCGCCACTCCAGTTCCAAGGAGACCGCCGATAAACGGCGATATGTAGATCAGGCCTGTCTGCAACGGGGTGAAGTTGTACTGATCTTTGCTCTCGAATATGTGTGCAACTGACTCCGAAAGTACGATCAGCCACCCGACCGATAGTGAGTATACCACTGTTGACCACAGCACGGCTGGATAGGCGAATAGGATGAATGGTCGCGCGGCAACTCGGTACCAGCTGTCGTGAGCGATTCGTCCATTCCAGACTCTAAGTAATCGGGAGTATGGAATCTTCGGACCTTCACGCAATCGGTTTGTGTATTGTAGGGTTGCAGGCAGCGGTGGCCCGGTAGGCTCTAGTGACTCGGTCCTCGCAGGTGATGCGGCACCTCGACCTACGGTGACTGGTCGAGCTGCCTCTAGGTCAGCTGTCTCCAGATCATCTGGGTGTGCGCTAGGCAAAAGGGCGTGAGGTGGTGGTTGGAGGAAGTCATCGCCTTTCTCATTAGCCGGGGTCGGCGGTTGAATGTTGATTTGGTCACCATTGGTAGCATTACCGGCCTCGCAAACAGAATCGGACTTTTCAGTCTCGACTGCCTGGCCTCCGCCTTCTAGGTGGTCATCCGCGAATCCAAAATGCGCATGTTTGGACTTCTTCGGTGCCAATGCTGGATCTGAATGGTCCTGTTCGGCGGACTCGTCCTGGGGTTGGACATACGGGTGCCGCCCTCGGAAGCCGTGGGAAACGAGGTCGGAGACACTCTGACCAAGGCCACGCGAGCCCTTGTGTTTGTGCACACGCGGGCGGGGTGTACGATCCCAAAATGTTTCGGGCACGAAGAAAAAGAGCAAGACTAAACACATGCCTGCAACCATGGCGACAATCCAAAATACCCAGCGCCAGCTTAGGCTTTCGATGATGGCGGCACTCACGAGAGGGATCAGGTTCTTTCCGCCTAGTAGCAAGAGCGTGTATATCCCCACTCGATAGGCTCTTTCGTGTAAGAAGTAGATCTCTGCAATTGTGGCAGATGGGAGACACTCAACTGGGCTCACGGCAAATCCTTGGAAAACACGAGCAACCACGAGACTTGCATAGTTCGGTGACGCTGCGCACCAAATTGCCGAGATCACAAACAGGATGGCTCCCAGGAGGTAAACCGGTCGTTTCCCGTATAGAATAGCCGTGGGCGACATCACAACAGACCCCAGGCCCAGCCCTAACATATACAGCCCGGTGGTGAAAGCAACCTTCTGTGTACTGGTATCGTACGTGGCTGCAACCTCGTTGAACCCAGCCGCCAAGATAGGGGTCATGCCGCCTCCCATCAGGCAATAGAAGCCCAGCGAGACCAACGCGGTATCTCTTTGCCATACAGGCCAGTTCAAAGGGTCATTTGCAGAGTCATCTGGTTGGGGATCAAGCACAAATTGTCCGTCCGCTGTTTTCTTCTGGGTTGGAACCGTCGACCGCGTTCGAGAATTAGACCGCGAGGGCGGATAGGACGAGGCTATAGAAGATGTCGATGTCCGGTGCGGTTGATGCCTCATTCCCAAGGGTTCATTGCGATTTGAGGATAAGAGAAGTACCGTTCCTAAATCATGCCAGCCAGTTGTCAGACCCGTTCCACAATATCATCTCTCTGTGACAGGACTCCCTACTCACCAGGAACTTCGTCTGTCTCTCGATCACTTAGGATTCCCAGTGTTGATTTGGCGCGATAAGTCTGATTCTCGCTACGCTCGAAATCTTCTTTGGTCTTTCCTCCAAAGAGTCGTCTCCAGCGCGAAGCAGCTGGCTGCTGCTGGACGGGGTCCACCGCCGTGTTCTCCTCCATTGTAGAAGAACGGTCTTCTGTCGGTGAGGCCATATTCTGTTCGAGAACTAGGAATAAGGATTCGAGATAGTCCCTACAAAAATATGTGAAGTATGTCGCCGAGTCTTGCGAAAGCGATCAACGCTTCTGGATCAACGCAAGAGGCAGTAAATGAACACCACTCAAAGGCATAGTTTGATGGAGTGAGAAAGACGAGGGGCGAGGTAGTAGGGAAAGAAAAATCTATAAGTGGCGGGGGGTGATATATAGTGTCCTAGGGCCATTCGGGCTCCATGCGATAAGCTAAAATGGTGGAAACACAAAAAGAAGACAAGCGACGATCCCAAAGAGGCAGTGGGGGGAGGCGGTGAGAGCGTCTGAAGGTACTCGCTGAGTACCGTGACTGTCGCACAGCCGCCAAGGTTAAATCAAGTCGCCTTGAGGTACTATCATTTTGATCTTATCAGAGATCTTCTTGCATATCTGCATTCTACACATCCCTGTCCGTGGACAGAACTGCTGGAATTGTCCGAGAATGACGGGGCAGATAAGCACACCATTTTCGGGCAAGGCTAAGCTCCCCACAATATGTCGTTGATAATGCACCTCGTGGGTCAACAATCCGCGTTGACAGGTGGATCTTTGGGCTACGCATTGCACGAGATAACGTCGAGAAAACAATACGCTACACTCACATATCTGTCGACAATCTACTCCATACAGCGAGGGTTAATTGCACTAGGCTCGAATATTCCCAATCGCCGAATGCGCCCGGCCATTCCTGGTATATGCCAAGCCACTCAAATCCGGCGCTTGTCGCGAGAGTTTTACTTCGCGTGATCTGCCTATCCATAAACATATCTTTCGACGAGTTCAAGTGTCAGTCACTCAAATCATGTTTTCAATACCCCAAAATTGTCTCAGCTGACCGCCGGGAGATGTTGGCTGTCGTCATTGTGCAGGCCAATTGCGGGGGAAAGGAGCCCCAGCTTTGATGAACTTGTCATACCGTTGGATGTCAGTGTCTCTGTTCGTCGGTGCTCGAGCTAGCATGGCGTCATGGGTCAGACCATGGGCAACCTTGTACTACATCATGTTTGGAAGAGGAAGATACAACACGCCAGTTGCGTCAACGGTTATTACTACTTCTAGGGATGCCACCTGATGTGAGTCCACGAAGGATCGGCTGGGATCGACAGATTCGTTTTAGGGTGCTTTGATTATTGATTGCCATTTGCTATATGCTGTGGGCGGATTAAGCAACTTGCTAATATAAGACAAGACTTTCTAGTTATCATTTGATGGCATTGTCCGCCCCTCCATCTGAAGTAGGAGGAATCTGGCAAATCCCCGGGAAGTACATACTCCAGTCCCTTGTCTTCTCTGCTGTGGCATTCTCATCAAGCTTGGGATTTGCTAGTAATAAGGGAAAGAGACGGCGTATGAGGTTGTACCAACGTGATGGCATGGTTCTCTCTGACAGAAACCCTTGTTTTCCATCCCTAAAAATTTCTCTTGTCTAACCTATTTCAGGCATTTACACATAGGCTTTTTCACCTTAAGGCCTGCAACGGCTAGTATAGTCCTTTGACTTGATACTATGTTGCTGTTCTAGGGTTCCTATACAGGTGTGTAGGGGAAAATGGCTAATATTACGACCATAGCATACTACATAAATACATAGCAGACCATTAAGAGTACAGTTCTCCATTCAGACCATGCCCATCTACGTTGATGGCCAACTGCGTCCAGGGGTGAATCAAATCCCGCCGATTTCCATTACAGGGGCCGTTTGCGGGCAGTCACGTGTGAAACCCCCTTTGGCAATTCTAGACCAGGTTCAACACAAGTGCTCTTTCTTTGCTTTGAATTCTTTTGTCATTTGCTTATAGTTACTTCATCTTAATATTTCTACTTCTTTCTTACTACTCCACATTCATTTCGATATCCATCTTTGCCCTTGAAAAATTGTCCGGTGTCGATCAAACCGTCCCACGCGACTTAGTGTCGTGTCATCACTCGAAGAATTCTCTCACCTTGGATATCGGTTCCTCCGCTTTATTACGGACTATAAATTCAAAGCGCAATCTCAATTCTTATTCGCTCGTTCTGTGGGAGAAACCGCCAACATCATGAAGATCAACCAGTCGCCCTTCCTTCTCTTCCTTCTTCCTGCCATTTCGGCCGTGCTCGCCGACACATACAATGACAACATAGACTCTAAAGTCTCGCGGGAGACTGTGGGTAATAATGCTCGTCTCGTTGACTCGGATATAGTCGCATCCAATGTCGCCAAAGGGGCGCCGGACGTCCCCGTGGATGGCAAGGATGGCAGACCACACGCTGGTCCGTGGGTGGAAACCAATGCAGACCGGGATCGCACAGGTCTCCAGGGAGGCGATGATGTTGATCCGGTTTCTGTCAAATATGATACCAATATTCCCTCTTCGGAACACCTGAGCACCGAAGAAGGGAAAATGATCCCGCATTCAAACGGCGGCGTGATGGATGATCCGCATCGGGCGGGCCCGAAAGAAGGGACACGAGGAACCGAGGGTGGTGTGTCTGAGAAAGGAAAAGAAAGCCAATTGGCATCTGAAAAAGTCCCGGGAGGGCCGAAGGAAGCGCCTCCGTTGCCGCATAGTGAGACCAAGAAGTTGGGCCCCGACAGCGACGACACAACAACCGGGGGTGGAAGTCGGTCTGCGGAGGGTCCGGGAAGCCTTGGAATGCTCGGGGTAAGTCTTTCTTTATGTTGCTTGAGTCCGAGGTCCTTCGTTGAGCAAGTGGGATTAATGTCCATCTAGAAACCCGACGACCTGCCTGAAAAGCCACACGATATTCCACACCCCAAGTCCCCGGGCACAGCAAAGGAGGACCCTATAGGCCTTGGACACGACAAAGTCACCCCGGGGTCGTCTTCGAGTTCTTCCTCGTCCTCGTCCTCGTTGGGCCACGGCCACGGCCACGATCACGATCACGACCACGACTCTGGTATCCATGATGCCGGCAGCTCACTACACTCCCTTGTCTTCTCATTCACCATGATTCTCGTCTCTGAAATCGGCGACAAGACTTTCCTCGTGGCTGCGCTGATGGCGATGAGACATCCTCGCTTGGTGGTGTTCAGTGCCGCATTCAGTGCCTTGGTTATGATGACTGTTCTTTCAGCAGTCCTGGGCCATGCAGTTCCTACTCTTATCCCCAAAACGTTCACCAAATTCCTGGCTGCCATTTTGTTCTTAATCTTTGGTGCGAAAATGCTCAAGGAAGGCCGTGAAATGTCTCCAGATGAAGGTGTGGGTGAAGAGATGCGAGAAGTTGAGGCGGAGCTCGAAGAGAAGGAGCACGAGCAGCTGCGTATGAACCGCCGTCGTTCCTCGGTTACTCCTCACAATCTCGAAGCCGGTCGCGCTGGAGGCCGTCCCAAAACCCGTGGCTCCGGAAACCGCCTGCCTTCGCCTCCGGAGAGCTTGTCCTCGTCCTCGTCCCGTGGCTCTTCTCCCCAGCCCCGACAACGGCTAAACAATGTCGTTTCCGGATTAAGCAATCTATTTTCCCTACTTCTCAGCCCCGCGTGGGTTCAGACCTTTGTCATGACCTTCCTCGGCGAATGGGGCGACCGCAGTCAGATTGCCACTATCGCCATGGCAGCTGGCCAGGACTACTGGTGGGTGACAATTGGAGCTAGCGCTGGTCATGGAATCTGCACCGCAGCCGCCGTACTCGGTGGACGGGCCATCGCTGGCCGGGTCAGCATGCGTGTTGGTATGTATCCTCTGCTTGTTTTCCTATATATGACACATGCTAATCTTGACATTCATAGTGACTCTGGGCGGCGCTGTGGCATTCCTTCTGTTTGGCGTCATCTACTTCATCGAAGCCATCTTTTGAAGCGCTGCATATCCGCGGTTGTATGTGTCCATGGAAACTTATCGTTATAGTTTTTGGCGGCTGATTTTGTCTAAAATTCGAATGAATGTATCTTGTGACATACCTACGACTGTTTTAATACTATAATTACGTGTCTGGCCCACGCAATATCCAGGTTCACAATCTCACATCAAAATGGAAATCCAAGCTCTGAGTACTTTGACCGTCTGTTGATGCATCAACGTGTCGTTTTCTACCAATCACATAGAGACACGGGGCATGCGATTACATGAGGAAATGCACGAGCCTACACATGTGGTCGAGAAAGTGTTGTGATGGCCGATCTCTTCGGTCTTAGGAGTAATTCTCCTACAAATGAACATTCGTAGTTCCACCACCCGCTATACTTTGAACGTGAGTATCCATTCTAAGGCGTTCTAATAAACCTAGATATGACGTAAATTAGGCGCCCAGTGTATGAGACTAGAGATCAGCGAATATAAAATACGAGGTAGATATCATTCCTAATTTAACCTTTGAATCTTCCCGTTCAAGGTCTAGCGAACTATTCAACATGTCATGGTCCAAAGTGAACGAACAACGATGTGAACGTCTACTTGGCGAAAATGAAACATTTATCAAGATCGTTGGTGATGCCGCTCGTCCGTTCAATCGTGAACACTGGGCTATCAACATCATTGTCTCGGTGACCCCGCTAGGCTCACTCGCCAAGGAAAATCAATCCTCCGTCTTCCGCGAGGCATGGAGGGCTCTGCGTTTCAGGCACCCCACGATCGCCGCATATATCGTGGACGAAACCAAATATGTCTACGATATCCCCGACCTTACGGCACTTGAGAAATGGACGGCAGAAACCTTCCAGGTGATTGAGGACAAGACGGTTGATGAAGTCATCGCATCTGCCACGCGTGTTCCATATGCTACTATGACCTTTTTTCCCCAGACGGGTGAGCTATTGGGCCGCTCGCAACACTGGAGAACGGATGGCATCGGTGGCTTGATTCTGATGGACGACTTCCTTGACCTAGCCGCGCAGTCTGCTGCAGATACTTCCTCCCTGCCATGGGGTGAAGAGACCGACCGGTTAGCGTCGTGTGTTGAGGAGGCATCGTCCAGTTTCATAACGTCGGAGAAGCAAGATAGGCAACTAGGCCAGCAGTGTGTTGCAAGTTTTGGTCATGCCGCTGGGGCCATCGGAATCGCCTCGCGCGCACCAGCCGAGACTTCCCCAGGTGGTACGCGCATTAGCCGTCTTCATCTCACCGAGCAAGAGACAAGGGCCGTAGTGCAAGGTTGCAAGGCTCGGGGGCTCTCGGTAACAGCAGCAGTACACGCATCAATTGCCGGAGCCAACTATGCACTAGCCACTGCTGAGGATCAGAACAAACACTATACGAGTACGATACGGTACAGTTTACGTCCGTTCCTACCAGGGCCATACTCTGGTCGCCAGTATGCCAGCACAATCCTCACGACGGGTTGGATGTTCCCTGTTTCGTCCGAGTCGTCATGGTCAGACCGAGCAAGGGCATACCATGGCGAATACCGCAAAGGTCTGAGTCATGCATACATTTCGGCGCATCGCGAATACGCCATTGGGCTATGCAACCTTCTTCGCAGCTTGCCGAAGGACATCCCTTCGCCGACCGATGTGGATATCAGCAGCCTCGGTGTGTGCGAGAGGTTTGTGACGAGAGAAAAGGGAACTGCAGAGCGGGGAATTCGCATCGATCGAGTCTCGGGCGGCTTGGATATGATCAATAGACAATGCGTGTGTCATGTGTGGACTTTTCGAGACCAGCTTTGTTTGAACTTGGTATACAATGAGGCATTTTACGATAGGGCGGAGGGGGATTCCTTTTTGCAGACTGTTAAAAACTCCCTGCTGCATGAATTGATACTATAGGGTCCTAAAGTTTTATAACTCGAATGTATTTGACCCATGATCACATGATTTCGTCGAAAATTCAGGTCTCACGCCAAGCTTTTACGTAAAAATAAAGAGGGGGTTTAGGGTTTTTAGTGCTTAGGGGGTTTTTAGGGTCTTGACCTGATAATACAGGCATCAAATTACTTAATACGGACTAGCGTGTCTCGCTTTATAAATAATCCGTTGTTCCGAGTAACGCAGCCCCGAAAACCCTGACATCTGGCCACTCCGCTCCCTTAATTCTCCAACTCTTTCATCAAATTCGTACACATCTCATCAGGCGACCATCAGAAGTCTTTCGGTTTCATCCGAATATTTTTTTTTTTCCAGTTATATCAATTTTCAAGCAAATCGCGCGAAAGTGAATAAATAACAACAAGGCTTGTAGGGGCTTGACTCCTGCCCTACATTGCCCACCGCCTTCCATGGCACGCATCACGGGGTCCCGCATGACGCGAAGTCGGAGCCGAGAAGCAAATGCAGCGTTTATGCCAAATAAGGGGTCGTTGGAGCGCAATTGTAGGTAATTTTCCGGTTGTTTTTTGGTGTAGCCTCAGCAGCCCTTGAGGCGGATCAGGCAACTACGCATTAAGGGAACATATGCATAGTTGTATATTCCTCAATGCGCGAACTCTCTCCATAATCCTTTCATCTGCTCGTCCCGTTGCCTCACCTTTCATCTTGTTGCCTCCATCACTTCTGTTTGACAGTTGAATGTGTTCTGACTTTATTCAGGGTTAAGCGGGCTGGCTGAGGAGCCTTCTGCTCCTCCTATCGGGTTTATTGCACCCAGAGATGTGGTACCAGAATCGCCTGAAAACCAAGAAGGTAATACCAATGTGTCTGGTACAACCTTGTGTCCCAATGATGCGGAGCCCGCCGATTCTCGAGTCACCGATGCTCGAGTCGCCGATAAAATCGCGACTCACTTGCCGTTCGTTCAACAGCAGGCGACCCTTGTCATGAGCCTGTTGGTTCACCCAGACTTCAACCCGGACAGCCTTGCAGCCGAGTCGAAAAAGCTCCTCGATTCTGGCCACCCAAATCGCAAACGATTGAGGCGATTCGTGGAAGGGCTGATCGATGAACTGGAAGACTGTCCTCTTTCTCGTGATGGCAAGTCCCTATTGGACGTCTCCCAGGCTCGTCGTTTGCTTTCTCCTGCGCAACTAGATGCATCAATCACATATATTTACATGACAAATTGCGCTCTGTTGACCCTCAACATGTTCCTCCCCAGCATTGGCACCGAATCCCAGTCGGAGGTTATCCAACAGCTGGACTCCCAGTTTCCTGCATGTGTCTTGGGCAACCTTCCGGACAGTTCTACGCCAAAGGAACTTGGGGCGAGTGATACTAGCGAGGCTACTTTCAATCTTGCCTTGAGTATCCGCACACAGTTCTTCATCATGGAGTTAGAAAGACGCCAAGATGAGCAAGACTTCAGCCCACTTTCCATCTTGAGACAGGTCTTTGCAATAGACCTCATTCCCAGCGAAGATTACTCCCAGGATATCCCCGGTTCCTTCCGGGGGTTCAACTTGCCGGGTGTCTTTCAGGACGAGGATGGCCATCTCCCTGAAAATCTTCCTGAGAAGTTTCTCATCGCCGTCAACGACAGATTCAATGAACTTCACGAGGAGCTTTCTGAGTGGGACTCCGTTGATATTGGTGGTCTGAAAAAGGCATATAGATGGCGGTCGTTTGAACGAGACCTTGCCCGTTGGATCTATGTTCGTGACAGCGAAATTAAGGAAGACATCAGACGCTTGTCAGAAAGAGTGCATAGCTCATCCACACCTCGTCGCCTTACTTCTGTCCCGGTCGGAACTCCCAATCGACGAGTATCGACAGTGCCTCCGTCTCCTCAGAAAGACCGACTGGTGAGCATGGCACCGGATGCAGGTAGAGTGCCCCCGTCTCCTCAGAAAGAACGACTGGTGAGCATGGCACCGGATGCAGCCAGAGTGCCCCAGGCAGAGACGACAACGCAGGCAGGACAGACAGTACCGGTGGATAAATTGCCTGAAAACAACGCTCCTCGGCCAAGTGCCGCTTCTCAAAATGTTCCTGAAAAAAGTGTCTCCGACCAAGTCGCACGGCCGGCAGCAAAAGATCCAGGACGGCGCAAGTCCAAAAGGTATGCTCACTCTACTCCCTCTCTCTGTGGCTACTAACTTTCGTCTATAGCAACTACCGAGACCCGGCCTCGTTCGCGGCACTCATGAGACGCCAGGCTACTAGTCATCAGCAACCTGTCTCGAACGAATCGCAAGCGCAAACCATTTCTACAAAGACAAGCATTGTGGCCCACGTGATTAATCCTGGCCTTACTGCTAGTCGCGCAACCGAGGCTTTTGAAATTCAACAATCCCCTGAGCTGGGATATACAGACATCGGGGATGACTCTACATACGTAAACAATGACGAGGACTTGGATCTCGGCCATGGCCCGGGACCAGATGTTATAATATCAACCAGTCCCCCAAACTCCGCTCGAATCAGTCATGTCAGCCACAATCCCACTCCTCGGTTATCTGATTCGCCCAGAGATGGAAACCCACAGCGATCAGTCCCGATCGCTCGGCGCTTCCTCGATAAGCAGAATAATGCTAGGGTTGTGTCGCCGATCAGCCAATATGATACTCAAAGTACTGTGTTGGGGAAGCGAAATCGGAATGCCGATGTCCTAGATGATGACTCAACTGACGGGTCAGACGATGAGTTCGAGCAATATAATCACAACGTCGATCCGAGGCGCAGGGTCGAAAAGTCTCCACACAATGAACCTGCCGCGAAGCGACACCACCCCCAGGACACCGCGTGGTCTGGTGGAGAGCAGTCGCAATCAAGTATCAATAGATTGTTCCACCACAACCAGTCTAGCCAGACGCAAGTTTCTCGAAGGATCCAGGCGGTTGAAAGTGACGATGCCGCCACTGATGAAGAGACCACCGTTGCACAGCTCGAACCGCCCCCTAGTACCCAGGGTCGGTGGGCAGCCTCCCAGGCTGCGATGGCCAGGAGGAGAGTTCCGAAGACCAGCCACAGGTGGACAGATGAGGAGGATGAACGTTTGCTTCACCTCATGTCAATTTACGGCACTGCCTTTGCTACTATAAAGAAGCAAGACAACGCTTGCCCCCCAGCTGAAGGCGGTCCCGTGCTTGAACGTCGTTCTCAGGTCAATTGTAAAGATCGTGCTCGCAATTTGAAGAGAAAATATCTCAGGTAAGATATCATACCTTTTCGTCCTTAGTGTGATGTGTGCGGCAGTTCTAACCCGTTGTTTTACAGAGAGGGTCGAACACTTCCACCGAACTTGGATAAGGCAGCAGGTTGATTTGACGCATTGATAATTACAAGCAGTCGTGTTTGCTCTTGCGTTTCTTAGCGTTCATCGAGATACCCAATGAGCATATGGGATGGCGTTTTTGAGCGTTCATTTCTAGGCTCCTGCTTTCGTTGTTGCTTTTCTTATATGTTTTTTTTTTGCCTTGTATAGGGCTCTTCTACGAAGAAATGTTGTTAATTGTTGAAGATTTGTTTACTATTGTTTTATCTTCTAGTTTTTCAGTACTGTCAAGATTGAACGAGTTGTTCTTTTACATTATTATCGCTACAAGGACCATCTTTTTTAATATCTCTTGTTAATCACACAAGATACGCTCTCTAAATCAAAAGACGTGCAATGAAGTCAAAGCAATACTTTCAGCCACTTGGCATTGTCCATGTGTTCGTTCCTCTTGGTATCCTTTCCAGCAGATTTGGCAACCTTCTCAAGATCCTTTCAATGCTTTTGCTCGTTTGCAGAATGACCATCCACAAGGAAAAGAAACGAGAATGGAGCCAGGGGAAGTGTTTTACACTGCTGAGACAGAGACAAAATCCGAGATCAGATAGAATCTGTACTGAAAGGATACACTGACTCAAAGTCAAGGCCAGAATACAAGAGTTCAATTGCTTTGTATGGAATGTATGAGGAATCAACACGAAGCTAAGAGATTATGACATATTGCCTGCCTCTGCCTGTTCTGCCAATTGCTTTGTTGAGAAACTTTCACGTCTTTGATATATGACATTGATAGCTGTCATAGTGTCTCACCACCAAAGAACGTTATTCATTTTACGAGTTTCGGCGTGCATCAGCTAGATAAAGAAATAAAGATTCCATACAGAATACTCTAACATGATGCTACGTCTACGGATAACTCCTATACAGTACATAGCAGATGAGACATGACCTTTGTATAAAAACAGATGTATTTCCTAAGTCTAACTCCCCATATCAATTCAACACCACCAGAAACCGACTACTTGCATCAAACCAGACATTCAAGAAACTTGTTCGCACGTTATTACATTCCACCTCTCAAAATGGGCAACGACAGAGGCAGAAACAAGGGCAGAGGTAGGGGCAAGAAAAGAAGTCACATTCACAGTCTGAAGGAGAACACTGTCGCCACGACGGTCGCAACGAAGCTCGACAACAAGCCTAAGGGCAAGATCTCGGACAAGCATCACTGTCTCAGCAAGCGACCGGAGCATGTTCGGACTTCACGATGCCTTCGTTTGGGCCATGTGGTCCAGTGTCCGATTCATTCTGACAGCTTCCCACTACGGTTGAGCGAGTGTGTGAAGTGCAACAGTGCTGACAGGCGACAAGTGCAACAGGAGCGCAAAGATAGAAAGAAGTAGATTTTTGGTCCTTTAGGTTAGATAGAAATTTCGAATCCGATCAAAATCTTGATGCAAACTTCATTCATTGTACATCCAATCCCGCCACCATCTGAGCACATTCATCTATCAAACGTGCAATGCCCTCGGTAGCCGCAGCGCTCCGTGGAATATTATGTCCTCCCTCGTGTTGATATGTCAATCTTTTCGTAGACTCAGACAAATAAGCTAATTGCAGTGAAGCGGGCAACCGAGGATCAACTCGCCCATAAACGTGGAGCGTTGGGATTTTTATCCGCAGCTGCTCGGGCATCTGGACAGTATCCAGTCCAAATATATCCGAGGGGTCAACTGGGGCCGCCGGATTCAAATGGAGGTCAGTATCACCATTTCCCCCGGGAGTGGTCCATCTGTCTCTTCCCCATTTCAGGATCGCTTCCTTGGATGCTCGTTCGCGCAGAGCTAGCTTGGTCCGTTTATCCCACTCGCGAGCTTCGTCAGAAATGGTCATTCCCAGCGTTTCTAACACCGACAAGACCGGTCCGCCGCAAATAAATACGACGGCTTTGAAAGGCAATGGCTCGGTCGGCTTCTCTATCTGGTGGAACCAAATATAACTGGCAATCAGGAGGCACCCTCGAGAAAAGCATACCATTCCGTCGTATGGGACATTGTTGTGTTGGGTAAGGTATTTATGAAAATCTTGACAGGCAGCCCGAATATCAGACACAGTTGCCTTTAGCCACCATGTGTAGTAGGGGCCGTCTGGGTAGCGGAGATCCAGGCCGGCGGCTGGTTTGGACGTGAAAGGGCCGTCGATGAAATGAAACGCATGCTTTGATGGCGGCAAGTGGGCGGTGACAGCCGCTACAGATCGACTGTTAGGTTATTTTTGCTTGCAGGTTTTTATAGTCAGAAAAAGCGTACCCAGCTGGTCCTGGAAGATGGTAGCTGAGGACCCTGTGCCGTGGATGCAGAGCCATTTCATATTGTGTATTTTTCAAGAGTCAAGACAGGCCGAGGTAAACTGTAGTCAGGTCAAGGCTAGGCATCAGTTAGAAAAGTATATCGAAATCTCGTATTGAGGTGGGACCATGTTGATCTGCGCTGATGATACTCCCAGGTTCGTTACGCTTCTCTTCGGGCTTTAAATGTGTCGGCTCTGAAGAAAAACTCTAAAATTCCAAAGTCCTAAATTTCTAGGCTGTGGACCAAGAAGCATCAACGGCAACATAAACATACCCCGGTATACAGATAGGTTGGTGTCAAAGAGAAGTAATTGGCCATGGCGAACACGTACGAAGGCTATTAGATTTCTAAGAATGTTGATTTAATCTTTTCTAGCCTTTCCCACCGATCTGGGAACCGGATCCACAGGAAATACCTGCTGGCCTCTCCGAAAACCTTCGTCAAAAATCAAGTTAGAGCGATTTCGCAGTGGCTCTGGCATGACCCATGAGTTTTGGGGATCGCGAAGCCACAAACGTAGCAGGTGACGACTTGGGATGTTTTCAATTAGCCAATTTTCATATGTACACGACCAATGCCTGCTTACCGATTTTCCGAATCATCTATATAGCTGTTTCGAGCATGTATCATGCTTAGGTTATTGATGAATTGCATATCGCCTCTCTCCAGCTTCATGGCTACATGAAACTTTTCTGCAAGAAAGTGGAGAGCATCCAGTGCCTCCACCTGGATAGAGCTTAGCATATTCATCTGGGATCGAGCACCAAATCCAGAAAACGAGCGTCGAGAGAACTGCAAGATGACTCGTTCCGGAGCTCCATCGCAAGCAGGTTGGTAGAACAAAAGCGGCCGGTGAGTGATCAGACCGGGCTGTTTTGCACTAATTAGGGTTCAATGGCACGTCAGCAAATTGGGTCTTTTCCCTGGAGCATCGGATTATCATCGACACGGTTTGCACACCTGGGTATCGGCCAGTCCTCCGCCAATACGCGGAGTAGGTCGGGGCGGGTCTCCGCCAGAGAATTGTAGACAGTCCACGCACTCGCGAGAAGACTTTCACCGCCATTTACGGGCCCACTTAGGACGAAGAGGGAGACGATATCCCCCACATCCGTGTGATATACCACTTCGCCATCTGAATATGCTGCCAGGGAAAAGTTTTGTGCCTCGTTGGGGCGTCGCATGTCGGTTATGTGGGCCAACATGACATCTGCCGGCTGCCCCTCGAATTGATGGTCTTGCCGACCGCGGATGGCGGCAATGTGCGAAGAAATCCCGACATAGATGATCATATTCTCTTGGCGAGAATAGCGTTCTACTGGAATTCCTCGAATAAGTGTAAACCCATAGCCTGAGTGCAGATTGTCTGATGCGGACCGCAGGATCGAGTGCAAATTCGGTAGAGGAAACGTCGACGGGTCCAGAGTCTCCATTGGCTGATTCAGTTCTGCAGAGTTATCAGTCTTGAGCGAGGAATACGAGAGTGGCTGGCTGACTTTGGAAATGCTTGAGTGCTGCATCTATCTCGACCAGCTGCGGAGCTTGTAAAATCAACAGGTACGGACTCTCAGAGCCTGCAGCGTGATTCATCGAGATATTTCCTCCTTCCCAGGCCATATCTGCGGTCAATCTCTGGGGAAATCCATGAGGAAGGATTTTTTCCACTGGTCCTTCCTGTGCATAGCGGAACATACGAGTGTCGTACTCGTTGCGATCTGGTAAATAAGGGAGTTGGTCGAATGATTGTGCCATGGTCGCCTTGAGATGGAGTATTACAGTTGGAGGCACAAAATATTGAGGGCATGAACAGAGTGAATGCTTTATAATTACATGGGATGTCTCAGGATCCATCTCTCTCCGAAATATTTTACAGTTTTGATCCTGAAGGGACGTATCTCGAATGTGCGGCCGTATACTCCGCAGTCCCGCACCAACTCTTCGACATCACCTAATGATAATCCGTAAATTATTGTAGTTCGGTGAATGTGACCTATCGAGAGTAAATACACGGGTATGTGATGATCTACATAAACTGCAAGATAATTGGCAATTCAGTCCCGAGCTCAGCTCTGGGATTTCAAATGGATCAGACAGAAGCAGCCAATTGCGAAGCTTCAAATGAAAATTACTATTGTGGAAATGCCTACCGAGGCTATTTGGGATTATTTAAGAAAGACAAAACATGAATAAGTAGTTAATACTTGGGAACATATTCATTTTATCGTCTGAAGTTCCTAACAATCACCAGAAAACATGACCATCCTCTCCAGGCACGATCGAGCATTATTCGAAACAACGAAACGTGTTCTTGCTGAGATTGTGAACGAAGGACTAGTTTATGCAAAGCTAGAGTCCACTGCGACCGGAGAGCCACAGATACTGTGCCTACAGAGTATACTCAACCCCCAGGATGGAACCTTGGTCAAGGTGCCGATCAAAGCTGGCGCTGTCATCGAGACAAAAGATGATCTCGTGGTGTCTGTTGTACGACCAGACAGCTTACAGCCACCTGTGATTATTGCGGATACCAGGAACGGAGAGTTGGACCCAGGGACACTATTCAAGTTCCTGAGTACTTCGTTCAGTGACGTCGCTAGTGAGAGAGTAGTGGATGAGATCGTTCAGGAATTGCGCAATTCAGCGGCCAATCAAGGTGAGATAGCATTGATGTCACACTGTCTTCATTGTACTAAAAATATCCAGAGAAATGGCTAGAGATTAGCGAATCCCAGCCATTGTTGAGCCTCAAGGATAGATCTGCTAGCTGGGAGCGGACATTGATCTATGGCCACCCGAGTCATCCCGTAGGATCCCTTGATACCGAACCTGCTGGACAAAATTCTGACTTTGACATTGACAGTACCATCGATTGTGTTTTGCTCAAGCGCCGCTGAAGCCCGTCACCGCCGCGGATATCCCTGAGATGCTCAACCCAACTCTGGCATTTGTTTCTGTTCCACGTGCCAATCTTCGTGTGACAGGCCACTTCGAGCAAGAGTTGCAACCACTCCTGGAAAAGCTTGAAATTCCAAAAACAACCGGTGACCGGGTGGTTGTCCCTTGTCTCGCTCAGCAATTACCCTCTATTCACCAGAGGTTCCCGGACACCATCGTTCTAAAGCTTATCGCGGACTGTGCCGATGCGCAGGCATCAATGCGTACTCTCACCATACGACCAGAGTTGGAGTTCAAGTATCACTTGAAGCTCTCACTGGCTTGCCAGATAACCTCCGCCCTGCGAACTATCACTCCGTGGACAACTTGTGGCGGCCCGGTCCAAACAGAGATCTTGGAAAATTTACTTCCAAAGGACCTCTGGGTTTTCCGAGAGGTAGCAGCTGTATCAGGCAGCCAGGAAGATTTCAACGAGGCGCGCCACCTTTCTTGTATTTTGCGAGATAGCCTGGAGACCAGAGCTAGGGAAAATGATGAAACTCTTATCATTGCCGCAGCATTGGCCCAGAAGCCTAGTGGAGATAGTCGTACATATGCGGAGATTTTGTACAGCTTGGAAACAATCTCCCAGAAAAGGGAATGGTTCCGAAGGTAAGTGCAACGATCAGCCACAAATATCATAACAGATGCTGATTCCCGTACCAACAGATACGTTACGGTCCTATTTGAGCTTGTGCTTCCCCCATTGGTCCAGTATGGAATCGGACTAGAAGGCCATGGGCAGAATCTTGTGGCCCGTGTTTGCCGTCGGACAGGTCAAATCAAAGGATTTGCCGTGCGGGATTTCGGAGGAGTGAGAATGCATGTCCCGACGTTGCGAAACCATGGCGTGAGATATGATTCGCTGCCCCCCGGAGCAGCCACCTTGACGGATGACTTGCAGAATGTGTGGAGCAAGGTAGACCATTCACTTCTTCAGAACCACGTCGGGCTCCTGCTTGAGTCATTGGGATTAGAGAACCATGGAGGATGGACAATTACCCACGAGGTCCTATCGACAGTCTTGGGGTCGGATAAAGGCTCTCCCGGGTATACCTTGTTCGAATACTTCACCAAGGACACAATGCCCTTCAAATGCTTCCTGAGAATGAGAATGGAGGGTAAATACCGTGATGTGAGTCTTCCGATGTGGTCTGTTGCTCAAACTATTACGAATCTCTGACGTTTTTCCCGCAGTACATTGAGAGGGAGGTTCCTAATTTGCTTCATGTCACTTAGCAAGTTCAAGGTGGATGGAAGAGAACGGAAGGCGAGTATATATCACTGGGTGAATTGGGAGGTTGATTTGGTCAATACATGTATTTCTTTCGAAATAATACCCCGCAGGACCGCCCCTCTTCCTTTCTCTTTCTCTTTTCTTACAATTCCCCGACTTCTTCACCTTGAACATACAGCGAATACCTTCGCTGTGCTCTCGTAAACCTGATGTGGAAGAATACAAAACCGACCCATATTGCCTTCCAAGCACACAATCGACATGTCCTGACCTGTTTACAATTCGACGCCGACAAGATTATAGTCGGTAGTGACAACGCCAAAATCAGCGTGTATGATACTAAGACCGGAGCGCTTCGAGCAACACTGGAAGGCCACGAGGGTGGTATATGGGGACTTGAATACCATGGCAATACTCTGGTCTCTGTGTCGACTGACCGATCCGTCCGAGTATGGGACATTGCAAAAGCCAAGTGCACCCACGTGTTCAAAGGTCACACATCCACAGTACGGACCGTACAGTTATTGCTCCCCGTTCAAATTGGCCAGCATCCAGACGGTACGCCAGTGATGATGCCTGAACAACCTCTAATAATTTCGGGGTCCCGTGATTCAACCATGCGGGTTTGGAAACTCCCTCAACCTGGCGACGAGGAGTATTTCCCTCCCGCTCAAAGTGACGAGGAGTGTCCGTATCTCATTCATGTATTGGCTGGCCATCAACACTCCGTGCGAGCAACTGCAGCCCATGGGGATACCCTGGTTAGCGGTAGCTATGACAGTACCGTACGAGTTTGGAAAGTATCCACCGGAGAATCACTGCACCGGCTAGAAGGTCATCGATACAAGGTTTATAATGTATCTTTGGACCATGAGAGGAACCGCTGTATTAGTGGATCAATGGACAACATGGTCAAGATATGGTCTCTTGATACAGGTGCGTTGTTATATAATCTTGAAGGCCACTCATCGTTAGTGGGCTTGCTTGATTTGAAAGATGATCTGCTCGTGTCGGCAGCTGCGGACAGTATGCTTAAAGTCTGGAACCCTGCGAATGGCCATTGCCAGCACACGCTGAGTGGCCATACTTCAGCGGTCACAAGCTTCCAGCACGATGGTCAAAAAGTAATCTCTGGTTCCGATGGGGAAGTGAAGTTGTGGGATATACAGACTGGTGTGTTTGAAAGGGATCTTCTCACCAACCTTAGCGGTGTCTGGCAAGTCCAGTTTGATGCCCAGCGTTGCGTTGCAGCAGTTCAACGTGGGAATCTGAGCTATATCGAGGTAAGTACTCATCTAAACTGATGTGCTGTCATAATTTGCTGATTTATGAAGATTCTCGACTTTGGCGCTTCCCCTGACTCCATACCAACTGGTCGGCTGGGGGAGCGGATACTAGTCGATGAGCTAGGTCATGAGATCGAAAGCCGGAAGAGACAAAGGCAGAAATAATCTAGTGTTTGATTAGAGTTTAACCACAACATCCTCAAATATTTGTACTATCTTCGATATTACTTTCTTAAAAATGCCATTGGCAAAAACGTAAATTCTCCGAAAAGGATATCGGAGTCCATCCGGGAGTAAATAATGAATGCTAATATAGTCTGCTCATGCAACCCCAAATTAAAAACGAGTGTGGAATGCCTATCCCAAGACAGGCAGTAAATGCAACACAAATCCGACCAGCAGATCTAACACAAGGAACAGAAACGGTATATCATCCCTAATATCACAAACGCCCTGTTGACGAACCAGCGACGGTATAACTGTACATGCAATGTAGAGTACAGGGAATCAAAATGACAGTATATGCAGCTTCTATCTCAAGACCTGAAGGTTAGGAGCTTCACAGAAGCAAGCCCATACCCACAAAAACAGCGCCAAGCAGTGAGGATCCCGCGCAGACTGTTCCAGCAGCGTTGTTTGTGGGCGTGGGCGTGGCAGTTGCGGAGGCGAAGACAGCGGACTTCGATAAAACGTTGCCACTCTTAGAGTTGGCAGTTGATACCGCGGTCACGATGCTGGTTGGTGGGTTGGCTGTTGAGGCAGCGACAATGATTCCGCCAGCTGCGGTGGCAGCAGTGGGTGCAATAGTAGTGGAGGCATTTTCAGATGCAGACGGTTGGAGATTCTCAGCCGCCTGGATGAGATTAAAGGTATCCGCGCCGCCACCTAGATAAGTATGCTGTCAGTCATGATCTTGTTTCCATATGGAATATTATAGGTGACTCACAGCTTCCTGCAGGCCATCCAGCGCAGGGCACATCACATTTACTGTCGGCGATCTTAGCCGAATCTGGGGGCATTTCGTTGCCGCAGTAGCACATGTTGCCACGGCTCAGAGCAGCGACCTTGTAATTGTCCTCTGCGCATTGGGCCTGGCAATGTCCTGGTGATTGGTAGGTGTAGGGGCCCTGGTTCTTGAATGATTCGATAGCAGAGTAGCAGCCCATACTGGCGGTGGAGCTAAGCGAGTATACGGGAAGAGCTAGGGCAAGCGCGGACAAAATGTAGTTGGAATGCATGATTGGTAGGCGAGGTATTCGATCAACGAATTAAAGAGTGAATAGTTGTTTTGAGAAATGAAGGAAAGTATACGCAAAAGAGAGAGTTGTTTCAGGTGCCAGGGAGGAAAAAAAGGGTCCCATCAAGCATCTTTAAGGCGGCCGTTTGTTTGACACCCGTCGGTTCCATTTTTACGAGTGTTTTTCTGTGGAGTAAGGCTGGGACTGACGACATCGATGTCCAATCGATCGACTAAAAGAGGCAAAGGATTATTCTGAAACACTAAGCGACATGTTCTATTGAACCCGCAATGGGGCTACATAGGGTTCATTGGCTTGCGAGCGGACGATCGCCGATCGGCATCCCCAGGTGTGGCGTCTCGTTTCCCTTTTGAGCGACCAATGACGGCGGACGGCTCCTCCTGAGTCAAAAAGCATGAACTTGAGAAGGAGTTCGCGTGTTTCTGGTTTGGCGCTTGCCTTGATCGAGCATAGGTAGAGTGGGTTTAGGGTGTTGCATTTGTGAGGAATCTGGCATTGCTGGTCATTGCTGGTCATCGCCGGTGACCCCTTGTTTCTCCTTTTCTCCTTTCTGTTAGTATTCTGGTATCCTGGGTATTCCAAATACTCTTCATCTTCTGCAAGATATCAGGACAGTCATTGATGTGTATGGCATAGTCTAATTGGGAAACTGGACATCGAAATTGAGTATCAAAATGAATTTGGATCCATGGTTAACCCGAGCCTTCCGCACTGTTGGATGCCTTGTATATCAGGCACCTTACCTTATCTAAGACATCTCAATTCGACCTGGCGGCCCAATATTCGGGCACCCTTTTTGACCCAGGGATCCGGAACCTCCACAGGGGGAGGCAATAATGATCATTGGGTTATTTTACTCGTTCGGATTGCGATATTTGTACGTTGTACCCGCTGGAATCTTCCCGTCAAATGCCGGTGAGCTGAGCTGTATATATTGTCCACGGGTACTCCGTCCGTACTCCGTATTCCGCATACCTATCAATGCCTATATCAATAGTCGACGGTTCGGATTGAAATACGAGCTAATAAACTAAGTAAGGCTAGGTGCAGGGATCTGCCAATAATTCCAGTTGATAATGAAATCCGACAGGAAACATCTCCATCGCATAGCGATTAAGCTTCGCGGTACATCAACTGACATTGTACGATACCGTTGACAATTATTCATGGCTGAGACATTAAGGCTTTCTTTATCTTAGCTGAATACTAGCTCCGATCTATTACACGGACACGAAACCTTGAGCTGGGCTGAGACATTTCCTAACTTCAATACACTTGAACATGGAAAACCAAAGTTGAACTGCCAATCCCAAAATGATCAACATGTAACTATACAGCACACTTACCCCAACTCTCGGCAAAACTGCTACCCTAATAGGGCAATTCACATCGGCTATGGCCGCCAGCCGACCTCGGGAGAGGGGAAGATAGCAAGAAGATAAGATAGGCCTTGACGTGCTTTTGACGTGCTCTTTCTGGGCTATCGTGAATCCCTTCACGTCAATTTCGAAGACTTATAAATATTTTGATTCGGAAGTATTGAATCAACTTAGTCCGACCATGAAAACCCTCGCTCTCCTCGGCCTGGCTGCAGTGCCATCGCTAGCTCTCAATATCCCCACACAGCAGCATCTCTTCTCCGACAACGATCTGTCGGGTCATTATAACCTGCTATCAAGCCCATCTACACGGGAAACCTGTCCCCAGCCGCCCAAGGTCAGCCTCCCCGATGATGGCCTGCACTCGTCGCAGATCTTCCTCACCGATGATGCTTTCCGTGCTCGCCAGGCAAAGCGGCTCTCGCGCGCGGTGCAGATCCCAACCACTGTGGGTGATTATATGGAAGACCCATACGATGAGGCATTCGAGCCTGTAGTCAAGTTCCAAGCGCTGCTGGAGGAGCTGTTCCCTCTAGTGTAAGAAATTGACCAATTGTGACCCGCCATGAATGAGAACTAAACAAATCACAGACACGGCCGCGGCAAGGTTGAGCACATTAACCGGCTCGGTCTAGTCTTCACCTTTGAAGGTGCTGACACTTCACGCAAGCCGCTACTCTTCATGGCCCACCAGGACGTCGTCCCAATCGACGACCCATCAGACTGGACTCACCCGCCCTTCGAAGGTGTCTTTGATGGCGAATGGATCTGGGGCCGCGGCTCAAGCGACTGCAAAAACGTCCTTATCGGGTTATTGTCTGTAGTCGAAGACCTGCTCTCCCAGGACTGGAAACCAAAGCGCACGGTGCTGTTTGCCTTTGGGTATGACGAGGAATCACACGGCTTCCTAGGTGCCGGGGCAATCTCCGCAGCTCTGGAGAAAAAGTACGGCAAAGACTCTTTCGAATTTATCCTTGACGAGGGTGGAATGGGACTGCAGAGCCTGGGCGATGAGTCCGACGCCAACGGCGAGATCTTGTATGCTCTGCCTGCTGTCGGTGAGAAGGGCAGTCTCGACCTCATTATCAACATTGCCGTGCCTGGCGGCCACAGTTCGATCCCACCCGCGCACACCGGCATCGGCATCATGGCGGAGATTCTGTACGAGCTCGAGCGAAAGGAGCTGTTCCCCGCCTGGCTGGATACCGACCACCCGGCCTACGGGATGCTGGAGTGCCAAGCACGATACTCACCCGACCACGTTGAGCCCTGGCTATCCGAGAAACTGGCAGCACATGATCCTGCCGCTCTTGGCGAAGCTGTTGCCAGCTCCCGCGGTCCCGCAGTCCGGTACACAATGCAGACATCGCAGGCCGCAGACCTGATCCACGGCGGTGTCAAGACAAACGCGCTGCCGGAGAAGATCTCTGCGGTTGTCAACTACCGCGTGGCATTACACCAGACGCCCGATGAGCTGCGTGAGCGCGCTATCCGACTTATCGGCCCTATCGCCAAATCTCACAACCTTACTCTACATGTTGCCTTCCCCGGTGTGGCGGAGTCCACAGAAGGAGATGCGAGCGACCGTACTCTCAAGCTGTCCCCTCTGAGTGTTCCTCTTTCCCCGGCTCCGATCTCCCCAACAGATCCGCTCACATCGAAGGTGTGGGCGCACTTTGCCGGAGTGGCTCGTAGTGTTTTTGAGTCGCACCCGAACCCACTTGCCAAAACTGCGTCTGGTTCTAAGCCGACGGTTGTTGTTTCAGGAGATGTCATGACTGGGAATACTGACACGCGCTTCTACTGGTCTTTGTCGGAGAATATCTACCGCTGGAGTCCGTCGCGGGCTGGCGGAGCGCTGAATATTCATACTGTGGATGAGCGGATTCGCTTGGATGTGCATCTTGAAGGCATCATGCTTTACTACGGTATGTTATTTTTTCGTTCGTTGTTCCTTTTGGGAAACTTACTAATTTAAATTAGATCTGATTCGGTCTTTTGATGCCTGGGATGGAGAATCCGAGTGAACATGCTTGTCCATTCTCAGATACTTTGACACGTAGATATGAAAGTCTGGTATATACCTCACATTTTTGGTCTAGGGCTGGATATATCTCATTTCGAATTTAGCAAATAGAGCAAAATCAGTCCAATAGATCACTTGTTTTTTCACACCCTCTCAAAGGTGCCATGCAGCTCAAAACTTCATATTGGGCCAGTCACACCGAGTCAACGTAATTCAAGCATGAACAAGATGTAATTGAGGATGATTTGCACATTTTTGAAGGGACATAAACATATAGTGATAACTATTGAATGTTGATCACCTTATACTTCGGTGTATGGGATACCGCAGCACGTATTTGTTATATAATTGATATTTCCCAGTGTTAGAGCATCTGAACATATCTCCAGATGACTGGAGAGGGTGTAGAAGTCACAGATTCATGTATATCCATCAAATACTCAAATATAGTATGTGTATGCGAGGATTTCACAAAACTCGCACAACCCATGCCAAAAAGCAAGGCAATGGATGGGTATAAGCAAGAAAAAGACATTATCAAGTGTGGAGTCAACGAAGCGAACGGAAGGTATCTGGCACGTCTTCCACCACGACTGGTGGCAGCTATACTGGGCCAGGACTTGAAGCGAAAGTCTTTGCGAGAGAAGAAAAAGGCGACCGACGGGGAAAAGACCCGAAGGCATTATAAGTGAAATAAATCAACAAGAAGCGAAGGGGTCCGCTAGCGGACGAGGATAGGAGCGAAGGAACCACCGATAACGGGGCGAGCGATGAAAGTAATTCCGGGATAACTAGGTTTCATCAGCAAGGAGCATTACAGGCTTGAGAGCTGGTTGACTTACTCTCCCGAGATAGTGTCGTACAGATCAGTCAGGGCTCGGTTGGTCGGTGTCTCATTGATCCAGGTCGCGAGATCCTTAATGAACATAGACCGAGTATCGACTGAACTGACCGCTGCCGCGAAGCACTCCCAGTCACCTATCGAATTGTGAGTACTTTTCCAATATGGTGAGCCGTCAGGGTGTTTACCTTTTGTGTATGTGTGGCGGGTATCTAGAGGCACACCGTACTTATTTTCAACGGTCGGGTAGAAGTCGCTCTGCATCTGATAGACAGACTGTGGAACAAAGTCCAGGCCCAGCTGGGCATCAGCGAAGATATTGTAGAGCAGACCTGCAGAAATGGTAAGCAAGGCTTCATAGACTGGAAGGGCGCTGGAGCTTACCATGGCTAGCGGTGTCGCCGTACGACAAGGTGGTATGTGGTGGGTTAGCATCCTTGGCAATAGCCAGGTCCTGCCACTGAGTGATGTAGTCACTGGCGATGCTCGAGAAATTAGCAGCGTCGGCGGTGTGGCCAGTCTGGTTGGCAATGACTGCCATGGCCTGAATACCGATCATGCCCTTGATCGCGAGGTTGGTTTGGTTGCTAATTATGCCGGTTAGTTTTGGATTTCAGGAAGGGCAGGGCTTACTCACGCTAGAGAGCCAGCAAAGTCGTCCGTAGAGATCTGGTTCGCAGGATAAAGCGAGTCCTCGACCAAATAACTGGTCCACTGCTTGAGTAGAGTGTAGTGGTTATTCAAAAAGTCGGAGTCACCCGACTTCTGCGCATAAGCCAAAGACATGATGACCATATTCCCGCACTCTTCCAAAGGCATTTTCTCGTCGTTGCCATTGGGGTGGCCCGTGGCGTTCGGATAAGCCGAGCCTAGGTCGTGCATGGAATAATTGTTGGGATACTTTCCAGCCTCTTGGTTTTCAAACAGAGGAGTGAGCACGAGTTTCAGGAGTTCGGGGTTGGTGTACAGGAAAATCGGATAGGCTGGGAAGATAACATCCACAGTATTCATGTTGCCGTCGGAAGAGATTTCCTTCAGGAACAGATACTGTTTGTCTTGTGTACCACAAAGCTGGGTAGCAGCGAATGCCTGCCGAACCGCGAGCGAAGTTATAGTGAGGTAGTCCTGGCCGGCTGTTTCAATTGAATCCTGGGCCACCCTGCTATCGAAATGGCTTGCGAGATTGCTCGATTCCGCATGATCGTGGTGGAAGAACGAAAGTGCGGCCAACTCTGTATCGAAATAACTCTTCCACAAGGACGGTACTGGGGCATACTGCGAAGCGCCTTCGTACTGAATAGCTTGATCCTGTGTCAGACCTAGTGAGAAGAGCGTGCTAATGGGCGACGAATCGACCGAGCCCAGATCGTATGAGAACCCGAATACGGGCCAGGTGGAGGAGATAGCTCGGAAATTAGTGTCGACGCCATTGGTGAGTTTTCCATTGCTGGCAAACTGGCCCCGGACGTCGGTATCCGCACCAGACTGGTGGGTCATGTCTTTCGAGTCGTCGGTGGCCCAGTACCAGTTACCCCATTCGCCCTGCTCATTGTTTTCGGAAAAGGCCAATTGAGTCTGTCGGTGTACCTTGTGGTAGGCCACACCGTCAGTGGTCCCATACTCCCATTCTGCAATGGCATTCCGGTCACCCGATACCCATTCTGACATGTCGTCAGCCCCCGCATGTAAGAAAAGAGACCAGCGCACTAACCTGCAGAGATGTCCGCGTAGACCTGTACATCATGCGCCTGGCCATCAAGAGAAGAGACCTCGACATTAAGATACGAGAAAACGAGGGACTGGCGCTTGAAGTCGGTGGGTGTAACAGGCGACAAAAAAGTAATGTTCATTTCAAGCTTATTCTCCACGTTCATAGTGAAGATACTTTTAGTCGAAGTATACTCAAACGCTGTCTGATTGACGGTTTTCGACCCAGGAAGGCCCATCCAAGTATAGGTATTGCCATCGACGCGGATCATACCTGTCCACCCGGTGACCTGATTCCTGTATATCATTAGTATAAAATTCACATATAGTCAAAAGGAACTTACTGCCAAAATACAGGCCATTGACCAGCCAAGTACCCACCATTACCACCATCACTCCCTACATCAAGCCAAGTGCTGAGGTACGGTGACCTAACAGCGAGAGGTATAGCCGGGGGACGAGCAGGGGAGAAGGTCGACTGTGCTCCAATAGAGGACACAAAGGAAGCAACCAGCAGACTGAGGCGGTACAGCTGCATGATGACAGAGCTTGACGGAAGATGGGATACACAAAGTCCAAACAAGGGCAAGATTGCTCTGTTATTTATTTGCAGGAAAGGGAAATGAGCTCTAGGGAGCTTGACTGCATAGCACTCTGGTGGGGCCGAAGAAAGGGATCGGCTTATGTTTACTGAAGAGGAATGCCAGTGACATTTTTATAGTCAACCTCAACCCACGAAGAGAGGGGGAAAGCCAAAGGCCCGTCCGAGACCCGCATGCCAGAATGCGCTCTCTACGGAGGAATATCAAAGCGGCTTGGTATATTTGTTTCAATAAATACGAAGTGCTCTAATCTGCTGACCTCCCTCAAGGCCCGAGTGGAAGAAGATTCATGCTAAAGGTACAAAGTGACGTTAGGGGGATCAGGACAGGGGTATTCAAGTGGAGTGGCTGTGGAATGGTGGTGGAAATGGCTCAATTCAAAGTCAAATCCAAAAACGCGGTCTACATCTTCCGGAAGTAACGGCATACCTTCACGTCGCATGGAAGACAAGCAGCGGTCTATGCGGATCGACAAAGCGATGGCCCAGTAAACAGGCGCATCGGAGTAATCCCGACTTCTAGTTCGGTGCGCGCCTTGCAGGTGACAGACTACATAGCGGTATGGTGGCGCAAATAAAGGTGTAGAAGAAGACTGTGGTGAGAAAAAGGAATGCAGCTGCGAAAGAAACGGAGGTTTGAGGGCATCGCCGATAGGCCTAGGACAAATAATGAGGCACGAGTCAAGCGAATTGCCAAGTTGATGTCCTTCGTGATAGTATCATGCGGACAGATCGTCGGCTTTACTTCATGCATGTAATATCCGATAAATCTGCGGGGAAATGGCGATCAGCAGCGTGGCATTCAGCCCATGAGAGAACAGAATGAAGATATTTGAATAGCCACGGTAACTGAAGGACGGAAGAATTCGGGAAGCTGCAGAGAATAATCATGGCTTTTGGTCTCAAATCATATGGGTTCCCCTTGCAGAGTCTGCGTGTCTCTGCGTGTCAGCTTTGGCAGCGGCAGTCCGATCGGAGACAAAACGACTTCAAATTTCTATCAGACCTAGACTCTTGTGTTGCATGAACCGTGTATGAATACAGAGTACATGGTCCGAGGTCGCGTGCGCGAGGTAGTACAATGCATCTAGTTTGAAGCTCACGATCCACTTCCTATTGAACCTCCTTGCTGCATATGTCGGCATATTCGGTTGCCGACATACATTTTCCAAGACAAGAACATAAACCTTACAATTCAATAGAACTACGCATTCGGTGGTCTCCGGATATTATCTTCCTTTTTGTCCTCCGGTGAAATACTTCGTGTATCAGATTCTAGCCTACGACCGGCCTTGCTACTGTGCCATCGCTCGAAGGGTTTTATTACACCCCGTGATCTTGCATTGATGATTATTTACGTAAGAACAACAGATTGGGATCGTGCTCCGCAAGTCCAAGGGCTTCTAGGCAAAAGGCACCGGAGTAATGGTCTATTGTAAGCGAACTCTCGGGTTTGTTGTGGCATGTGGAGTTCCCCCTATAGGGTTTGATACTCCTGCCGATCAAGAATCCACCACCCCACTAAATTGCTTGTATAGCATATAGCACGTCTATTTAATATGCTTCTGTACAAGAGAAATTTACTAGGAAACATATATGAGATGGGCGATGAGCATTATCCTACACAGTTGCACATTGGTTGATTACCTCTTCTTGGTCACCCAGATTGTATAACTACCTAACTACGTACATCGGGTTGTGAGGCCCTTTATTTTGCTATATCTTAGTAGTTTACCCTGGAGCTAGCCTTCCAGCTCTTTGCACGCCCATCTAGCCTCTCTGAGATTCTAGCCAGAGAAAAGAGAAGTCAGATGGCTGTGCAAAGAATTGGAAGGCTACCTCCAGGGTAAACTGTTAATATTACAGCAAAATAAAGGGCTTTATAACCTGATGTACGGATACAATCTGGGTCACTAAGAAGAAGAAGAGAATAGATGGAAGATGATGATCTAGCCAGTGCCATGAAATGTGGACAAAGAAACAAAGATCTCTTCCTCTAGAATCTAGGAGAAGCATCTTCTGCAAGATGAGCAAAGGAAATATGCAAGGAGAGTAAGAGACTGCCAAAGAGAGGTTTGCAGAACTGCATAGGAAAGAGCGAGCATCAGACAAAAATGACTCTGCAATGGGAACCGTTTCGAGGCCTGTTTTTACAATAACAGCATGGAGAACTACACTTAGTATAGCCTTTTTCCATGCTATAGTTACTTCAAGACACTCGCATTATTACTAATCATATTCATCGGGAAGCCCTACCTAAGAAGCAGCTACACGCAATGCACGTTAGATATCAGGAGACAATCAAAAGTAAATATACAAAACCAAAGCCAAGGATATAGAGAGCATACACGCAACAACCAAGCAACCAGGTACAAAGTAAAAAAAACACACGCCTTCAGCAGGATCCGAAAAGCACAATCAAGCATTCCGCGCCAACTCAATACAAAACTCCCCCCAATCCTGGCCCCCATTCAGCGGCAGAATCTCCTCGGCAATAGCCTCCTCCAGACGCTCATGGTATCGGCGCCTGTACTCATTCTTCACGAGGTCGAGATGTCTAGGCTCCCAATGCAGCCGCACGAGACGGGAAATGAGGAGCTCTGAGCGCTCGCGGCCGGTCCGGGATTCGCGCAGGGCCTGGTGGAGGAGGAGGGCGTCGCGCATTGGTCTGTTGATTGCGCCGTTGAGGATGTGGGCTAGGGTTTCGCCCTGGTATTTGTTAGTAAGGATTCGATTTCAGTATTGACTGGAGGGGCAAGATATTAATTAAGTACATACCACCAGATTCCGCGACTTCGCAATCATAGCCTTCGCAAAATTATGCCGGTAGATATCCTCGTACGAGCGCAGCACCTCGCGCAGATGCGAATCACTCCTCAAAACAATAATATGAATCATAGCAGTCTCGCCGCCCTCGCGGACAATCGCGCGATGCAAATCCTGCACGTCGGCGCGCACGAGCCGTCTATCCAGTGGGTCGCGATCATCCTGGCGCTGGCCCTCGAGCGCGAGCAAAATCGCCATGCGGAACTTGTCCGCGCGCAGCTCGGAGCGCATGCAGCGCTCGAGACTGTTGTCGTAGCGGCTGTCGCGGAAGGAGTGTTTGATTTCGCGGATTGCGGCGTTCGTCCGGCCCATCAGGGACTCGATTAGGAGTTCGCGGCGGGATGTCCCGGCTTGGTAGTAGCAGTTCGCCCAGTAGGCTTCTGATTCCCAGCGGCCGAGGGCGGTCGCGTAGCAGACTTTGCCGAAGGAGGAACTGCCGAGTTTGAGGCGGAGGTGTTTGGCGATGTTGATTCCTTTTCCTTGGAGGCGGACGCGGTTTTTGTATTCGTGGCGCAGGAGGATGATTTCGTCGCTTGTTAGCCGGGGCAGGATCTGGATCATGGGTCTACTGTCGATGTTGCGTGTGTGGCTGAGGGCGGCTTGCAGGGCGGCGGCATCGGGGCCGGCGTCGTAGAAGGAGACGCGTTTCCGGCCTGTCGTTGGGGAGACGAGGACTCTTGCGTCGGAGCTGCGGGTGGAGGAGCCTGAGTCGTGGCGGCCGTGGCTGATTTTTGGGTGGGTGAGGCGTTTGTCGTCCTTGCGGTTGTCGCGCGAGGAGCTGCGCTCTTTGTCTTTATCTTTGTTGCCGCGGGAGCGGGAATCTTTCTCGCTGACACGGACAGACGAGCGCGAGCGAATGTGTTTGCTGCGTCGGCTTGAGTCTGACGCTGAGTTTCCGTCGAGTGGTTCAAGGTCTGAGATTTCATCGTCGCGGATGGAGGGGATGATGATCGCGGATGGCATCGGTGAGATGGACTGGTAGGTTCCATGATACGGCTCCAGCAGCGGACTACCCGGGGGATGAGCCGAATTAGGAGCACTGGCTCTTCCAACAGCGAGATTATTCGACGAGGACACAGAGCTGCTGTGTGGACGAGCACTCGACCGACTCCTGGGCGCGATCTCCACAAACTGAGGCTCGGGCTCCTGTTTATTCCGAGACGGCTGCTCTGGCGGTTGCTGCGACTGTCCCTGTGACTGCGGCTGCGCCTGCGATTGATACGGATACAAATTCTGCGACGACTGCGGAATCGGCCTAGAAAACTGCTCATGGGTAGCAGCCGGGTATATAGGCCTAGGCGCGGGCGGCGCGGGCGGCGGCACAGGCACCGTCTTCGAAGAATACTTCACATTAGGATCAAGCTGCGCATACTGGTACACGCCCGGATTCGCATACCCCACAGCAGGCTGCGAATAACCAGTCTCACTCGAGGGAGTACGGTAATGCGAAGGCGCATAAGCCGCACTCGTCGGCGCATACGGAGCCTGCTGGGCCGGTAAACTAGTATACTGCAGCGACGTAGCTCCCGAGCCAGCGGGGTAGTTTGACGCTGCAGGGAACGCGCCGGGCATAGTAGTAGCCGGGCCAGGCTGCGAGGAGGGCGGCACAAACCCAGGGCGTTCGCATTCTGGCACTGAGGCCCAGTCTACTGGTGCGGTAGCGTAGGTTGGTTGTCGCGGCGCGGACGCGGAGGCAAACTGCGTGGGCTGGGCATAGCTGTATGGATTCCGGCGCGCGTAGCTGGGATGGTTGCCTGGCGCATCGCCGTAGGCTAGATCATCTGCTGAGTCGGAGTCGTGGTGATTCGGATTCGGATTCACATCCAAACGACTGTCGCGGGCTGGCGACGGGGGTTGACGATGCGACAGTGACGAAGCGGCGGCAGAACCGCGCTCCTCGTCTGAGTGTTGGTAGCGGTCATCGCGAGGGTCCACGTCGTAGCGGGCGCTTCTTGGGGCGTGCGAGCTGCCGGCGCGCGACTCATCTGGGTTCTCGCGACGGCGCGAGCTGATAAGCTTGTATTGGCGCTCTATTTCGGCTTCTTCGTCGGGGCTGTAGGTCTTTGCTCTGGGGATTTCGACGGCTGGTGAGCGCGACCGGCGAGAGGGGGAGGGAGAGGGAGAGGGGATTCGGTTGTCGCGCGACCGCGATCGCGACCGTGAGGGCTCGCGGGCGGGAGATTTGGATCGGGTTTGCGACCGTGGGTCGTTCACTTGGAGGGACATGTTTGGTGTGGGGTTTTGATCTTGGTATGCAATGTGTGTTCAACGGGTTTATTTATTTTCTTTTTCTGCGAGGTCTTCAGTCGCATAAAGAAGGGTTGGACTGGAGGGTTTCTTTGTGTGAGGTTCACTAGGCCATTCTATAATTATAGATATGAAGCCTCTTTGTTCAGGTGAATTGGAAAGAAAAGAAAGGAAAGGAAAGATAAAGCGAGGTTTAATAGCCGCTGGCATTCGACGGCGCCAACTTACCTCGAGCTAATCTGTGACACTTCACCCTCATGTAGCAAGTATTAGCGGCTCTTATTGGCTTACAGCTGGACTGAAGATCGTCGTGACCAGCGCTTCAGCCGCAGACATCTGACCAATGCGCATGTCAGATTGCAAAAGAGGAGGTCATTCATGGAAGGTTACTGTAGAATTACGGAGAATTCAAGATAAACTATCAAATTACCGTGCAAACAATACATGAAAAGCACTAGTACAGGTTTCGGATTTCGAACCGTTTTGTCAGAAGAGAAAGGAAAGCAAAGGTATGACATAAAAGAAGCCCTGCGAGGTGCCAGGCCGCGAAGAATGGGGGTATGTGCAGAAGAGAAAGCTATGGGAACAGAAGAAAGGGGAGCCGTTTATCGCTTGCGACGGCCATCGTAGGGTCCCTGACGACCACCGTAGTTTTGCTTCTGGGACTGCGTCGTCTGTCCGTTGCGGTTGAGACGGTTGGTTCTCCAGCGCTCATACCAGACCACGCGACTGGCCTCCCGCAGCTCGGAGCGCCAATCGGAAAAGACGGAGTCCTTCAAGCGGACAAAGTCACAGTGCTCGGCATCATATGGATCTGCGAAACCCCAGGGGAATCGGCGACCGACGGGTTTGTCGCCAGCTGCCAGCGAGTGGGGATCCGGCGACAGAATCGAGAAGGGAACGTGCTGGTTGGTGGCCTGCGACGCGTTGGACCGGCGAGTGCTCTGGCTGCGCTGCGACGGCGAGCCGGGGACATTTTCGGCTGCGGTCTCAGACTCCTTGGCTTCGCTGGCTCCATTCTCAGTCTCGGTTTTGGTCTCAGGCTCTTCTTCATCCGCACTTTCCGACGACGAGTATTCATCTTCCTGGTCCTCCAATGTCAAGATCTCAAGGGGGTCGATATTGGCCTGCTTCAAGCTGTTCCAGACCGCCTTGCGGAGATAGCTCATGTGGGCGGAGGTAATCGTATCCGCCTTGCTGATCACCGGCACCACAGTGGTCTTGCCCAACACGGTGCGCAACACCTGGATATCCAATTTCTTGTCCAGAATCCCAATGACAGGCGCATCGGTGGGCTTGGACGTGCCATTGGCAGCACGCTCCGCCATGGCGATGTTCTCATCAAGACGCACAGGATCCAGAAGTAGGAAAGTGCAGTGAATGTGGGTATCACGAATACCGGGAGACCGGACAACCTTCATCTCCTCGGCGAGGGTCTCCTCAAACTTGCTTTCCAGGAAGCCTGTCACGCCGCGCAGCTGAAGATCTGCGATGTTCCGCTCCAGGCCTACAGAGTCCCACAGGGTAAGTCCGACACGTTCTCCGTCGAACTCCGTTTCCAGGTATTGCGACGTGAATCCTTCCCAGGCTGAGGTTTGCCGCTCAAGCTCTTCGACCTCCTCAGGAGTGCGTGAGGGGTGCTTGTGTGCGGGCATGGTCAGGGCACTGCGGAGGAAGTTGAGGAATGAGGTTTTCCCCGAGTTACGAGCGCCGATGACAAGCACACTATACAGGTTCCATTATTAGCTGGTCTGGTTATTGATGTCTCTTCGCGACTCACTTGTATGGGGTAGGGTCCTTGCGACGGCGCACACGACGGGGGCTGTTGACGGTGCTGACAGCACTGCTAGCATAGCTGTACCGACCACGGTGGGTCATGCTCTCAGAGCGCGCATAGGGATCCACGGTGTTTGTTGGCGCAGCCATAGATGGCGCGGGGGCTTCAGGCTGGCGTGTTCGGGCTGCGACCTTATCGCGTTCCTCACCTCCAAAAGTTTCCAGTTGCGGGGCGGGGGAAAGATCAGGCAAGCGGGGAGGGACCTTAGGGGCATAAGACTCGCGCTGACGACGCATCTCATCTTCCATGGCTTGGGTTTTAGACATCTTCTTGCGAGCTTTGTCGCCTAGGGGTTCGGTGGATTTAGAACGACGAAGGAAGCCGAGGGAGGTGCGACGGTTGATGTCTGTTTCAGGTCCCAGGCGCGTGGAGGTTGCCATTTTGGGATGGGCGTTTGTCTGTTCTTTCCTGATTAGGTTGTTTTTCTTTTCTTTTCCTTTCTCTTATTATTTGCTCTTATTACCAGGCAGTCCTGAAGGTATCTCTATCGGGGGATCTCGATATCGCATAACCCACCACCTGATGTCAGGGGGAACCTCGGGAACTGCCACTCACCAATAGAATTAGATATATCGGAGTCCAACAGCGCTTATAGTGCAGGTCAGATCCGATGGCGCGATTTGAAACTGCTCTGAAACAGAATCAGACGGAATCAATCCACCTGGTCTGCGGATGTATCGGGTTTCTCAAAAACGAAGGTATCTGCAACAGAGAAAGGAAAGGGAATAAGCGAGAGTGGAATCAACACAATACAGGTGCCCAACCAGTGGGTGAAGGAGGGGATTGAAATTCGGCCCTGAACAGAGTTCGAACTTCAAGCTCTTTTTTTGGGGATGTTTTTTTTCTTTTGGGGAATTGTAAATAAGCCTGCTCACAGCATCCAGCAACAGCGGCGCTTGGAGTAATGTTTGAAAAGGGGAGGAGAGAAGAGAAATTCAATTCACACTAATTCTATCGGGAAGATCGAGATGATATTGACCATCCGACGTTCAGACATTCAGCATTCAGGGGTAAAAAAGACCATCCAGAGCTGTTCCCCACTTGGGAGCTTTGGTCTCTCTTTGTTGGTTGGAGAGCTAAAGACGGGATGTATGGGTTCACTTGTACGAGTCGGAGTATGGAGTACAACATACATACAGTTTAAGCAGGTTATCTCCTGACTGAAAGCACGTTCTTGTGGAATACAACGTGGGCCTTTAGTCTCCACTTGGATATTCCACTAAAGATATACATCTAGACAGTTGATGTGTTGTGTTGGATGTATCGGATATTACGGAGTCAACGTGTTTGTCTGGTTTGCACTCGTCGATTATTCCCCAGTTCGGTCCAACCGCTGCTGAAACTGGACATTGTCCGGAGCATCGCACCAAAGCTAACCCGTCTGTCTCTAGGCCAAAAGTATCGGCTCATCTCTGCTGGAAAAGCCGAGAACGAACACCTAATCAAACTAACCGCCAAACTACGGATTAGTGCGCCAACTAATAACCATAACCTAGCATCTGCAATACGAGCTAGGTCAAATTCTGAAACATGCAATTTGGGATATCAGCCCAACCACGTGACATCCTGCATGTTGTGACGGGTGGGGCCACCGCTGGACAATAATGACCTTCGTTGAGGCAGTTCATCAAAGTCTTTGTATATTGTATATACGGAGTGATACAGTTGGAACTGTGTTGTTCCCTCACTGCAGCATATATACAGAGTACTCCCTCCTCCTACCCTCAAAACTCGCATTCCCCTCGAGAAATAACGGAGTGGAGCAAAAGTGGGGTGGATTTCCATTGCGTGCAGGAACTTTCTTTTTGAGAAGAACGGTAAAAGGACGCGACGGAGTAAAGGGGGAGTCGAATTAAAATTCCCTTCGATGCTGGAACTGCGAACTACCTCTGCTCTTATCTGATTGTTGTTCGTGAGGGAAGCCAGCTCAAACCAAGTCGAGGCGTCGCATTTAATATTTACTGATATCACCAGGAGCAACAAGCTCTAAATCCGAGCGTCTTTCCACTCTTATCAATATACCGAACCTATTCTCATATCTTATCACTATTGCAATATCCACAGCCCACCTCTAAGGCTCCAACCCCAACTTTAAGCCGCATCCACGGAGAAAGTCCTGAACGGAAGCACAAAGCACGGCTTGGAAGGACACACCAGCTGTCTATCCAAGCTCTTGAACCTAGGACCATTAGGACCAGCCACATTCTTGGCCTCACCGAAGAGCGTAGGCTCATTAGGCGGCTGGTCGTCACCCCATCTCCCATTGAACTCCAACCACGCCACGGGATCTTTAGAGTCCACCGCCTGGAACGCAGCTGTTGTTCCATCATAGGTATAAGTGTATACATTGAGCATGGGATCCCACAGCACGCCGCGGTCCGTATAGTCCAACAGAAACCCTGCAGGCAGGTTGAAGCCCGGGAAGGTGTGGTCGTGTTTTCTGTGTGTATCAGTCTTGCCATCCGCCAGACTACAGAAACTTATCTAGACTTACCCTGGAATTGCATAGTTTGCATGCGTACCGACTGCAGAGTACACATACGGCCGCTTGTCCTTCTTTTCAACGGCGGCGTAGCTGAACGCCTGGCCGCTAGCATGCTGACTGTACCATATTGCGTCGGGTGTGCCGTTGACGAAGCGGATCATGTTATGTTCCCTTTATTGTCAGCTAGAACGACTCTACCCAGGCAATTCTTCACACTAACCAGTCTCCGATGTGGTCGCCAAATTCCAGGCCTAGGACTTTGCCGCCTTTGTTGAATCTGGATCGATCAGTATAAATGTAGACTTAACTTAGGTACAGTCGAGCTTACGCATAGAAGTAGAAGTAGAACGCATCAACGGTTCCGTTGCCACGGTCTGCGATGATAAGGACACTCGATGTACCATCAACTGTTCGTCCCTGGGCGTCCGGTCTGATCCCTCGGAACCAGGCTGGCTCTGGGTTGGCTTCGATGCCCTCTAGAGATGTTAGGTAGACGCTCGTATTACCCATCGAATTGAGCGTGTCGAGGTTGTTAAGGGTCAAGGGTGATTCCACTCCCTCGATGGCCCTCCAGTTGACATTGGGTCTGGTGTGATCGAGCTGCTGTTGGATATCGCTCGGCATGTATGTTTCCTGGCTATGGAGCCAGATCAAGGGTGCTGTAGGGCAGAATAAGTAAACTCAGATCATCATCAATACCATGTATCGCATGGTTTGTTTACCATATTCTAAGACATATGGCGGGACATCAGTAGCCCTGTCGCCGAGGGATGCCCAGGCCGGTTTGGTTGAAGATAGACCGACTACCGCCAACGATATGAAAAGACGCATCTTGTGTGGCTTGTCCTCGAGTACTGGAGAGCGACAAGCGCCCTTTTAATCTCTATGAGGACAATCATACCTTGCACTTACAGCGATGTTTAACCCAAATGTTTATCGGCATGACCTCGTCATGGGCATGGGATTCGAGGATATACTACGGGGCGAGAAGCAGATACGAAATTCGAAGTAATAGAATTTCATAATCACAAGGTCTTCTGCTATTCCAGCGATGCTATTGATTCCTCGAAGTGTATGCGTCTCCTTGACGGGGATCATGCCAGTGTTCCGAGCAGCGGATCGGAGTTTCAATCTCAGACACAAGAAAGTGAGGCCGTGGACAATCCCAAGGTGTACTCAGGTGGTATCTCTCCTGCAATAGAGTGTGATTGTTGAAAAGTTCTTTGTTTACCTCCTTTATCCTCCGGCATAAAGTATGCAATATGCAACCCTCAGGAATGTGAGCCTTATATCAGGTGCCTCGTGGGTGCAGTACAAGAGTCACAATATGTCTTTTAGTGCCCAGGTGGTCATAATAATAGTGCGATCTGCATCAGATCCCATGGCTGAATATCATTGCTCTAAATTAATGATGTCACCTGCCCATGAAGCTATCACGACGAATGTTCGGGCTTGTATCGAATCAGGTTGAGTTACTTGTAATTATATGCATCTGTATAAAATGGTGAGTCCCACCAATAAAATCGCCTACCTGTACCAGCCGTTGTACCTATCTTTTGTTTTACTCTTCATAATATCAGTTACCGTATTCAGCATTCTCCATCGAAACCATGTATAGTACCAACATGTCGGCCACGATGAGATCTAGTCGCTCTTCATTATCACATGTTGATCCCATGACCAAAATTAATAGTACATACTATATATTGAGCTGGACTTTCCTCTATATATAATTTTCATTTGTGCATTTGTACTTTCTTAACCGAATTCATGAATCCAGCCTCTCCTGCTTCAACTAGTCCTTCCTCAGCCTAAAAACCCTCAAATCCAACGGAATCCGATCCCCAAGCCAAGTGGCACGTTGGGTGTGATTTCGCTCATCTTCCGACGCCACAGTATTAGGGTGAACGAGAGCACTAAGCGGACCCCGGTTAATAACCAGCCAAGGAACGAAGGCTCCAAACTGCGCAGGTGTGAACAGATTCACTTCGAACATTGCCACCGGATGCGGGCCAATCGGCCGGTCGAAGAATCTATAAATGCGAAGTTCGGGGACTGTTTACGAAGCATAAGCAAGAGATCAATTGAGATGAGCAACCCGACCCCGACCCCGCGGTAGACGGCCAGACCTGCAGTTCCGTTCCTGGGCTGGAAGAGTGCGCTGCTTACATTCTCGTCTAATTCGTTCCCAGAGCGCTTTGGCGAATGCGGCTTGGTCGGGGCTGTTCTGGTCGATGCGTCAGTTTCATTGTCGCTTGGCTTTGGGGCCCGGCGGCGGCACCTGCACTTACTTGGAAATGATAGATGTGGACGTCGAAGCCACCTTCCCGGCCTTTGGAGAGAGGGTCGGGGAATTCCGAGTAGGCTTTGCTTAATATGCCATGTTGGGGATTTTTCATTGACTTGCCGTCTTCGGCGCGCTCGCTGCGGTAGATGATAAGTGTCTTGGATTAGATGTGGTTGCGGGACACTTACTCGGATAGCGGCTCGAGGTTTTCGTACCCCGCCAATGGAGATGGGTATGAGAAAGCGAATGCGTCTGTCATTGTGAGTAGATTGGGATTATTGAAGAAGATGAGAGGAGAGCAGTGGGTATGTAAAGATATTGGTGTAAGTCTCCGTGCAGGTAGTTATATGGCGTATTGACTTGAGTTGATCAGCGGTTGCAAATCAATGCAAAGATGTCTAGTAAGCATTCAATCTTAGATCAAAAATGTCGTCAGTTAGACTTGGAGTATCATCATCTGTCAAGTCTGCGGGTGACTTTCCGCACTCTGACAAAGCCGCGGAACGGACCTCGGTGGTCAGGATGGTCGAGGTCAACTACGATGTACATCGATGTACGATGAATAATAAATGAAATACAATTTTAAGTGAGTATACAAGATAGCAAGTACTAACTATTGGTTTTCTGTCAAACAGAGTGCTTGTTTAGAAACAATATTGGCTTAATCAATACACTTGGGAGATTTTACGCCGTTCTCTCCACAAATATATTTCAGGGCTATGATTATAGAAACAACGACTTATTGAAAGAATGTGATATTGAAAATGTAGCTATTTCGTATAGCATAGACAAGACTGCACAAAATATGAATGAAATCCAGACTAAAAAATGAAAGTTACAATATACACCTTGGTATCACCCATAGCACAATCCTCAAACGCCGATCATCAAAACATCCAGTAAGAAAGACTACCAAGCAGCCCGAATGTCAATATGGCCATCGCCATCCACGAATTTGCCGCGATCCCATTCCCGTCCTTCACCTTTCTTCGACCACTGTACATCCTCTGGTTTGCTTTCTCCGTCCACACCCGCAAAAGCAGTGTTGTTCTTCCATTTATCAATGACGGCCTCGTCGATTCCTGCTGTACGTAGCCTCTCCTCGCCCTTACTCCTCCAGCGCTCACGATCGCGCAACGCCTCCATTGCCATGTCCCAGTCGTCATCTTTTGTCATAAGCCCCGCGACAGGACGACGAGATGATTCCTGGCCCATGGAGTCTAATCTGTTTTCATCTAGATGCACATCGGTAGCCGGGTCGTAGCCGGGTGCAAAGTGAGCATCGATATTGCTCATACTGTGTTTATAGACACCTCGCCCGCGCGAGCGGATAGGTGGCTCGTTTTGTCGAGGAGGGAGTGGTCCCACAAGGTCTTCTAGGGGATCGGATTCGTTGCCCAACTCATTTTGGCGTGCAGTTAAAGTAGCCAACGGCGACAACGGCGACAGCCGTCTATGCCGCGTGCTGGGTTCAAGGCGAGAACGGCGGGAGCCATGTGGCGATGCATCTTCCCGCTTTGGTCGTCGAGATTTGTACGACTCTGGTGAGCGGGAACGGGAAATGGACCGAGCAGAATGTCCAGATTGACGTTTTTGTCTTCGATGGCGATGACGGTCGGTACTTCGGTCCCTGCGCGGAGAACGACTTGGAGACCTCGAGTATGACCGCTCACGTCGCCGCCTGGTGTGTTCCTTATCTCCGTCCCGTTGATCTCTCATAGATTCGTGATCCCTGTGGTCACGCCGATGTCTATCGCGGGATTTGTCTTTCTCTCCACTCCCATCATACTCTTCGTTTGCCCGTCGATGCCTCCGCGACCGGTCTCGTTCCGCCGATGGGGAGCGACTTCGAGTTCTTTTCCGATGTGACCGATTGCGATCTTCCCGATCTCCCCTCCGGTGGTCTCTTGATCCTCGAACTTTACTTCGATCATCAGATCGGTCTGTCGAAGTGGGGACCAAGGCACCTGAAGCACCCGATGCCTGATATTTCAGCTGGCGCATACGCTGTCGTGCTTCTCTTTCTTCTTTGAGCTTGAGAGCTGTGTTATGACTGTCTGTTACTTTGATGAGATTTCGTAGGAAGCGGGTATTGGGTTTTGGGGCATTGCTTGTCGGCCTGCAGGTGCTTGTCAGTTTCATAATCATGCAAACCGCAGATTATGAGAGAAACCAACCTTGAAGGCATAAAAGCGCTCATTCCTTGAGACGCATACTTGATAGAACTCTCCTTAGCCTCCTTGGCCAGGATCTGCGCAACATACTCGTCGTCCATGATCCAGATGAGCCACAGATCGTAGGACTCTGAGGGTGTAAAGGAGTGCACCGAGGAAAGTGAGGAATTCAAAGAAGAGCAAGTATATATGCTAGGCCATATTAAAATTGAACAAAGACCGAATCCTCTTTAGTTGAAAGAAAACCAAACGAGGCGAAGACTCAAGGCGAAAGCGCCTTCCTAAAGTCGTCTGACCGCCTTTGATAAGGCTGTTTACTGTCCCGCAAATGTTATGCCCGCAGTGGACTCGGCCCCTCTAAGCTCTCTACATTCGCAAATCTCGTCGGCTTCTCTTGTCAGAGGCAGATTTTCGATGATAAAGCCCTACAATATGACAAACTCATCAACTGAAGCGCTTGCAGCCCTTCAGCAGCTGGAGGAGAATGGCAATTTGAAGGACCGACTCGCGATTATTCGCATCAGCGAGCCAATTTCCACCGAAGTTGGGGGGTCTTACCCATCTCCTTCAAAAAGAACCTCTGATGTTTCCGTGTCAAATTTCGACGATCCTACTCCTGCCTCATTGGAGGCTGATCTTGCACATTACAAGGTCCGCGATGAGCCCGAATGCCCGCTATCCAGACCAGCAAATACTGATGTTCGCATAGGAACTATTCTCCAAACTGCGATTCTCCTATCTCGAGCAAGTAACGAAAGAAAAATTCTTGCGCGCCATTGTTGGCGACCCGCCTATGGTTGTCGGACACAATGAGAACATGGAACTGGAGACGCAACTAGCGGACGTGAAAGCCCAGCTCAAGGCCCAAAAAGAAGACGCACGGATTATGATTGAGGAAATGGAGCTGATGGGCCGTGATTTGGCAAGCCGTGAGTAGTCAATCACCGTGGAATTTCAACATGTTGACTGAAGCGTCCGCGGCTATGACAGGTTACAAAAATGTCGAACTTCAAACTACGCAGCTCTCAACCCTGCCTGCTTCAATCGAGAATCTCGAGTCCACCATCGCCGAGCTGCGTGCAAAGCAGATAGCCACCATGGATCCTTCCGATACGAATACTTCCTCCTCGCAGAACCTTCCTCTTCCCGCGACCTTGGCACTGTTAGCAGAACGCGAAGCGGAACTGGCAGCATTGAACCGCCAGCTAGCCGCTGTACATAACACATTGCCTCGGAAGACTCGAGAGGCCGAGGCTGTAGAGAGAGAGTGCAGCGTGCTCGAGCGACGGAAGTCAGATGCGATCGCGCAAGCCCGTGAAGCCCAACGCAAGAAGCAACAGGGCGAAAGTGATGGACTCGAAGAGATGGGACGTTGGTACAGGGGGGCAGAAGAGACCTTGAAAGAATTGGTAGGGACCCAGGCATGATAACCTGCAGGCCAAGCCTAGGCTTGTGTACGATGACATGAGGGACGAACGATTGAACTTATATTAGGTGGGGACTGGCGTTTAAGATCTACTATGCATATATGGGTCCGTGGATATTATAATTCCAGGTTAAGAAAGTATGGTAATGGTATCATTAAATCGGGTTCCAAATTGAAGCCTTGCGGCTGTTTTAGATTCATTGTATTGCATGATCGTAGAACATGAGACGCTATGCAGTCATTTTGAACCTCCATGGTATGAAGGCGCCCCAAGCGAAACCCGACCGTACTCCATTTTTTGGGGAATATTGGGAATAATTTATTCCTCCTCCTCCTCCTCGGCGTCCTCACCACCAGCGGCAGCGGCGGCCTTCTTGCGGCGAACACGGCCGGGACGGCCACCACCGAAGGGCGAGGTGAGGGAGAAGTCGATGTGCTTCTGGGAGTCGAGACGGACCATGAACGAGGGAACGTTGACGATCTGCTTGCCGACGCGGATGTGACGCTGCTTGATCAGGACACGGGCGTGGTGGATGGACTTGGCGAGGCCGAGCTTGTAGACGCAGGTCTGGAGACGGCGCTCGAGGAAATCGTCGGCCTTGAGAGCCAGGACGTAATCGAGCTTCATGCGGGCCTCATCGAGCACACCGATGCGGACAAGACGGCGAATGAGGGCATTGCCTTCGAAGAGACGCTTGGGGTCCTTCTCGTCGAGAGTAAGGAGCTCACTGTGGGGAAGATGAAAAATTAGCGCTATGTCCACCAAATTCGATTTGCCTAGGCCCGATCGCTCGAAACCTCGCAAAATCGCAGATTGTTCCTTGCACATACCGAGCAGCACGACGGATCTTGGAGAGGGTGAGCTGGACACGCCACACCTCGCGCTTGTTGCGCAGGCCGTACTCGCCGACAGTCTTGAGTTCAGCATCACTAGTAAAAAATGTTAGGAATATGAACACGACATAACCAGAAGCACGCTTCTGGTTAGTGGCCGGAGAGTACTAACAGACGAGCCGACTCGAAGGCTATGATGGAGTTAGCATTTAGATATTCAAATCGATCATGTTGCTGGGACTTCACTTACGACGACGGGGGACCTTGTAGGTCTTGGAGGAAACGCGACTGCACAGAAATCGATTAGAACGGTGTGATGCCTTCAATTTCGTTGATATACTCACGGGGCCATGGCTGCGGTTAGATGGGCGGAGGTTGTCGACAGGAGGTCGAAGGATCAAATGAATTGAGAATTTGAGTGTGTGTGATGCGAGCCCTACCCTAGTCCTAATTGGGAAATATAATTATGTCAGCTGATTATGTCATTGAGCCTCTCCAGGTCCATGCCCAGGTCCACCTTCTCTTTTCAGCAACATTCGGAATAGCCGGCCCTTCAATCGCCTGAAATGGATGCTTGTATGCATTCTTTTTTTGGATATATTTGTCTGGATTACTTGGTTTTACTATTACAGCTATTTGTCTTAAAGAACGTCAAATTCGGGACATTTTATGCATCGCTGTGACTCGGGATCTTTCTTGATGTTGCAGGCAGATCGAAAACTGGCATTATGCTTTCTTGCGCCATAGCAAGTAGGCGAAGGCGATATGAGCCCAAAATACTTGGGTTGTTGATATTCATGGCAGTGAGTCGCTAGAGTCTGAATTCTGGAACTGGCTGCTGGCTGCTGGCTTCTAGATAGCTGGCATCGTGATTCCGGTGCGTGAGGATGATATTGTTGTTGCCATTACAGTTCACTACACTGCATCCCCAATTGAGGCGTCCAGGATATAAGTGTATTATATTGGAAGATCCCCTTGAGACCTGCCAAGCAAAATCGATGGTGTAGTCAAGAACACCAATAGTATCTCCCCCAAACGTTACCACCTGCGCGCTTTGTTTTTGTCTGGTGAGTCAGTCACTATACAAGATACTATATGACTGAACGAGATAAATTCAGAAAGGAATTAAAAAAATCCGGCAGTTTCTGAAGCATTGGCATGAGGAGAAGAAAAGCATTGCATGTTTAGTATTTACAAATCTCGAAGTCAAGAGGAAAACTCAGGCTTTGATTGGCCGGAGGCTGATTATTGCGCTAACCCAAATTCAGAAAAATATTTAATAATCCAAAAGTGGCGTAGCGTGGATTTAGCGAGAGTAGACATGATTATGTCATGTCAATCCCACAAATTGTTATCCGACACTCTAGTTTTTCGTGTTGAAGGCCCCGTCGACAGTTAACCACCAGCACCAACCACAACACCGCCGTCATGCCTCACTCGTACGGTCTGCGCGCCGGCACTCGGGTACGTTCTGATTCTATTTGCGACACGCGTCTTTTTCATACTGGGAGGACGACCTGGATCAACTGGATATGCCTGAGGGAGGATAAGTGCTAACGAAACGACGAACAGTATGCCTTCGCCCGTGGCTTCAAGGAGGCCGGTATGATCCGTCTCTCTACCTACCTGAAGACCTACCGGTATGCTCAAAACCCTCGAATATCGAATTCACGACAAGAATGGAAATCTGACGGATATTTTTAGTGTTGGTGATATTGTCGACCTCAAGGTCAACGGTGCCGTCCAGAAGGGGTCAGTACAATTCCAAAATTCCTTCCTGCGCTCTCGCCCGACCGTCCAATGCGATCATCCACCATGAGCAGCGCGAAACCCGGAAAAGAGGACGAGAATCTAACAGTTGAACAGTATGCCCCACAAGGTCTACCACGGTAAGACCGGTGTCGTCTACAACGTCACCAAGTCCGCCGTCGGTGTCATCCTCTACAAGAAGGTCGACAACCGCTACCTCGAGAAGCGTATCAGCGTCCGCATTGAGCACGTCCAGCACTCCCGCTCCCGCGAGGACTTCATCAAGCGTGTCAAGGAGAACGCCATCAAGAAGCGCGAGGCCAAGGAGAAGGGTGTCCACGTCCACTTGAAGCGTCAGGCCGTTGGCCCCCGTGAGGCCCACTTCGTCAAGCAGGCTGACAACAAGCCCGAGACCGTCGTCCCCATTGCCTACGATACCCACATTTAAAGGGCTCGCTATCGAATTGGGACGGTGTGTGCGGTTGTTAGGTGTTTACTGGGTTTTCACTCCATTTTTGCCTAGACTGAAATGGACTTTGATACATGAGACGAAGCGCAAAGGGTTTCGGATGCCCTGGCACATCTCTCGCCTGTGCATAGATTCCCCTGAATGAAACAAAATCAAAAAATTTCCGAGTTCATGTCTACATCTTTCCCGGTCCAGCATAACTTATATTTGGTGTATTGTTCTAGGCCTGTGCTGTAGTGCTATTCGTTCTCGCTCTCGGCCTTGATCGTCAGCCCCATCTGAGATCAGTGTACTCAGATCAAGTATGGTTCGAACTTTGAGTCATAAATTATAATCGCTTACTAGATCTAAATGTTATTGCGATGATCATTGATACTATGCTGTGGCGCGGGTGGCTTTACGAGTGTGGCAGAGCGAAAGGGATGATCATGACATAGATGCACTGCCACCGCGACACAAGCTCTCTCAAGCTACTCCGTATAGCTTCAACCAACATCCGAATCCGCACAAGTTGGGCATTGTCGCCCTCTAGGCCACCCAGGTGCCATACCTAGGCTAATGAATGACCTGAACCGACTCACCCATTTACCCCGATTCTCCTGCTTTCGTCGAACGCCCAATCCCCCTACCTTGGCATCATATAGGTGAAGTACCCGATCTCAAGCACCAGCTACCGGCCGACATTTCGCAAGTCAACCGTATTCCGCAGACCGCCTCTTTCAGCTGTGGTTGGCTACTCTAGCCTGTTCTAGACGATTGACTATCGCTTGCCCCTACCCAAGGGAGAAGCTCCACATTCGATTTGAATTTGTCCATGTTGCTCACTCTAAACTTCAGGCAAGCACTTTTACCCGGTAGCGCGGGCCACGGATGAATGAATTTCTTGTTGATGGGCTAAGTTTATGTTGCATTGTGAGCGAACACCTGAAGCGAGTGAACCGAATTCCTCTAGCACTTTATGTACCCGATTGTATTAATCTTGTGGTATGTCTAACACGGAAAGGTTCTAGAAGTTTATCTGTTCGATATGTTGTCGAATACACGAATACCCCTTTGTGTTTCAGACCGACCATGCAGTGGAGGTTTCAAGAGTTCATGTTCGCATGTGACCGTAAGTAGAGAGCATGAGGGAATAAGCTTATTATTACATTCAATCGGTCTAGATTGATCTTTGTGGTTTGGCTAAAATATGGTTCCTACGTAATGGCTTAGATCGAAGCATCTTGGATAATGAGGGTCTAAAGTTGGGTACACAGCCACATGCAAAGTCCATAGATCACGACACATGACGACATTCGGCGATAACTGGATGTACGAAGGTGGAGATTCAGGAACAATGAATACATGTACCTTCTGTCGATTATCAAGGGCGGTATGATTGCTGGACAGATGACCTTTGTCTGATGCATGTCCCTTCCCTGTACGGCATGCGATGACAAGCCACTCCCCCGGGTTTTACGCCTCAGGTCATTTAGACCAAAATCAGAGTTTCTGCTGTGAGTAGGCCCGGATGCCAGACTGAACAGGCTACTAGCTGTCAAGCTCCTATTTAAATTTAGCGCCGGTCAGCACTATAACTACTGAGTTTCTGAAAAAAATTGTTAAATGCGCCTGGGTTAAAAAGCTCTGGGTATACAAAACCTGGCAACTCAATGGATCTCCAACCTTACCCAACAACACCGCTGCCACTCTGCTCACCCGGGCTATCTTCGTGGGCAATGAGATAGTCAAGGCATGAACTCATTTGGCTTATAACTCCTGCTTCCCCCCTTCCTAGAAGTCATCAATCCGCACTCTTCAGAATCATAGCTCGTACCTTGGCTATTTCTGCAGGAATCTGCACCGCTCTCTTGCAATACCGTTGAGTAGCTTTTCTAGCTACGAAGAAATCCATTTTATTCCCTCCTCTGTTAAAGGCCGTGTTCGCCACCGCTTTCGACTAATTTCCGTGGAGATGGGCTCTAATAATAAGTAAGCCGGCTAGTTTGCCCAGGTGATAATATATATGAACTCCCCTGCGATACACCCAATTCAATTCAGTTGTCATTGGTGATATCTCACTAAGAATCTGTCTGACTTTTCGATTTATCTGTTCCATCCGCTAACCTTGACCTTCTCTCAGAGTCTCGTCATCCGACCTCCCCGCGACTAAAGACCCCGGTACCACTAGCAAAGACACAACATCCTTCGGTCAAGATAACACCTCGAAGAAGTCTGCATCCGCCTCCAATGGCAAGTCGAAAAAGGGGACCTCATACATGCTAGAGTCGTGGGAGAAGGCAACCCCCTCGTCGGAGCCGTGGTCATCAACCAAAGCCACCTACTCGCCAAAGCGCTAGGCTTTGGCCACTGTTGTTCATTGAAATTGGAGCTTGGAGATTGTACCAGATCATTGTGTAAAGGATTCCGGGGGACATCGGGGCTTGGTTCATCTTTTTGGTTTGGGGTGCTATTTATTGGAAAGGAAAGACTTGGGAGTTATCTAGTCATTTAACTACGGAGTACGGAGTGAATTAAATGAGATAATGATCGTCCTAGTGCATATCAATCTACCAAGTACATATGTAGTTACAACACTGTGGACGAACGGCTTGCATGGAGTGGGGCTCTGGAGCTGTCTTGCTGATCATCACTTGATGAATCTTTTTTTGGCCCTTCTCTTTGGTGTCGTTGTCTGTTTTCCTCTTGCGGGTACATATATATACTTGGATTTGCATTCCTTTTATTTCCATTTCACTTCCTCGATCTAGACAAGGCAATTGTAGTCGGGTACTATTGTGTTACATTGAAGAATGAGATTCCTTTACATCCATCCACGATATCTCAACCAAAGCAAGTTGCAGTGTCGTTCAATCTTGCATTGAAACTTTGGATGAGCCATGGTAGAGATGCTGTACAACCCCACTTGGATCCAAATCCAGTAACTCTACCGCCGGGAGTACAGCTCGCATCACTGCGAACCCTTTTCTTTTTTTTCTCTCCCTCTCCACCCGGATTTATGCATAATTATTTTTATCTAAAGAATAAGTATCAATATCCATCCCTCCCAGGCTTTTGAATAAGCCGACAACCACCGATATGAAGATCAATGTCTGAATGGGGATGGGGGATAGGCGAGTATCACCACAATCGCCCAACTTTTGAAAAGTATACTCGTGCATTATTGTTGGCCGGGGATAAGACTGTTTGGTCCAAAATGGGCAGCGGTTGAGCTTGCCGTTCTAGACTCATCTTAATCAGTCAAAGCGCTTACATCCGAGTCGTCTGGAAAGGAAATTATTGATTTATCCCGCAGCAGTAGTGCTGATGCTGATCCTGGGATTAATAGGCCTTTTCTCCCAACCACCCTGGCAGAGCTGCGCGTAAATGATGAAAAACAGCCATCCAATTCGCTATATCCTGCCTTCCCAATCCCCGTATTATGCACCTTCCCCGCTCTTGCCAATCAAATGTGAGCATTGTACGGAGTAATATACTCCGCACAAGACAGAAGCAATGCACAACGCACGGACTTGACCATTGAGGAGAGCTCTCCCATTTCAACATTCGCTCAGCTGGCAGCCGCATGAGGTTTCTCAACACGATCGACGTTAGTTTTCCGCCTGGCACTCCCGACAATGGTCAAGTCCGTGTGCTGTTGGATCCATACTGCATTGCTTCTATCTTGTGCGGAGTATGTATGTCCGGAGTATGGCCAGATACTTTGGATTCGGCCGATGATTGCCGTGTGTTCGTATTAATTTCTCGAATATTATTTTCGGCCATCCTATTGCATTTCCTGCCTGCTCCGTCCAAGCTTCTCGGAGATCGAATCGATACATCCGGAGACATTAACCGTTTGGAAATAACCATTCCAACCTTTTTTTTTCAACTCCAAGTACCCGATGGCGGTGGGTTTATACCCAACTGGTCAGCTATATCGGGTGAGATGTGACTGCATGATTATTACTACTCCTTACAACAGTTCTACCGCATAGGTTTCTACATGTTTTCACACCTAAGAACTGGTGTAGTGAGGGTTTTAAGCATGTACAATAGATTGATTGATCTATACGATCTTCTTTTCTTCCTCAGCCCCCAAACCTCCTTCGAATGTCCGAACTACACCACAGGAAGAATCCAATGAGTTAGAACGGCCTAAGCGCCCGCGATTCTAAAGAGCCTTTGGACTGCATGAAACCTATCATTCGTTGCCCTAGTTTTGTTTGTTGCATCCCGAGGGGAGGCACTGCCTCACTGCTTGTAATCCACTTTGACCGGTAAATCCCCTGCTCGGTTGTCGACTCTCTTATTCCAAAATGTCTCTTTGCCAATTTGGCGTTGGGCTTTGATTGTTCTTTTCTTTCCAATCTCGTTCTACATAATTATTTAATTGGTACTGGCTCTGGCACTGGCACTGGCACCCGGGTGCGAGCGGGCGTAGAGTAGCCACTTCTACGTACTTAAGGTCTTCTTTTCTCGTCTCTTACCCTTCTCGTCTCCCCTTCGCGTCTCCCCTTCGCGTCTCCCCTTCTCGTCTCCCCTTCTCGTCGATGAGACCTACTCTTTTGACTAAGCTTCAAACACCATTTTCTCTGCTTAATATTATTCGCCTTCCCAAAGAGGTCTATCTATCCGCTATGGACTCCACTCTCAATAATGAGGAGGACGATGAGATGATACATTGTCCTGGACCTTCTGGCTCCTTTGCCTCTTCGGAGGAGTTTACTGGTATAGATAATGATATAGTGAGTTTTCATCCAGAGATCCTAGCTTCAGGGTCCTAATGCTTGACTAGTATTATGGATATTGTGCTTCAGGAGCCTACTCTTCTGCTGATGTGACGAGCTTCCCGAATACGGATGCCTTCCAGGACTCTGGATGGATCAACACCAAGCCTATTAGTCAAATTCCAGAACCCCCACAGCAATACGAAAATGATCTGGCGTACATCAACCCGGGATATCCCCTGGGGGATGACAATATCCCCCAAAGCCTAGAAGGTGATCTAGGAATTTCAATTATCACTCAACGACCAGCTCATCCCTCGGGAAATCTTGATCGGACCACGATTGGAATACCAAATCCCACGCCCTTCTCTCTGCAACCTTCATCTGAACCACCTGCCGGCGTCATGGAACAGGTTAACAGCACCTGGAGAGCTCTCAGATCCAACCAGCAATGTAGTTCTGATCAAGTCTCTCAAAGCATGCAGAACCTCGAAACGATCAAAACCTTCTTTCAGTCAAAGCTCCCGGAACCTCCTGCTGCATCAACCGAGTACTCGTCGGAACAAGAAAAAGAAATGTATCGATGTTGGGTATGCGATCCTCAGACAGCTAGAGCAACCTTTCCAACTTTTGGTACCCTGAAGAGACATTTGGCTCAGCATAGTATATGCGATTGCGAGTGGTCCTGTACCGAGTGCCCCAAAGTCTCTCCAGCGGCGGGATAGAATGCGTGATCATCTTATGCACATACACAAAAAATCCGATCTGCTCCCGGCTGAAGTGGAGGCAACTGGAATGAGACGTCCATACCCAACTCACTGCCCCCTTTGCCCGGTTGAGACATCTTCTTGGCTTGTCTATTTTGATCACGTCAAGCGTCACTGTCTTATTTCCCCTGGTTCAAAGAAGTCCTCTACCAACGGCGGTCGATCTCGTCGCGGCAACAATGGTGGCGGGAATGGCGGGAACGCTAATGGCAATGGCCATAGCCAGAGCTTTTCTTCAGCCGGGCCAAGCAATTCAAACGGAGGCTCGCAGTCTAAACAATCAAATATTAGGACTGGGGGAATCCATTCGCACTCTGTTTCTGATAATCGGCTCAACAGCAGCCATTGTCAAAGCGTCATTGATGCCATTGAACAAATTCCTAAGGGATCATCTCGCGAGTCCAGGGCTCACCTCCCTGGAGAAGACAGTGCGATGCCCAATAACCCCCAACCCTCACAAACTCCCGGGTTGCCACGAACCGATCATTCGACCAAGCGCAAGCGCCCGGACGAAAATGAAGAGAATCTCCTTGATTCAGAGAAATGCAGATGGTGCGATCATCACATGGCAAAATGTCGACAATGCCAACCTGACCTTTGCCACAAGTGTGGTGACCTGCCCCGGAGTGCTATTCAAATTGGGGCTTCCTCGACAACGCCTGTGCAAGACCTCCCAGATACATCTTCTACCATCATCCACTTGGACGAACCTTACTTTAACGCTGGAGCATTGGCAAACTCTGGGCTACCTCAGACTATGCCCACCCAACTGTTTGACATACAGTTCTTGGACCCACGATCATTGGACATGACCAACACCTTCACGAACGATCTTTCCCAAAACAATCCGTTTATCGGGGTTGTAATGGATTCAGAAAGTCATCCACCTCTGAGTGATCTCAGCAACAAGGTCCAAAAGTCGCCTATTTTTGAAAGCGATACCACGTTACTTAGCAGCATTGGACTTGGCACATTGATTGACCCGTTCTTCGTCAGAAGACAGACCAAGCAACCAAAAGCGAAAGCATCCGGAGGTCAGAATCTAGGCTTATACAAAGATCTTGTTCTCAAAAACACTCCTTCGCCCATTCTGGAACCTCTTCAACTGGTGTCTCGTTGCAAATGCGCATGTGTGACCCCAACTGTCGACTACGAAGCCCACGAAAGCCTCAAATTATCGTCGAACAAGCGCATCGAGATGACACTAACAATGTCTCGTGCGCAAAAATCGGGTCATCGTCTCCACACTCGAGTGCGACTCTTCGTGAGGCTCTTTACTATCCACGCATCTGCAGCAGCAAAGTCAGACACCCAGAAGCAGAGGACTCACTCTATTGCACCCGAAATTACCGACGAGGATGCTGAGTCTGATACCGATTCAGAGCAAGAGCTCACTCCCTCGTCGCCGTCCGGATCCGAGCTCACTCTACGCCTCTACCAGACCGAGGACATGCAAAACTGGTCATTCAGCTTTGACGTCAAGTGGGCCTTGACGAAACTCGCCCAGTGGACCAGCGGCATAGATGCCGATACGTACCAGAAGCTCCTACTATCTGATCCCCGCTATATACTGGACTTGATATCGAAGGATATTATGTATAAGATTTTTTGCTTGTTGATGGGTCACAATGGGCTCCTTCTGTTCTATACCTCATTCATACGCACGTCCTGATGGTCATATGCTCTACGATTTTTTCTGGTTTGCCAAATATCTTCCATACTCCTCCTGTCTTTCTTTTCTATTAATTCTCCGCGCTAGATATCCAGATCCTCCTGTGCAAGTCTGCATTCAACTTCCAGGAGATGCATAATGTCCTCATGTGTTTAATAGGGGGGGCATACTACTTACATGACTTTTCATGAATCACGAGATTGGACTTGAAATGAAATATGATTCATGCGCTGTAAAAGCCCTTCTCAGTCTCGGTTTTAGACATCTCCAACTATACCCCTTTTCAAGAAGCGGTCTGCGCCTTATCGAATGTAGCGTTAATTACCAGCTTTACTTGCACTGCCACCGTCAACCGTCTATACAATATTGTGCCGTCTGCCTTGGGTAATGCATGAAAAGGACAAGCTCCCTATATGAGCTAGGGTGTACCTTGCTTCTTTTTGATAGGAGATGTTTTGATCGCGTGTTTGATGCAGGGGTATTGCATTGCATAGCAGCGCATGTAGCTTGAGCACAGGTGCACTAGCTATTGCGGACATGTGAAAGGTCTTGTATATCGACCGCGTCTCAAGTGACGGCTGAGTAACGTGAAAGTGACGTGAGAGTATTACATCTCACTCTGCGCGTACTGTCCGAGTTATGTAATTATATGGATGTACGAGTACACGCTGTCTAGAAGACGTACATGTGGAAAATGGAATAAAAAAAAAGATATCCTTTGCTAATACGCCGTTGAATTAAAGGGAGGAAAGCGAATGCCAAACAGATCCAGGACTAGTAAGATGATCCTGTGAGACCATCTTCAGTAGTTCGGCGTTTCTTCCATTCCCTTCTCCCGATTTCATCATTCCAGCTGGACATTAAAAAGCAACCATGAAAAAATTTGAAAAATCAATCCCTCACTCTGAAGAAACCTCACCACGCGCAAAGACCATCGGGTCTGTAGCAACAGACTCTAGGGACACCACGAGGCCAAATGACGTGTGGTTCCCGAGCAACATGACGTTGGGATTCTTAGTCTTGGCGGCTACGCTTCGCGCCGTGGGGGTTCCAAGAACCTGCGTCGGCGCCACCAGCCTGGTTGTTGGGGTTAGGGTTGTAGTAGCCCTGATTGAATCCGGGGTTGGGGCCCTGGAAACCTTGTTGTCCTGGAGATTGTCAGTATTGAGGAACGGAAAGAACGATCAGTGTGTATGCCAAAATCACTTACCTTGCATTGGCATGTTGCCTCCCATGCCACCGGGCATGCCGCCACCCATCATGGGATTCATACCAGCCATCGGGTTCATGCCCATGCCACCCATGGGGGGAGTCATACCAGGCATACCCATCATCGGAGCACCGCCCATGTTTCCACCACGACCGCCACGCATACCAGCACCGCCGCGCATGCCACCCATCATGTTGCCGCGATTGTTAAATCCGTAGTTCTGCATGCCCCCCATCGGGGCGCCCTGGAAGCCACCCATCATGGGGTTGGGCGCGGCACCTTGGAATCCACCCATGGGATTGAAGTTGTTGCGGTTATTGAAGTTGTTGTTCATGTTACCGCCCATGCCGCGGTTGCCGAAGCCGCCTCGGCCGCCGCGGAATCCGCCAGTGTGGTTGTTCATGCCGTAGTTGGGGTTGCCATTAGGGTTGTGGACAGCACCACCGCCGCGACCGCCGGCATTGCGCATCGGGGTATCCTTGGGGAGGGTCTTGAAGGGATTCTGGTGAGGGCTGGTGTAGTGAACGGTGTACTTGCGCTTGGGGGTATTTTGTCTCTCAATGTTGTGCTTAGTTGCAGTCGCCGCCTGAGCCGTGGTGAACTCAACAAATGCTTGACTGTGAGAACGTTAGTATCAATGCTCGGCATCGTATTTGTTCACAACCAAGTCTGTGATGTTCTTACCCCTTGCTCTTGCCGTTCACCTTGTGCTCGCTGAAGGTCACATCCTTCAGCTGGCCCTCAACTCCGACCTGATTCGACCAGCTTCGGACTTCGTCCTCAGTTGTCCACCAGGTCAATTCAGAAATCAGCAACGCAGTGGTGGCATCGGGATCCACGGATTGATCATCGTATTCCTTGCGCTTGATTCCCTGGGGGGGAGCAGGCAGACCGTGGTTGAGTGCGGGCTGCTGAGGTGCTGGCTGAGCTCCATTGTTGTTCGCCGGGTTCACCTGCTGGGTCTGAGCGGGAGCAGGGGTCTCCTGCTTGACGGCGTTGGATGATCCGGCGCCGGACTCGGGCTGGTTCTCGGGAGCATCCAGAACAAGCTCGGAATCCTGCTTGAAATCTCCGGGCTCATTGGCATTGTAAGTGCCGTCGCCGTAGATGTCAATGTCGAAGTTATCGTCGTCGGTAGCCATTGCGAGCTAGATTAGTATCCTTCGGGGATTGGATCTCGAAGAAATTATTGAAATTGCCTGAGTATCTGAGGTTCGATAGTACAGGCCCTTCTTCTTCTTGATCCTTTCCGCTTCTGAGCAAATCAAGAAAAGTGCATGTCTGCAGGCACAAGCCACCAATTAGCATTGAAAAAACACCACGAAAGAAAGCGCAAGTAGTGCAGGGGTATCACGATCCCGTATTAGCTTCCAACAGCCTGTTGGAAGTCTTCACAGGTAAAGCGACTGGAAATTTGGCCAAGCCCCCGAAGGGTAACATAGGAAGGACAGACATGAAAACAAAGAGGCCAGACAATACGTACAATCCGAAGCGAAGCGCTTCCGGTAGGCACAAGACTTGCGCGAGCTGCAGACGCGGTGTACAGAGAATGGGAATCAGGGTTGTTCCACGACTGTTGGATACAAAGTAATAAGAGGAAAAGGAGAAGAGAAGGATGCCACAGACAGGCAATGAATGTAGTGACGGACGGGGGAAGAGAACAGGAGCCAAAGCAAAGGAAGGGGAAGAAAACTCTTATAGGGGGGTATAAACGCGGGCGCCGAGAAAGGGATTTGGTCAATCACGACGTCGTGGGCTTTCTCAAGTTCACCAAAGATCTTAGGGCCGACAATGAGAGCTGGGGCGATGGCGATGTAATCGCGCGCGGACGACGGGCCAGACCTTGGGAGCTGGAACAACTATTCTCCATTCTCCAGTCCCCCCGGAGAGGCCAATTGGTCATTCCGGAGAAACCACCTGTTCTTCTTTTGTCGCGACTTCATTCTTCTTCAAGTTCTTTAATCTTTTTCAATAATCCTTCTTTTTCGCAATCATGTCTGAGACTTTGCAGGAGCTTGCCGATATCCCTAAGGACTTCATCCGGGAGGGTTCTCAATTCGTTCGCCGCTGCACCAAGCGTATGTCGATCGGTCATTTCGCGAGCTCCTGACACGCTGACATTTCCAATAGCCGATAAGCGTGAATTCATCAAGATCAGCCAGGCTGTTGGCATGGGTTTCCTTGTTATGGTATGTGCCATTGTGGCAACCCCTGGATCGCATCTTAAGGCGGAAGAACTGACATCGCCGATAGGGAGCCATTGGCTACTTTGTTAAGCTGAGTGCGTGTTAGATTGCGGATATCAGTCTGCATATTCATTGCATGTTTGTTGTATTAACCTGCTTGTTACAGTTCACATTCCCGTCAACCAAGTGCTGGTCGGTGGCGCTTAAGGGAGAGGCACTCCCAGGAGATGTTCAGATCCATTTGATAATTTTGGGGAGATGGAAACAGTTGATAATGGGAAAAGCCTGCAGAGAGAAGGGAGGAAGAGCGATAAGAGGTGGTATCAGGCAAAATGCCCTTATGAATGACACCGCTCTATCAAATCGACTGGGCACTATGACCTACCACGTGGGACTCCCCAAACAACCCTGGACTACGAGCTTTTTCACACTGCAAGGCATTGTCCCTTTTACGTTTTGAATTCCCGTGGCGATCACCATCGGCCACTTGGCGCTTTTTTTTTGGCGAGCGATAGGAGACAGAGTATGATCGCTATCTATGAGATACCACCATTTTTCACATCCTGTATCAATAGGGGTCCTTGTTTTACTTAATATACACCCTCGAGGCATTTATTCCCATCTACAATATCTTATACTAGGCTTTTGGACGGCCTGGGTCATATCTACAGTCGTGGACCAGATGACATGACGTATTGTATTCGTCAAAAGAGATGTGTCTACTCCTCCTGAGTAGATATTGTGAGATATATTGAACACGAACACCCCCAGGGTGTGCACGAAAGCCAACTTTGAATGCTTTTGAACCAAAAAGACATCCTTCACCTACCATATCGTATCTTCAGCTTCCTCATCAGCCCATCGACGAACAGGTCGACTGCGCAATGGACGTCGGGGTCGAGCGTTTACTGCATTTTCGTGAAATCGGTTAAACTCAGGGATATATCGTAGTCTGTCATCATAACTCTTGCCAAGCGGTGGATCTCCCTCGTCTTTAGTAGCACCGGCGTTCCAGGAATGCACAGTACAAGTGCCAGTAGACAAGCCCCAGCCATTCCAAGAAGTTGCTGAACACAGCATTAGCAATTTCTACTAAAACGAACGTTCTGGGATATAGTTACCTGCTAGCATTGGCGCACTTGGGTGCCAGCTTGCATCGCGGACGCAAGTCCTCCACAGCATCTCCCCACTCATCTCATACGCTGTAGCATAGGCATCTGGATCACGCGGCCGCGAATTGAGTGTCGCTTGACCAACGTCAATGGTGCCGGCTAGTGTGGCATCCAAGTTGTACACATAAACCTTGCCATCCTCACTCCCACTGTAAACATAGCGTGAGTTTGTGCTTCCCGGTGGCGAGAAGTGGCAGCGGATCAAGGTTTTGAGGACTCGGTGGCCCCGATATGTAACAACAGAACAGTCATTCTTGGCATTTCTGCGGAACTGGTCTGGATATTGCTCGAATCGGTAATCGAAGCCAGTTGTGTAGTCGACAGGGTCGATGTTTTCGATATCGGCGGTGGTCATCATCTTCCGCAGATCCCAAAGCTTCATCGTTTGGTCTTTGCTGTTTGATAAGACGTATCGGCCGTCGCCTTTGCTGTCAACGTACGTTAGACCCTCGGTATGGCCCATAAAGGCACCGGCTTCACGCCCATCGCCCATTGACCGTCGGTCCCAAACCCGAATTGTCGTGTCGTCTGATCCAGAATACAGGATATGCGGTGATGATGTGTCGCCGTAACACACAGCATTGACATGATGTTGATGTCGATCTCGGAGGTTTAGAACTGGCTGTCGTGTTTCCAGATCATAAACGATGACCGAGTCTTCTGATGTGCCAGCGACAACCTCACGTCCATCTCCGGAGAATCGAAGAGACCAGATCTATCAAAAATGCACTAGGTTAGCCATTGAAATGACAATTAAAGCATCACTTCACATACCCCGAAGTGTGAACTACCCCAACTCCGTCTACTTCTTCGGCCCGGTGGAGCAGAAAAGTCTAAAACAGTAGGATCTGAATCATCCTCTGGGTCTGTGCTGGCCATATATGCCTGACTTCGTATCGAACTGTAGACAAGGAAACGGTTGTCGGGGCTTAACGTCGCATCTGTGATAGTCCACTGGCCGAATGGATAATCGACGGTTTTGTAGTATTTCCAGTCGTAGGGGTTGGATGTGTCGTACATCCGAACCTTGAAGTCTTGTGCGCAGCAGAAAAAGAAATTGCCATCATCCGAGAATTGGCCTGAATAACTTCGTGTGTCATAGTGAATGATCATGTCCGCAATCGAACTTGGAATGAGGCCCTATTAGGCGTCAAACGTATGCGTTAGCCCCGCAGACTGTTTTATGATACATGTGCCGACTAAGTTGGCCTACCTGAGAAATAGACTGGTTGGCTCTTTTCTGGACTCCATCAGTATCAATGCCTAGTTCTCGCCACATTAGGCTTGTCGCGAGAGATTTCTTGCGCTGTCTGAGGCGGTCGACATAAAATTGATCAGTTCCGAAATGACCTTCGCTCATCAACTTCTTGCCCTCCGGGTTAGGAACCGGTGGCAGTTTAAGAGTTTCGGCGGATCGTCTGGCTCGGAGGCGATTTCGGAACATGGGCAGGAAATCGTCATCGCCTACAAAATCATCTTCTTCATCTTCCATCTGGTCTTGCTCTTCTTCCATAGCGCTTGGCCAACCATTGGCTTGGAGGATATGTTGTAAGCCACTGGATGCAAGTAACTCGAATAATCGGGAAGCCGGTACTGTAATTTGTGAGAAATTGTACTGATACCCTTTGAGAATTTCCAGCACAACGTACTACGAGTGCGCCCCTCATTCAGGTTGCCTGTGTCCTCGCTCTCCGAATCGTCCGCTGTAAGTTCGATTTGGATGTTTTCGAGGTTGATGTGGTTATAGCCTATCACAGGGAAGCGGTTAGTCCATTTGTATAGTATTTTGAGGACATATATTTCAGTCCTACCACTTGCCCCCTCCGATCTCATTTGCTGATCATTGAGTGTGTCGTCCTCCCATGCGCCATCGTCCTGGGATGGCTCTAGCGCGGGGTGGTAGTCGGGATCCAGCTCGTCGTCTTCCAGCCATTCGTGGGCAGGATGCCAGATCCCTTCTGGGCCCCTTGGAGATTCTCTCCCATTATCAGGTGTCCTTGAACTCATAGTTGTGTGTATGCGGTAGTGATAGATGAGGAGATATGGTGCTTATCGATACATAGATGATAAGTCCCGACCTCGGTCACGGGCGCTGGCTTTGGGTTATGTCATTCACCCTAACTCCGAGGCTAAACGCCGATGACGGCTTGCACTTCCTTTGTATCTCAGGACTTATACCTTCTAGATTGGTATATAAATTTGCCTCTTGGTTTCATGCACTCCAGTCTGTGGCTTGTTTCGAGCAAGCATAGTACTCAATTTGACCTTTAAAAACCAAAATGGGCATATTATATGCAAAGAAGCAGAAGCCCATGGTGACTGCATCTCTAGCTTTGCATATGCGTGTTATACAGTAATCATATGTCAACGAAAGCACCATCCCAAACCCCTTATAATAATACTGAAGGAGTTTAGACCTCTCCATTACAAGATATTGAAGCTCCCTCTCGATATCTGAATACAAAAGAAACAAATACTCAAGGACTGGCACGTAACATTTTGTACATCTTCTCTATAAAGCTACAGCCGTATCATCAAGCAATTTAAAGTAGTCCTCTAAGCAAGCATATAAGGGAATAACTTAAGGATAATGCTAGCAATATTTACCTTGATTATGACACTAGCAAGGATATCCATGTCAGTTATCCTAAAAACCTCATGCGCTTCCAACTCACTTCCAACTTACTTGTCGCTTCTAATTCACTCAAATTCGCTTCTGAAGCTTGTTTACTTCCAAACCGTAGTAGAGAACTGGGTTGCCACTCAAGATGTGTCATCTTAGCGTCGAAAAGAAGGCAATAAATGAAGTAGTCTGATGTTAAAAAAGTATGATTTACATATCCCTTTGAGCAGTTGCCTGTGCTCTTTCCTACTCCCTACTATACTACACCACCCTATCACAGACAGTCGTTTTCGCCCTTCTATCCCCGTCCCCATCTCAGCCATCCCTGTAGGGAACATATACACCAACCATATCAACCACTAATGTGGATGGCAAGAAAAGACCAGCCCTTGAGGAGGATTCAGAAAAATTCAATGACTAATCCGAATCCCAAGTGGACAAGAAATGGTAGGTCCATCTTGCATCTCCCTTAGTGAAGATTCAACTAATCCGCCTATACTATAGAGTCCTACTCAGATTGAATACCACAGTACCTTCGAGAATAAAGAGAACACCCTCGACGCCTGTGTGGGAAAAATAGTCAGCGAGGCGCCATCTCTATGCTATGATACTGAGCAGAAAGAAGCGTTGCGTGGATATCAGAAGCATTGCACTGGCATAATTTCTTTTTTGGATGTCTTCTTATTAAGTTTAAGTATACGAAGAAGTTAGGTTGAAGGCTACAGATTAATAGCATGAAACAGCTTCATAGTAACAGACTAGGTGACCTCTAAATAGGTATTCTGATTGAGAATCGCGGCCAGCAGTGGACATATGGAGTGTGTCGCTGTGTAAATAGTGTGTCCGTAGTCCTTGTTTTTGATGATTGCATTGAAGGCAAGTAATCCTTTACGCCCAAGACTTCAACACGATGTTAATTTCAGCTCCCCTCGACGCCAATAGATCAGACAAATTAATTCAAATCCAGCGCCCATATACTCCCGAACCCCGTGCTGGATGGAGGACTAGCAGCTGTGTTCTCGGTCATTGACGGACATCAAATACAGATAGCAACCTAGGTCTATATTCATAGGCTATAACTATGAGCGATTCTCAGCCGCCCGATGCCGAAAGAAAAGAACTCTTCACGCAATGCCACTGCGGTGGAGTCTCTTTCGCCATTGCCCCACCCAGCGAGAAATTCGTCGTAAGCCCCTAAGTACGAGAAAGTGGCTTGCGAGTATGGATATCTGCGACCGTCGATTGGTTGCTGGCACACGCGTCATCAGCTGTCATCCGTTGAGAATATTAAACAAAAAAATCAGAATAAGCGCGGCCTGACATCCGATGTATGTATACATGTGGCTGTCAAGAAGATAAGCTAAAAGGGCGGATCAATTATTTCCCCGGTCTCCATTGATAGAGATGCTTCTCCAACTCCCGAGGCTCGGGTTCCCTAGGATCTACTCTGTGGTGTTCAGGTCCAAGGAACTAAAGTGAGACAAGCTGTCTAATTGAATAGTCCGCACTCGATTCCTCATCCAAGCATTCTCAATATAAAAGCCCGCTCGCCTTCCCTCAAATTTTCCCTCCGCACCCCCCCAACCCCACCACGATGCAGTCCGTCCCAGAATCGCGACAGCAGTCGTTCGAGGAGATCTACGGACCTCCCGAGAACTTCCTCGAGATAGAAGTGAGTTACTTAGCGCCTAATACCCAATATCCACTCCCGAATCAATCACCTACCCCAATACCCCAGAGTCTCGTGCCCATATCTTCCCCTAATCAAGCCCCCATACATCCCCACCCAAAACCCGCATCAACAACCCCCATCGGGCACCAAGAACGAAAAATCCAGACTAACAACGACTGCAACAGGTCCGCAACCCCCAGACCCATGGCACATCCCGCAACATGTACACGTCGTACGAGATTGTGTGCCGGACCAACATCCCCGCCTTCAAATTGAAACACTCCGTCGTGCGCCGCCGTTACTCTGATTTCGAGTATTTCCGCGATATCCTCGAGCGCGAAAGCACGCGTGTCACGATACCCCCACTGCCAGGGAAGGTTTTCACCAACCGGTTCAGCGACGACGTCATCGAGCATCGCCGCGAAGGTCTGCAGCGCTTCCTCCAGATCGTCGCCGGACACCCTCTTCTGCAGACGGGGAGTAAGGTGCTTGCTAGCTACATACAAGGTGGGTTTATTCTAGTCACTTGTGCGGATTGTTGAACGTCTGCTAATCTCATCTTGCAGATCCCAACTGGGACCGCAATGCGTGGTAGATGACTATTGCGACCATTAATTCATTAACGAGAAGCATGCCTCATTCCCTAGGATGGGATAGGCCTTCCATTTAGCCTCCTCGGACTCCCTTTTTCACCTTTATTTCCAGCTCCTTCCCTTCTCCTTCTTCTCCCAATCCTCACTTCGCACTTTGATATCCTGTCCGCGGCTGACACCTTTCGTGATTGAAAATGGGTACCCCGCAGTGTATGCTATGTGATGATCATTGCTTGATTTTTTATGCTCGTTTGATATCCGAATCCACCGCTTCTTTCTCCCCACTCAGATACAGATACAAGCAAGTACAGGTTTTATTTGGCTTAATTGGACAGGCGCTTTTTCCTGATTTTTCTTTTTCCGGCAATTTACCAATATTGTTCCATATGCTCTCATCTTTCGCGATGCTATCTTTATGCATAGTGAGAATACCAGATTTGTTGCATCTTTTGCTCCTCAGTGTCACTTTGATTGTCAATAAATTCAAATTTGAAAAGAGAACTTTTACTAAATAGGGACTGTAGCAAAAACAACCGTGTACATACTGTGGGATATAGATCAACAATGAAAACAGATGAGGAAAAAACAAGAGGCGATACAGTAATGCTCCGCAGAGTACCCAAAGCAAATCAAAATGAAATGAGAAAGAGAAGCAAAAAAGCCAAAATTCAAATGTTCATAACATGCGTTGGCAACATAGCCCATCCAAGGCTTGTCCCGATTAGGTCAATTCATCCCAAATCATAGGAGCGAGGGTATTATCTTCCCACGGCGTCTCCACCGTGGAAGCAGCACCCGCCCCAGGTCCATCATCCAAAGAGAAAGAAAGCGCACCGGCAGCAGCAGGCGGAAGATACATCGAGTGCTCCGAAAAGCTCTGCGGAGGCGGAGGCAAGAGCGCGGGATCAATCTGGCCAAGACTGGACTGCGAAGGGGTAGCAGCGTGACGACTCCTCGACGCCGAGTTGCGAGAAGCGGTAGTCGAATTCGGAGTTGGAGTTGGCGTCATGGCATAGGCCTTGCTTGGAGATTGTTCGGTGTTGACAGGATGTGGGCGGGGGGTCGACGCGCCTGCAGCCGAATCCTGGCCCTGGCCCTGGTTTGGGTTGGTAAAGGCCTTTCCATTCACAGAGCCACCATCACGATAGGCGTGTGGGAACTTGGTTCTAAAGCGGTCGCGGAGGTCTGTTGCTTTGCGGTGGCTTAGGTTCAATCGGGAATCTTGCTGGATTAGAGTCCATTGGAAGCCGTGTACGGCGTAGCCTTTGAGGAGGGCTTCGTCTTCGACGGCTGTGAAGGGTCGCCGAGAGCGACGTTTAGATTTTACGACATTTGCGGGAATTCCAAGAGATGCGAGGGTTGTCTGGGACTTGCTCGCGGGAGCGGGTGTGCTATTTCCCGATGAGGGCGACTGCGATTGGGGGATGCTACTACTCCCGGGATCTGTGTCGGGCGTGGATGAGACGGTACTCGAAGTAGAGGGTTTTTGTGGATTGGGAGCCTGGCCTTCTGCTCCAGAGATTGACTCGGAGCCTTGACTCGAGGGCATTATATGGGAGAGGTGGGGTTTGCCGGGTGTTTCGTCAGAGCCCTCTCCTTTGGCTTTGAGTAGGGTGTTAGCGAGAGTGTCATGTAGTTGTTTCGCAGCTTCATTGGGATCGGATGTACTGGAGTAATATTAGCTATCCTAGTTGACTTCAGAGGATTGAATTCTAATTGCTTACCGGTACGCCCATGGACATAATACTCGGAATCTTCATGACGAAACTTTAGCATAATACCATACAGTTGGCCAATAACAAGCATACCTGTCTTTTAAATTTGAGGCAGTTCGCTGATTAAACTCCAGCTCCGGTTGAGCAAGGATAGCAGTCCAGTTGCCAATCCCACATTTGACCACACCCCGAAGTAAAGTAGCCGTTTCTTCTTCGGTCCACTTTCTCACGTTTTTACGGGACCGGCCACGAGTTTTGGGAGAAATTGGCACATCCTGTCCAGAGTGAAGTGGCAATGCCTTAGTGTTCTTGGGATCCTCTGCTTTGCGAACAGCCAGGGCAATCTCATCAGGATCCATGGGGTTAGTACTTTCAACATTTTCATCATTATCATTAGGGTCGTCGTCTTCATCCACATTGAGAGACATTCTGAGGATATCCTCGAGTCTAGTATCTCGTCTTTCAGCAGCAGACTGTCCATCTGAGATCGCGACATGAGCAGCAACTAGCGTCCCAGGGTCAACAGCAGCACCGCCTCTGGAGGGCTTAGTCAAAAGCTGGGAGATATTAGACCCAGCCTCAATAGGTGGAAGCAAGGCGGCATTAGGTGGAGGCTCATTCAATCCATTCAGGATAGCAAATGGCCCAAATGGAGGAGGTCGCTGCTCCTTCTGGGCCTGGGGGATAGGTAACTGTAGATGCTCGCTGAACGAATCAGCCTGGGGGTCTCGGCGTCGACGCTTGCGAGGCCCTTGGAGGGCGTCGTCATCGAAGGATGACGAGAATGGAAACTTTTCCAGGGCACGAAGATTCACAAAAGCGGGAAGGATTGGCCTTGGGGGACGTTCCACATTCGACTGCGAGTCTGCTGACAGTTCGGTTTTCCTGATGCGCGCAGCGTTCAGAAACTCCGTAACGGTCGGCAGGCCTGCTTTTGCATTTGCTGGGATCTTCCCGCTATTGCTGTTTGAATTGGGGATATTATTCGGCTCCCGTGTCCCACTGGCATTGGGTTCGAGGGGCGATGGGACGCTTAAGGTTCGTGATGATACTGGTTCTCGTAGAGGGGCGATACGGAGAGAGAGTTGGGGGAGTTCGCGGAGTATTGATTCATCGAGGGGCCGCAAAGCGCTCGCAGATTCCATTTTGGTCAGCTCTCACAGAATTCATCTCATCCTGGATCTGACATATCATCCATCTTTGGGGGGTCAGATGAAGCTCTGATAAGATCCATGCGATAACGGCTAGGCTCGGGGCGGTGACGGGCGCCAGTAAAGTGGGTCCGGGAGGTGTCTACGTCAGCTTCCATTTTTGTCCAATTGCCGAGATCCCCTGGCAAGGGAAACGATTCCCTTTCGAAAGATATCCCATTGGACTTTCTTTCACTCATTGATTTGATCGGATTCTATCATACAATTGAAATTCTATACTTGATATTGGTCCTGGTCCTAGAACGTGAGTTGTCTTCCTCTCTATGGAAGTAGCAAGTAAAGCTACCGGGAGCTTTGTTTATGCCGACGCTCCAAGCGAATTACAGCTAGGACCAAAGCACGACAATTGAGAAGACACAAGGGAATAACATTGAACGCCACAGGTCCTAAAAATGCCCACCATCTTTCCACTATGGCCACACATCCTCTTTGGCGTCCTTGAGCCTATCTCCCTGTACGACCAGCCCAATCCTTTCCTTGAAATGCAAGAATACTACTGACTTACTATCCTTAATGCAGGGCCCTCGGTAGTGCCTACCCTATCTACAACCTCCAAGGCTTTATCGCCGGGCAAACCCCCAACATCGCAGCCCCGGCCACCCTGCACCCAAGCAGCGTCGCGCTCGCCTACCAGCTCGGCAATGTCTACTCACTCCTCTTCCTAGTCGGCGTGGGTGTCTGCCATGCGACAACGGAACCAAGGGTACTCCGCAACTATCTAATCGGGCTGGCCATCGCCGACATTGGTCATGTCTACGCCACGTACTTGGCGATGGGCTGGGACGCATTTGCGGACGTTGCGGCATGGAACGCTTTGACCTGGGGTAACATCGGGGTCACGATGTTCTTGTTCGTCAATAGGATCGCTTATTTCCTGGGCATTTTTGGTTATGCGAAGGCGCCGAAGGCGGCTGCAAAGCGGGACTGAGGTGTGACCTGCTCCTTTGGTTGGCCAGACCAATATGCACTCGATCATTTTACTATATCTCAAAAAAGCAAAGAAAGTTAAGGCGGGGTCTTTGGCTTTGGATCGCTCCCCTCCACACTCCACTCCCTTGCGTTTGCGCCAGACTGCTCGTCTGCGCAGTTTAACTTTAGCCCTACTCTTTCCTGTGGCGGCTCTTCGGATGGAATGGGTCTCATCTGATTCGTAGGTTCTTGGCCGGCGCATATGGGATGAACATGGTTGGGATGTGGCCGGGTGGATATGCCGGTATGCTTGTATTTGCTTGACTGGGTTACTAGTGGGGATTGTGGACGAGATGGGCTGATCCGATTACGTTTTCAGCTCCAATGAGCATCCACTGTTAACCAGCTGTAGATAGAACCTTGAATGTGGGAAAAAAAAGAAAATTATATTCATATTAGCATAATGCAACGCCGGACTCCCCGGTGCTGCCGGATGCTAGCATGGGTATCAGAATAGAAATACAGATCATAAAATATTATAGGAGGTCGTCATCTGGTTGTAGATCACCTACCCCGTGGGAAGACTGCCAAGGAAACCACCCCATCAATGCATTAGCTGCTGACCAGAGAGGCAAGCAATCGAAACAGCCCACCGGTCATACCACCTGCAGCCACACAAGCCAAGCACACACCGATGTCGATTGCTTTACTTCTCTTGTCGGACCCGGACCCGGACCCGAAGAGGACCATAGCAGGCCGCTGATCCGGTGGTCACATCTGTGGGTCTATTAGGTGCTTTGCAGGTAGTGAAAAACCGGCTGAAGGACTGCTTCGCCGTTTTCTTTGTGGTCGCGGAGGTGGGGGACCAGCCAGGGAATGCCGGGGAAGTTCTGGTAGTGCTGGCGATAGACGGCGAAGTTGTCAGCCGGGCTCATGAGAGAGACGATTTCCCGTGGAATCAGAGCCTCGAGCGTAATCGGGTTTCCTTGGATGTTGCCGGGGCGCGATGTCAAGATGGTATAGATGTGCAGGCCTTTTATGATAGCCGTGAAAGAGTGGTAATCACGGGTTGCTAAGAGGAACTGTTCGGATGATCATACGGTTAGAGGGTGACATTTGGGCCTCGGCAAGTTTGGGAGTAAGGACTGCTCACCTGTGTGCATTCCTGTAGATATGGAATCAAGTCTGGGAGTGCGGCGCAGCATTCCCAGACTGAAACGCTTAGTTCGCGCCACTGGACTTTCAGTTGTTCCACGATGAAATCCTCTGTTATTAGGCTTTGCTGGGTTAACTCGGCAAATTGGTGCTCGTCCAGGCCTCTCATGCTGTCGGCCAAGTCTTTCGGAGATGTCGACTGGAGACAATCGTCTAGGAAAGGAAGAGAGGTGTCAAATGGGGTCTGCCAATCCATGATAGGAGTATGGATATACTGTCGGCGATATCGGATTGTTAAAACAGTCAACATTTTGAGCATGGCAGTAAGCCTTCCTGGCTGGTCCTTGAATAAGGCCTGGATAGGGCCTGCGATGAATTCGAACCCAGCGGTGTTGGGCTGAGGCAAGTCATGATTTGCGCCAGGTCGCACAGCTAGGAGGCACTTGACCAACGCTCGGTGTGCGAATGGACTGCCCGACCGAAGATACTATAAAAGTCAGCACAGGCTCTATGTAATGATGAGTATAGCTGTTAGAATGGACGAACGTACCTTTTCCACTTCGGTATACAGAGGAATGTCCTCCGGATAGACGCCCAGATGATCCTGGAGCATAATATAAAGAGCCGCATGCTGCTGCAGGAACCATTCGACGAAGACAGCGTTATACCCGAGAGCAGCACGTACAAACTCTTCAAATGGGATCTGCCTGAATTGAAAATGGCTCTCGGCCTCAATCGCTGCAGCGATTGCCCGCGCATCTAGAGTAGGGCTTGACTGTGGTGGGAGCCAACTCCAAGGCATCTCCTGGAAAGGAGATATACTCGACCGGCGCAGGATCTCCTCCACCCTCTGTATATGAGAAAGACTCCCAAGGAGCTGGGACTCGTAGGGCTCGGACAGTGCGCTCAAAAAGGTTTCTATGGTGTCGACATTCCGAGTGCAAAGCGAAGACCTTGGGAAGTTTGGGTCGCAAAAGAGTCCGAACTGGATCACACGCTTGATTTCTTGGATGTCGAATGCCCAGAACACCGTTGTGGCTTCGTCTTCCCACCAGCGATAAGGAATGAAAAAGGCGGGAATTTCCAGGTCGAGTTGGAAGATCGCCGGATAAGAATGGCCCCAGTCCGAGGCACCAATTCTAGATTGCGCAGACATGTTCATTTCCTTGAATAGTGAATATTGCATGTCCAAGGTCTGGGGAGGTGGTCCAAAGACCGATTCTTCTGGGCTGGTCGATTGCATTTATGCGGTTTCCAACGGGACAGAAAAGCAAGACCAACACATTGGGCACAGTACACGCTGGACGCTCATGTAACACGGCGCTTGAATAGAGTAATTACAGGGCAGGGATACCCTGGCGAGCGATGTATGCCAGGCGCGACGCGGGAGAGAAGGGAGTGAGTATGGGAGTACTCGTATGTGTACGAGAAATAGGAAAATAACTAAATAGCGCACAGATAATAAACAGGCGGGTTGCTCGGAAAGGTGAAGGTGATTGGTTTTTTCACTATAAGGCCAGAGCCGATGGACTTCTTTATCCCTGTTACTCGTTCCGCCACGTTCGACACATCACGAGGGTTGAAAATGAGGGGGGGGGGAACTCTGGGCACGTTACCAACAGGGGCGCTGATCTCAGTTCCCAGCTGAAAGGTTCCTTGACGGGAAGAATCATCGGGAAAAGGGGGGAATATTGTCATTGGGAAGTAAATAGGGAGGGGGCGAGTTACTCAATTCGGATCCCAGGACCGGACCTCCAGGGGCTCTAGATCGGGGATAAACTAGTGAACTCCATAAAAAGGAATGAGATCTGCAAGTTGGGCCTCTCTGCTAGTTACCGAGATTGTTATATGCCGAACACCCGTTGACCGTTGGGCTGCAGAAAGGAAACGATCTGGGTCAGTTAACAATATGACAAGTGGATAGTCTCCCAAAGGAGTTGCGAAGCGGTCAACCTACAAAGGAAGGAAAGATTTAAACCGCAAAGGCTAATTAGTCGGTCAAGGGGGGTGGATACACAAAGTAATCAATGTGAGTACACTATGGGATATAAATGAGAGAAAGATAATCTAAAACGAGCATTGGGCCAGGCCCTCCCAATGTACACCAAATGGACGCTAACGTAGGCTAACGTAGTGGCCGTAATCCCATGTGAGTGGAGTCTTGACGATCAAAGAATATTTTTGGAATTCGACAAGGAATATACGAACAGAACACCGAACACCTTGGAACGTTTGCTTTTCATGGAAGTCCGCGCCTTGGTTTGTCCGTCAATCTAGGGCCGGAGTATAGACCATAGAAGCATCACACCAAGCTGGGCGGATTTCCAATTCAGGTAATCAGGAACAAGTATTGAACTTTGTGACCTGAAGTGGCGGATCTTTTATCATTATTATATCATTATTGCCATAGCCTTGAATAGAAGCGCCGATTAACCTTTCGCTCTCGTTCAATTGAAAAGAAGATGGCCTTGATATCGGATCCTTGTGAGATTTTAGCACAACATACTAGGTACACCGCTACACACTGACCCCTCCAAGGTCTGACATGATAGCATCTGAAGCCCAGAGTATTGGCATATATAGCATTCCCACTGCCGGTGGAACAATCCCCACTAGTTACATCACAAGCGTTGGTTCTAAGCAAGATAGTTCACTACCGGCAGGAAGTCCAATGTAAGAAATTCTACGATGGGTATATTCTCCAGTCCAATCAGTCCCCAACCTCACCACGTGAAATCCCAAGATTCTCAGACCCAGTTCCTCGGAACTGGGACGGATCTCGGTAGACCCACGCCAAAGTTTGTGGGGAGTGTCTTATAAAATGGTGATGTCCCTGAGTTTCGGGGTTCGTGAGTCTATGAGTTTCTAAGTTTCCGAGTCTAACTTGAGATCTGATTGATCCAAGGCCCCATCTATAATAATTAGAGCATATGCAGGGAATGCTAGAGCGAGCCACTAGTACTAATAAGTTCTAGGCTCAACGTTCGCATTTCCGAGAAACCACATGACTAGCCACATATACTACTCCGTATAGCCTCCTACTCTATGCAGCATGGACCGACGGACTCTACTTCCGTCGCCTGGTATCACCAACGATATATACAAGCTCGCCTGATTGATTGCACATTGAACAAAAGTACACATTTCAAGTGGGTCCCCACTTAAGGAGAATCCACAACTGCATTGTCCTGCATCCCCCAGATAATACATTGTGCGTCTTGTGTAGCTCAGATTCCAAATTCCATGACAAATGCTAACATATTAGCCAGTACAGCCACCCAGCCAGCCACCCAGAATGCATCAAGCCAAGATCCCCCTTACCACTTGGTTACCACCTCACCTTGACCATTTCCTTGAATCCACCCCTACAAAGCCCAATTGATCGGTCTCCACGGTGCATAAATTGACGGGTCAGGAATCCATCCTACAGCCACATGCTGTGCATATTTCCAGCTGGACGGCGCTTGGAACACGGATATATTATCCTCCGTATCCTCAGTGGAGACGATCCGAACGTGGCACGGCCGACTACCAGGATTGAGTTTGGATCTATCTGATTATCCTATTCTCTCACTATGATAAGCTGCCGGGGAAATTTAACAGAGAGAATATACTTCCAATGACTGGATGCGCGAGTCATTTGGCTATCTCAGCCCTTGCTTTCTTTCCCTGCGATCACTCGGGAGGATGTGGTAGGTGCGTCCGGATTGAACGGAACAAGCGCCGATTCTATGAGGCCATTGCTTTCCCTCGAGCCGCTCCAACGTAAGAACAGCCCATCCGGAAGAGAATGGGAGGATTCCTAATCCGACACCGGAAATGAGTGAGTTATTCTTAGACTCTCGACCCGCTCTCGCCATTCCTTCAGAGATATATTCAGTACAACTTAGGGAGTGTCGATATATGTATGTACCTAACTTTCTCCACAAATACCCCTGTCAAACCCAAAAAATCCATGTATAGATGTACTAAACAAAAGACCAAGTTCTACGCACGGCCGGTGGTAGGGCAAATCTGCGATAACTCCACATCGCTGTTGCATCGCATGAGCTAGCGCCACATGCGGGACACACCTCGATTTTCATCACGGAGCACATAGTTAGCACGTGCATGTCAATCCCCATCCAAGTCCATGATGGCCCTGATCGCCAGTACTGACCTTTGGGGGTGATGCTCGGTCTGCTATCGCGCGATTCGGGCCAATAATAATGCGTGAGCATGCGAATTGAAACACCAGTCGAGAAGATCCAGACTTGAGTTTTCTGATCGCCATCCCAGTATGTAAGCAATCTCCGCGCTCGTCTTACGTGTACCATGTACACCGACACGGGTCCGACACGGGAGGACCGTTGCATCGGATAAGCCGAGGTGCGGTGATGCGCTGGTGCTGTGGATTGATCGATTCGGGCTAACGGGGTTGCGCCGGAGATGAGTATGTAGGCAATATATTCCTGAGCGGGATGATGCATGTCTCAGATCTTCAGCTTGAAACGGTTTGGGCGGGTTCAGCCGAGGGTTTATTTGTAGGAAATATTGGTCCAGACGAGCTGGATTGGTGCAAGTAGGCTTCTCGCCGTATGGCATCTGCGGTTCCGATGCATTCGCATGTTGACTACAGATTACAGATAGGAAAGGAAATTTACGTGTCCCTGGATCTTCATGAGCCATGGAGAAAAAAAAAAAGAGCAGATCATCCAGAAATAGGTGGAAGGGTTGAAGATCCAGGGAATAAAGTAAATACGGTCATTAAATATTCGAAAGATGTAATGTCAAATGGTATCATATCACTCGGAAACGAAGCGGTTAACCCGTTCCTGGTTTGTTTGCTATGGTTCGAACCTACGAGAATGCATTATCAAAGCCCGTCAAGCAAGACAAGACGCCGTTTCCCAGCTACTGTTTTTGTTTGTTTTTAAGCTGTCAGCTAATCCACGATATCAGAAGATATTGTGAATTTAGTTGGCGAGCTCGTGGGCACGGCGGCGGTCACGCTCCTCAGCAATGGAGAGCTAGAAAAGAATGTTAGGGTAATTCAAAGACACACAGTATTAGGGAATATAACATACCTTGACACCCTTGCCCTTGGGGAGGGAAACCCAAGGCTTCTCCTGTCCAATGACGAAGACGTTGGACTCACGGGTAGCGAACTGGTTGTCAAGAGCATCGCGAACGTGGACGATGTTGAAACCACCGTCGTGACGCTCACGGTGAGTGATGACACCAACACGACCCATGTTGCGACCACCAGTGGCCATGATGACAACACCGGTATCGAACTTGACGAAGTCAAGGATCTTGCCAGTGGCAATGTCGACCTTGACGGTGTCGTTGACCTTGATGGCAGGGTCGGGGTAGCGGATGCTGTAGAGAGCAAACGCAAGTTAGCAAAACCATGTCCTGATCTAATGGGATCTTACTGTTTCCATTGTCCTCTGCCGATCAACCAAAGCTTGGTCCAACGACTGAATGACACGGAACTTGTGGAGTGTGGAACTCACGTTCGCGCATCGTGCGTAACCAAGAATGGGATCCCGCCCTTGCCGAGCTGAACACGCTTGACCTTGCAGAGCTTGAACTCAGCCTCCTCAGCCTGGATGCGGTGGACGGTGAAACGGCCCTTGGTATCGTAGATGAGACGGAAGTGCTCGCCGGTCTTCTCGAGGGAGATGACGTCCATGAATCCAGCGGGGTAGGTGGTGTCGGTGCGGACCTTGCCGTCAACCTTGACCAGACGCTGCATCATGATGGCCTTGACCTCGCGACCGTTCAGGGCGTACTTGAGACTATCAGCAAAGAGATGTTAGTGATTGTTCGTCGCGTGCCGAGATATTCAAGGTGTCGCGTGCGTACCGGTTACGGATGAAGACAATCAGAGGAAGGCAGTCCCGGAGCTTGTGAGGACCGGGGGAGGCCTTGGGCGCATAGGTTCCGGACATTTTGTCCAAGAGCCAGTGCGAGGGCGCACTGAGGCGCTTCTGGTGCTTTCCGCTGCAAAAGACATTCTTGTTAGTGATGGTGTTCCATTTCGAGAAATTTTTGATCACTCTCGCAGGGACTGGCTGAACTCGTAATCCGGCAGATAGACGAGACCAGTGTGCTGAATAGTGATGTAGAGGGCGATCTCATGATACTTACGGGCCGCGCATTTTGACTGATTTGTCGACTGAAGGTTGGGTGGTCGGAGTGTCGAAAGAGAAGGCTCAAGCCGAGAAGTGGTGATCCAAATCAGAGAGGAATTCGCTTAGTGTGTGGTGATTGTGAGCCCTATTCTCCACTCCGACCAATCAGACTCCACTAGTGGGATTTTAGCACTTGCTTATGTCATCTCAGTTCGGGGCCCTGATCCACCCGTGGACACGTGAATTTCCTCTTTAGGAATCAAGACCAATGAGATCTAATTCATTTGTACGAAAATTTGTATCTATTTGACATGCGCTGATAATTCCACTTTTCCGTATCCAATTTAAATATAGCCCTTGATAACAGCAACCTCAGCGTTGAGGATGGATGACCCAGCAGCTCCAATGACAGTGTTGTGAGAGAGGGCAGCGAATCGGATATCAAAGTGACCGCCTGGGGCACCCTCACGAACTCGGCCAACGCTCACTGTGTAACCGCCGCAGATGTTGCGGTCCAGGCGGGGCTGGGGACGGTCGGGCTCATCGAACACCTTAATTGCGGGCTCTGGTGCGGAAGGAGCACCCAACTTCTGGGCCTCGGACTTGTACTCCCGCAGAGCCTCCTTGACCTGCTCGGCGGTTGGGGTCTGACGGTCTTTGAAACGCAAGGAAACGAATGCCATGTGGCCGTCAGTGACACCAACACGGGTGCAAGTGGCTCCGATGCGAAGACCAGTCTGCTCGTCGAAGCCGGTGGCGTTGGCATTCAATGAACCCAGAATCTTTTGGGCTTCGTTCTCGAGCTTGTCCTCCTCGCCGCTGATGTAGGGGATGACGTTGTCTAGGATGTCCATGGTGGGTACACCGGGATAGCCAGCTCCAGAGACGGCCTGCTCTGTGAAAACCTCGACTTCCTCGACAGGGCCAAACTTGGCCTGGAGAGCTGCGAAGGGAATGACGATGCCAATAACAGCGCAGTTAGAATTGCAGACCAGGAAGCCCTTCTTGAGACCGAAGTGCTCGCGCTGGTGAGGAATCAGATCCAGATGTTGGGGGTTCACAGTGGGAACCACCAAAGGCACCATGGGGTCCTTGCGGAAGTTCTTTGCATTTGAGAAAACAGGGATCTCAGCCTTAATGAATGCCATTTCTGCGTGAAATGTCAGTGCCGGGTCTATTTGTTAAATCTGATACATCTGATATCACATACCGGTCTCGCCAGCAACATCGCTGTTCAGTCCAGAGAAGACAAGGTCACAATCCGAGAAATGTTCAGGCTTGCAGTCACGCATGACCAAGTTGCTGAGTTTCTCAGACATAGGAGAAGCCTGCTTCCAATTCACGGCATCCTTGTACTTCTTGTTGGCTGAACGCTCGGAAGCACCCACGGCCTGAAGCTCAAGGAATGGGTGGTCTGCCAGCAGTAGGATGAAGCGCTGGCCCACGGAGCCAGTGGCACCGAGAACACCTGTAACATGTTAGACTGAACGATGCATGGAATATCTTGTAAAAATTTGAGGCCGTACCGCACTTCTTCTTTGGGAATGAAGGAGCCATTTTGCTCTTGAGTTTTTATATGAAGACGGATATAAATCTTGCGTAAGTTAGCAAAGAAAAGTTCCAACAAGTCGAAACTAGCGATCAATCAAAACATATATAGAAGAACAAGGGTTTCATGTCGAATCATGACCTGTATGAGTCAAAGCGTTCCCAGAGCCCCGCAGGCAGTATATACGAGGCTCTGCCGGCTTCAATACCTCACAGACCACATGGCTCAGAGTCGCAGGGGATTTTCATAATAAAATCTTAATATGAAACACTATTGTACTTACCGCTTAACGGGTGATGTGGTTGAAGGCTTGTAACATTTCACTCCGACAGCGATATCGCTCTCAGCCAATTGCCTTGCCCCGCGATTAGTCAGCAGTCTACATCCGGACAAGTGTATTGCTCCCCGATTGGCTGAGATATATGGGTCTTTGGTCAAAGTTTAATGTCCAAGGGTTTGGCTTGTTTGCATTCTTTCTTCGGCCTGTGATATGGCAAATTTCTTGACCCCTACTCAACGTCTTCATATAAGATTGTATCTTGGTGCTTGGGACATATTCGGCATCGAATAGAATGACATCTTTATATGCTATGAGTCCTGGGTTATTTCGCTCTCTCCACTTGATATCGATCTCATATCACTATAATACCGATTTTAAAGCGACTTTCAAAGGGAAGTAGTAGTAATATGATGATGCGATGTACTCCGTCTTGAAGTTCCTGGAGCCCGCCTTTAGAGGTATATTCTTTTGTAAGGTGTATAATGCTAAGTAGTAATGCTAAATCACAATCAATGCCCTGGGCCCGGTGTCTCGTCGTCGTAGTCGAAGATCTTGCCAGGATTCAGCAGCCATTTCGGATCCAATGAGCGCTTGATACTGCGCATGACATTAATTGTGTCCGGTCCAACTTCCTTTTTCAAAGATCCTTTCTTGCCCAGCCCAATGCCGTGCTCGCCCTGTAGTACCGAATTAGCTGATATTCCGGTCTCTCCGATATGAACGACTTACCGTGCAAGAGCCCTCCATTTCTAGCCCACGATCGACCATGTCGTACACTACTTTCTCGACCCGCGCCCTCTCGGCAGGATCGGTGCGGTCATACATAATGCTTGCATGGAAGTTTCCATCGCCGATGTGGCCAAGGATACTGGCGAAAAGGCCTAGGTCGACCAATTCTTTCTTAGAGATTTCTGGCAGGGGTCAGTATACATGCAATGAAGTCAAGATTGAAGAGGCCATACCAATGATATCAGGAAGTCGAGAAATGGGCACAGCCACATCAGTCGACCAGACTTCTGATCCCTCCTTGCGCAGCGCCAACATACTCCACAGCGACTGCTTCCGCGCTGACCACAGGTCATGAGCTTCGCGGTCATCACGAGCGAATTCAACAGACTGCGCATTGTTATTCTTGGCGAGCTTCGTCGTCAGATCGATGCTATCCGCGACACCGGCGACAGTTCCCGAGAACTTGAAGAACAGCGTAGGAGAGACCTTCCATTCACGGCCTGTTCCACCCGCGCGATTAATAACGTCCATTTGAACATCATCCATGATCTCCATGCACTGCACAGAGACACCCTTCCGAATGACCTGCATAGCAGTCGAGGCCGCATCACGAATAGTCGGGAACGCGACAACGCCAACGCGAGTCTGCTCTGGGAGCGGGGCGAGCTTCAACGTAGCCTCAGTGACGATACCAAGCGTACCCTCAGAGCCAACAAACATGCCGGTGAGATTGTAGCCGGCAGAAGTCTTGCGCGGACGTCTGCGTGTCTTGATGATGCGGCCATCAGCCAGGACGACCGTGAGATTGATCACCCAGTCCTTCATAGTGCCGTAGCGGACGGCGTTGGTGCCACTGCAGTTTGTGCCAACCATACCGCCAATCATGGCAGATGGGCCTGGGTCGACAGGGAAAAACATGCCGGTATCCTTAATCTTCTCGTTCAGATCCATCCATTGAATGGAGGGCTGCACGACGATGTCCATGTCGTCTGGGTGGATTTCCAGGATCTTGTTCATGAAGGCGAAGTCGATTGTCATGCCGCCGAGCGGGGCGGAGAAATTGGCTTCTAGACTCGATCCGCCCGAGTAGGGAATCATGGGCATGCGGTATTTGTTGCATATCTTGGCGATCTCGGAGACTTCTTGGGTGGTCTTAGGGTATGCGATTGCGACCGGAAGACGGTCAGCGTTTAGGCTAGACCATTCTGAGAAGCCGTGTTGGTGGAGCTCGTCTTGCTCGGTGCTGATTGCGTCTTCGCCGAGCTTTGTTCTTAGCTCATTGATGGCCTGGAGTGTTGTTAGTTTGAATGGCCCTGGACTGGCGCGAGATTACGCTGTTGCAACTCAGTGATCTACCTTTTCAAAATCCTTTACTGAGCCATATTGTGGCTTCTTGGAGGTCTGTGCCGGTGTCTGGGTATATGAGGAGACGCCGTAGCCTAACCCCGCAGCAAATGCGGAGACGAGTAAAGCCTTGGCGGGGGTCCAGAAGGGTGAGGGCGGAGCGTTCGTAGATGAGGAATTGCTCTCTTTTGTGTGCTCTGTTTTCCCAGCATCGGAACTGTTTAGTCTAGCACCGCGAGCTACAATAGTGCGCGAGACCTGGGGCCGACAAATCGAAGCCGGTAGCCCTCGTGAGACCCGGAGGACTGGTCGCATTGTGGACGACTAGAAGATATTATAGAATTGAACCTTAGGAGCTGTTGTGAAAGGGGAAGAAAGAATTCGATATGCGAGCATGAGGTGATCAGCCTTTTGTACCTTGACCTTGCACCTCGGACTTCGGCCGAGAAAAGCAGTTAGATTGGTCCTTCATAATGCCATAATCCACTATAATTTCACTCTCTGGCCATCTTCTCATTACCGAAGATGTGGAGAAGAGCCGAACGTGGGGGCGAATAGGAACAGGAACGGAGTTGCGTGCGAAGTCCGGTGAGCGGTATTTGCCGCCAAATGTTCTGCCTGCAGTATAATAATCGTAAAGTATTTATACTGAATCAAAAGGTGAAGGAAGTCTAATGCTCCATATCCATTCAAATGTCCTCCCGAGGGAATAATGGCCGAAAAAACTCACAAAAAGGACACGATATAGACATTGAGCAAGTAATTCAAAGGTTTTGCGCTACGGAACAAGCAATAAAGTCCGGCGGTGAGACAGGCGGTCAGTATTTACTATGGGATCATCTACTCCGATGATTCTTTCTTTTCTATAGCTGCACTTACATACATATTGTACTTTGCATTTACGGTTTGATCCTCTTTCAAGAGTATATGTCTGTCTATGTATATGTAGCTAATAAGACATTGAACGGAGAGAGGTAGAAAATTCAAGGCGCCAATGGTTGACGGGGCAACCGAGGGGTAGAACCTCGTACACCAACATCAACTTTAGAATTCAGATCAATCGCGTACTGTCCACCAAATCCACGAAACTAACATCTATGAAAATTGTGAAGCAATGGCAGAGCAACTCGCTCAACTAGTGCGCGAGGTAGAACGCCTAATCACTACGCCTTACGTGCCTTCGTTACAGGTAAGTCGGTCGAGACTTTCATTAAAGTATACATGCTGATAATACTAGGATCTCCATGATTTAGTGCAGCACACCAAATCTTCGACAATTGGCACCTGGGCATTGTGTAAACGCTGCCAAGTTGGCTTGTTGGCTGATGTCCTGATTGAAGCCTTATCACGGTCACGCGTCGCGCTGCCTCTGATCACTGCATTCGGTTTGTGCTGGCTTAATGGAAGGCTTGTTGGAATTCGACTCTGACATACTATAGCATCTACATCATCGTCTTTTAGGGATGCGCTGCTTGAGCGACATCCGGTGATTTTGGATGCCTTCTTAGAAAAGGCCGTGGACACTAATGGCGATGAGGTAAGCTTCGTTCTTAGGAGCCAACAAACGGTAGCCGAAGGGCGTCAACTAACCAGTTCAGTATCTTCCGGCATGTATTGCGTTATTCTCATCGCCCCTGCCAGCGAGTGTTGTACCGCCAGCTAGGATTGCCCCATTCATCACGAAGCTTGTCAGCCTGATGGCAGCGAATTTATGTGTTAAAACTGTAGCACCTCTTCACGCATTCATCTCAGGACTCAAAGGCTCGTCAAGAATCTTGAATGACATTCCGTCCGAGGTCATGTCCAATCTCCAGCTGGAGTTCACCAAGACACTGCGCAACCTCGACGATCATATGGGCAACTTGTTGTGTCTGGCAACCTTTGCGCAAATTGCGACGGCACTAGATACAAAATCTCAAAATCAACACGGATCAGAAACGCCATGGCTGCTGAGCATTAAGCATTTCTTTGGCCAGAAACGGGGCCTGAAAACACTTGACTTGGTCGTATTGCGTGTTATACTAGCTTGCTCATCCAGTTGTAATCTGACGCCGTTTGAGGCGACTGAGAGTATTCGGCTGGCGATCTGCATAGCGGACGCAATTGAGCCTGAGCAGAAACAGGCTTGGATGGCAGGTAATAATCCCAAGATTGCTAAGCTGTGCGAGAAGGCTGTCAGAGACGTTCCCTATAGTCAAACGCAAACCATGGTTAGTATTGGCTGTTCCCGTCGAGACGAAATACTAATCACTCAATGATAGGTAATTGTCTTCTTGCACACACTTCTCCCGGCACATTCATTGCCATCTCAGCTACGGGAAGTTGGCATCAAGGTCCTTTTGTCCAAGAATAGCCAACAGACTATGGAGACGATACCTCATCAACTGATTCCACGCCTCGCAAAGTCCTTAGCAGTAAGTATAGGAGCTCCTGTCCGTGTACAGGTTTTGACAGCTGATATCAATAGGAATCTGGGGAACATGCCACTCGTCAACTTTTGGCCTTCACCTTCGATGTCTTAAGAGGTGGTAAATGCGCGGGGGCAGAGATCCCAACACTACACCTGGCAAACTTGGTATTAGCTGGTGTACAAGAAGTACATACCGATATCATGCTTTCTAATGTCAAGCATTCCATGGTCCCTATGAGGGAAGTGCTTAGAGAGACGGTTGACTACTTTCCCCGACAGCCAAGCGAAAGTCAATGCAGTGGTCGAGCATGTTGTACATCCGAGCTATACACAAGGCAAAACAGGTTGTTCCTATCTCTATTGGGACTTTACAACATGGCATCGGCCCAAAATGGAAGCGACATTATCATGAAAACATTCATCAGACGAGTGGAGCAATCAATGCCGAGCCTCGACTGTGCCTTTTCAACAACAACCCCCAAAACCTTCCGTGGCTCTTTCGCCTTGCGCGACAGACATGAGCTTCCGTCAACTCAAGTGAACCGTAATTGGCGCTCTGGAGTTACTGAGCTGTTCATGCAGAATGCCCAGACCTCTCACGACAATATGATGAGAAAGATCGAGGATACGTGCTTTGACCTAGAACGTCGCTGTCACGACGTTGAAGGACCCCTGCGAGCTACCGAAGAAGAGCGGGACAGATATGCGAGCGAAAACGAGCAACTGAAAAGGCAAAACGAAGAGTTCAACGAGCGACTCAAAAGCGAAACCACAGAGATGGAAACTAAGTTGCGGAACTCACATGACAGTTTTGTTGAACTTGGCCACGAAAACACACGCCTTGAACAACTCCTTCAAGGTCAATACTCATATACCGAGGAGTTGACTATGTCGCTTAACTCCGCACGCGAGGAGCTTCAATATCAGCAACAAAGTTCCGAGAATGCACTTCACATCGAAAAAGAAAAGGCCCGCTCAAAGGAATTGGAGATGATAGCTACTATTACTGGAAAGGATGATCAACTGGAAGACCTTCAGCAGGAGCTGTGCAGTTTGCAAATGAAGAATGAGGAGACACGCCAGAGTCTAGATCAAATGTCGAGCGAAAAGGCCACTTTATCTCAACTCTCTAGCTCCCTCGAGCAAGAGCTTGCTAGTGCTAGAGAGGCATTAAAGCAGGCCAGGCTTCTTGTTGATGAGAAAGAAGATCAAGTGAACCGCTTCGTGGCCCAAGAGGAAGAGTTGCGAAAGAAATTGGGATCTGCGGAAACAACTGTGAGTCTTTCTGCAGTCACCAATCAATACGAATTGGTTATACTGACCCTTCTAGGTTGCGCAACAGAATTTGGAAGTTGAGAGGCTATACTCTGAATTAGAAGAATCCGATGAAAAATCGCGGAGTGAGATTGAAAAACTGAAACATGATCTTGAAGCTGGAGCTTCTCGGGCCACATCTGAGGTATGCCTACATAAGCGTCAAATCCGTGTATATGTGAAACTAATCTGTGCCGAATAGATAGCAAAGCATGAGACAGAAAATCGGCGATTGCATGCTGCTATGCAAGCTGCCGCTCTTGATGCTTCTAGGGATGTCCAATCGAAAGACAAACGGATCCAACACCTGGAGAGAAAGGTAATCATTACCATCTTTATATGCAAAATCTACACACTCTAACGTCAAATCTAGGTGCAAGCTTTACGAGACGAACGTGCTGCCAAGGCCCGTGAGTTCTCAGAGGCACAACAACACATTGGTCGATTAATGGGTGTAATGGGCTTTTCCGCTAATGCCCCTGAGTCAAACGCGCCTGCAAAACACCAGCGAACTAGGTCCTCTGTCAACGCCACTCCAGCTGCAAGGATCCCTCAACCCATAAGCGATGATGAAGATGGTATACAGCTGGCACAGTCCTTTGAATCCATAACATCCAGCTTTAATGGACCTACCCCAAAACGACCAAGAGGGAATCGCAAATCAACAAATCAGCCTTATGCTTTGAACACTACAGGTTCAAAGGCGAAAAGCCCGCCCCCGGCTATCGCCATATCTCGCTCTGTGAGAAAGCCACTGGCAGAGGCTGACCGCAACAGCCCGACCAAATCACAGCCAAGCAGTGGATCGAAACGCAATCAGGTGGATGACTCTTTCCAGGAGACACAGGCCCAAGGGAACCCTGAAGAAAACCGGCTTCACGATCTGGACTTGGATATGGATCTTGAGTTTTCTAAAGACTTTCTCTTCTCAAGCACTGCTTTTACTGAGTCAACGGATCGGATTGCCCCGTAGTGAGAGGCTTGTCCGGGTAGCGAAGTTGTGTGACTAGCCCTGGAGGTACCTATGTCTTGAATAATTATGATATCTATCGTACATGTTGCCTACCGATGCGTTATTCCTTAGAGTGTTTCTACGTAAGCAATAACCTACACCACAGACCATAATCGCCTATATGGTCTTAGTCTATTTTTGCACCATTTAGAAGTCTGCGTTATCTACCACTACCCAAAGACAATTGTTTGAATTTGAAACTTCAGGGAGGTCTCCTTTGTTCCTTATTCCTTTCTATCTCGGATTAGGGTGATTCATTTGCTTGTACCCTTCTTTTTATGTGTTCTTCACCTTTGCCAGTATTGATGTATGGACATAGTACACTATTGCTTTCACTACCTCTTCAGCTTTCTAAAGGTAGCAAATAACTCATTTTCCACTAGAATATCACTAGGGCATTAGAAGGATTTGAACACGCCCCGTAAAGTAGCCATGTTTAACTAGTTGGACTATATGTTCAGTGAAGGTATTCTCAGTCTCATATCACTTTTGAGAAGGAGAAAAGAGCAGCAATAGTCTCATTTGTAAGTCTATATTAAAACATCTCATCTTCGCTTGACTGAATTCAAACTGAACAACTGGACTCTCAAATGCCATCCCTGCTATGTCTTTTATCCCTCATTTTATAGTCAGTTCTCTTGGCTCCAGGGCCGTGACAGGTTAAGACGGTCACTTTTTCGTATAAAACTTGTTTCCGCGCGCTCCAGTGTTCTATATGAACTCTTAGGATATCGTTATTTACGCGTGTTAATCTTTCGGTTTCCGTTAGTCGCTCATTTCATTCTTAGTCCTCCTTTCCGTTTCTTATTTGTCCCAATCCTTCCTTCCGACCTTGGAAGGGTATATAACGTACCCTTTCTTCTCCTCTTCTTCAACTTCTTCTGCTTCTTCGTAACACACCCTACTCTCTTGCCTGACAACCAAGCGCACAATGGCAGGCCCTGATATCCCCGACGTGCAACCCCCGAGGTCCAACCCGCCAGTCCGGGGTTGGACGACCTGGAGATCATGGAGGACCTGTGCAGTGGACTTGCTGAATGTCCCAAGGGAAATGAATACCCACGACATCTACGACACTTTCAACAAGTACGGCAATCTGATCTCCATTGATCTCTGGGAGGACACCTCGGGCCGGCCTATTTCCAAGGCACGCATTCGTTTCAAGTAAGCATCCTGTCAATCCATCATGCTCTTTACATGCTTTTTACTGATCATCTATAGGCCACCTCCAGATGAGAATTTCTGGAGAACCGGCTCCTTCGGGGTGAAGCTACGGAGTGGCCGTGTCACAGCGCTAGCGCTGTGTGTCTGCTGCGGTGATTCGAACGGGACCATCCAGAGCCCAGTCCGCCCAGATGTTCAGCTTCCCGGTGAACTGGTGAGTGCATGCATGACATGAAGCTATCTTACAATACTAATAGTTTTTTCTTTGAAGGAACTGAAGACCGTACAAGTTGACATCGGTGTCCTGCTAGGTCCATCCACCATCCATTCTATGCAAAGCTTTAACAACCTGGCGTACCCCAGATTCGTTGTGGATGTCATGCGCAAGTGCTTGTTTCTCTACTTCAAAGTGGGCATTCGCGGATCGGAGACTGCTGCAGACGTCATACAGCATGACTATCGTGTCAAAATCACATTTCTCCAACTGTCCCAGATTTACCAACAGTACGACAAAGCCACGAGAGAACACTCCTTTGTTATCGTCCTAGGCTCCGCCGCCATTTGGCACCGAAAGGCCAAAGAGATTCAGTCTACATTGACAGAACCGTTGAGCTGGAGAGAAGAGGATAGTTGGTATCGCCAAACCTCTGTGACACATAACCCGAACTTGCTAAAGAATCTCCCCACAAATTTGAAGAAGACGGGACATATCATTGACTTGGGTAAGTACCGGTATCTGTTATGATATTGTACGCTAACCAGTTTTTTTAACAGGACGATGGAACGTATTCAAGATCTCATTCGCACCGGATGTACATCCCGATATGCGTCGTGTCGACGATACCAGTCACTACTTGATGCGCGTTAGAGAAATCTTCAAGGATTATAACATCAACGTCAAAGATGGAAGTCACTTTATTGAGAAAGCAGACCGGCCGGTACCAGTGTGGCATTGGGTTGACTTTTTGGAGTCCAAGTCTAACAAGGCTTCCGCATTGCTGCAAGATCTAGGAGATCAGAACTATCTACATCTTCCTTTCAAGGTGCGGTATCAACTAGAGGTTTGCTTGTCCCAGGGATATCTCTCTGAATTCACCATGACCCGCGAATTCGTAGAGAGATTGAAGGACCTCGGGGATGACCAAGCTACAAGACTCTTAGAGTTCGTTGCAACTGAGAAAAAACAGTACCTTGAGGCCATGGAAATCTTTGGTCTCAAATTCTTCAGAGGAGTGACTGACTCGAAGATTCCGAGCTACTGTTGCTTCATGCACACAGCACGAGTCACCCCGACTACAATTTACTACAATACCCCAACTGTAGACATCTCAAATCGAGTCGTCCGCGAATGGTCTACCAAAGGTGCACCTGGGCGCTTTCTTCGAGTTCGATTTACAGACGAAAGAACCGAAGGTCGCATCAATGCTTCACTGAGCGATTCCAACGATGAGATCTACACCCGTGTCAAAAGGACACTGGCCAACGGTATCACTATTGGAGACCGTCGCTACGAGTTCCTCGCATTTGGGAACTCCCAATTCCGCGAGCATGGCGCATACTTCTTTGCACCAGATGCCGGTATCTCAGCGGGGACTATCCGAGCCTGGATGGGTCAATTCAACCATATCCGAAATGTAGCCAAATACGCCGCAAGACTAGGGCAATGCTTTTCAACAACCCGAGCTTTCACCGGATCCTCCGTTCAAACTGTTACATGCGATGAAATTGTTCGTAACGACTTCACGTTCTCGGATGGTGTTGGAAAGATTTCCAAATTCCTTGCCCAGATGGTCACATCTCAGCACAACATTAAAACCCTCACAGGAGAACCTCCTTCGGCTTTCCAGTTTCGACTTGGAGGGGCCAAGGGCATGCTTGTTATCTCTGGAGACCCTCTGCCTCAGGAGGTACACCTTCGACCAAGTCAGCAAAAGTTCGAAACTAATCAAGCCGGCTTGGAGATCATTCGCTGGTCCCAGTATTCTCTCGCGACTTTAAATCGTCAGTTAATTCTTGTGCTTTCTGCTCTGAATATACCAGATGAAGTCTTCCACAGTAAGCTCAACAGCATGTTGGGTAGCTTCCATCGAGCCATGCGCAATGATTCGAAAGCAATTAACCTTCTCCAGAAGTATGTCGACCCAAACCAGATGACCCTCACCTTGGCTCAGATGGTATCTGATGGCTTCCGACGAAATGAGGAGCCGTTTGCCAATACCATGCTCGAGCTTTGGAAGTCCTGGCATCTGAAGCATCTCAAAGAGAAAGCAAAGATTGCCATAGACCAAGGAGCCAACCTTCTCGGTGTCATAGACGAGAAAGGTGTTTTGAAGGGCTACTTCAAAAGCGCATTGCCGAGCAGAAGAGCCTCTTATGAAGAGAGACTGGCTGCTCTTCCTGAAATCTTCGTCCAGATTTGCCGGTTAGATGGAGATGGCGAGTACGAAGTCATTGAAGGTCTCTGCATTCTCGCTCGAAACCCTTCTCTTCACCCTGGTGATATTCGTGTGGTTCGAGCAGTGAACCGACCAGAACTGCAAGCGCTTCGGGATGTGGTTGTGCTTCCCCAAACTGGCGACCAGGATATTGCGAGCATGTGCTCTGGGGGTGACCTCGACGGCGATGACTACCTCGTTGTTTGGGACCCCGATCTGATTCCCACAAACTGGTTCGTCGAATGCATGGACTACAAGGGTTCCAAAGCGCCAGACCTTGATCATGATGTGACAGTTGATGAGATCACTTCATTCTTTGTCACCTATATGAAGAATGACTGCCTCCCCCGAATCGCACATGCGCACTTGGCTTGGGCTGACAGACTTCCGAGGGGCGTGTGGGAAGACAAGTGCATTCGTCTCGCGCAGCTTCATTCCGACGCAGTTGACTATAACAAGAGCGGTGCACATGCGAGAATGACCCGCTCTTTGGATCCCAAGTTCTGGCCCCATTTCATGGAAAAGCGGTTCAAGAGGCCATCCAGCATTTACAAGTCTACCAAAATCCTCGGTCAACTGTACGATGCAGTGGTCACTCCGGACTTTGTTCCCAAGCTAGAGAAGCCCTTCGACTCTCGTATCCTGGAATCCCCGCTGGCTGCAGCAAGTGAGACCTACATGGAATACGCCCGCGAGCTCAAGGTGGAATTCGACATGAACATGCGACAAATCATGGCTCAGTATGAGATCAACACCGAGTTTGAGGTGTGGTCAACTTTTGTACTCCGCCACGGCTTCGTGATCAGAGACTACAAGATGCAGGAAGACCTAGGTAGGATTGTGGGTACACTCCGCCGTGGATTTCGCCACCAGTGCTATGACAAAGTCGGCCGTCAGGGTGGAAACATTCCCGCCTTGGTCATCGCCATGTATCGTGTTACTCAGGAGCAAGTAGCCACGGCGCTGGAGGCTCGACGCAAAGAGGCATTGCAGAGAGAGGATATATCCATTGTTGAAGTGACCTCCACCGAGCTCCCACTCATTAGCTTCCCTTGGATTTTCCCCGACGTCCTCGGCGATGTTGCGACGGGCCGGGCGCGACAATCTCTAGTCCCAGAGGGACAAGGGAGCAGCGATTCAGCAAATCCTAACGATGGCACAATCTTCACTCACAATCAGATCCTCAAGATTATTGAAGACATGGATGAGGAAGTGAAGCTGAAGGCTAAGAAAAACGTGGAGCCGAAATCTGAGGAGAATACCAAGCCGAAGGCTGAGGCGGGCTCTGGCTCCGCGCCCTCAAATCAAGAACCCATTGCTCGTCGACGTATTGACAAATCCGAGCCTAACCCCAACCCCGACGACGGGAATAAGGAGGTGTGCTTCGACGAGGATGATGAGAAGGAGGGAGGCGTGGAAATCGCCGCTGCTGAGGCCGGAGAGAAGATTCGAAAGCAGGCTTTGACAGAGGATATCGTGGAAATGGAGGGCGATGTGCAGCCTTCAGCACTTGACATTTTGCTCGACATGATGAACAGCTGATCGTTCGCTCTTCGCTCTATGAGACAGAAAAAAAAAAAAAAAAAAAACGGAAAAAAACAAAAAAAAATTACACAAAAAATGGGACGCAGGCGTGTAATTGCAGACCCGCTTTGTAACTTTTTTGGGGTTTGGGCGGCG